CTTGCCCTCCCCTTCTCTTTCACCAACATTAGATCAGTGGTTGATGCTTCCTGACTACATCAATGAAGGAACTCTGCCTCTATAATGTTGCTATGATGTTAGGTTGGAGGAGAGGGAGAAAAGGTTTTCATTGGAGGCTTGTGGGCGTGTTCATGCTCATTTGACTATTGTCTTGAAATTGGGGTCAAGAGAAGATGATCAACATCTCATGTGGGTCAAACCATGACCAATCTATCATCCCCAAATTCCTTCTTCATGATTAAAGAGAGGGCTAGAAAAAGCACGCCCAGAGTGTGCCAATGTAACATATATTCTTGGCTGAATCAGGCGTAGCCTACTCTTAAGTGGACATGCTCAGCCATGATAGATGTATCAAATTTCTAAGGTTTTGCTTCCTTTCATCTTAATAATAATAATTTTCAAATGACAAATTTAACTCAAGAACTTAATCATAATAAAAAGGTTAGTGGTTCTATTTCTTAATTAGGAAAGTGATGGTTTTTTTCATGAAAATATTTTTCTACAACTAAAAAATAATATACCAAAAATTCATAATCAAGATTGACAATGATCAATCATTCAATTGCCATATTTGTTTATGTATGTTTTTCTATGAACTATACTCTTTACCATGTTGTATGCCCTGCTAGAAAATACATTTAAACGGAAACTTATACATTGTATTCGTATCCTTATAGACATATTCACCATGGTGAATTATAGAAAATACAATTACAAGAATAAATATTTTTAATACAAATTCCAAATAATGAAACATATATTATGTTCTGGAAGATTTATGTTTGTGGGTAAGCTTTCATAAAGAGTTTGACTAGTGCACTAAAACGGAAAATTTTAATGGTTTTTTAGATGTATTTTTTCCCAAAAAATGAAAAATCATATATTTTTAATTATTTAAACTATTTTTTTGGGTAAAATAAGTTTTTTCTATAAAGTGTCACTGTGCATTTGTGTGGGCCCCAACGTCTTTAACTTTCTCTCTCCAATCATCGGTAGGGAAAAAAAGTGATTTTAGAGTCCCGCTTCCGTAGGGCGCGACAAACCCTCCGATTTTGATCGGACGGATGTTTATATTTGATCGTGTCAGATTTTAATTGGAGGATCTGTTTTAGCTTATTTGGACTATCATCTGTTGACAGGGTTGAGACGCGTCGTTCTTGGTCAAGTGCGTATAAATATGCCCTCCCGTGCACCGACGGCCCTTGAGAATTTCCTCCCGTTATTCTCCGCCCCGAGGGGGCTCTGAGATCCTGCTACTTTCCTCCGCGAAACCCTAGAGTGAGAAAGGAAAAATCTGCTAGGGAAATGGCAAATCTTGAGCAACTATCAGCTGATATGCCACCAGAGGAGCGGATCGAGCCGTCTCCGTCCGACGGCCGGGCACCGGCCTCCGTCGAACCCTCTCTCTCCAGGAATCTCTCGTCCAGCCGCTTGAACGCCCAGGCACCAGAATTCGTGCCGCGTTCGCCGGTTGCGAGCCATGCCCCTGCCCTGGGGGAAGCACGGATGGTGCAGATCCACCACGCGCCACCGCCACCCCCGGTTATGCACATCTTCCACCCTCCCCCGCCACCCTCCCCGGCGTTCCATCATGTGCCGGTCGTGCGGACCCACGCCCAGCTCGAATATTACGGCGGAGGTGGGGGCGGTTACAGGGAGAACGAGGCGGTTCGGGCCCCGGTTGATCCGGATCCTGCACCTGTTCCTGCGTCGGCGGCGAGGGATGGACTTTCAGACGATGTCATTCAGAGGGTCACCAAGCAGGTTAGTAGATTGTGGCTTTTATCTTTTTTATTAAGACCACGTGTCGTGCACTTACGGAAACTATAGATTGGGGTGGAAACGTTTCTATTTCGTTTATTTTAATTTTATTTTATGGGGAATCGAATTACCTAAGCGAGCGAGTGTGTCGACATCTGGATTAACTTTGATCTTCTGTATTCCTTATTTCAAGATTAGGAAGGGTAATTATGGCACTAAAGTGATCAGAAACGTTCAGGACGTTATATGACTCTTAAAATTTCAAGTGTCTTGTCAAAACTCTGGCCTGCTACGATCTTGATCCGATATGAAGCAAATGGTAACTGTGGACGTAGAAGAGTTCTGGATTTCTAAACCTGGTTCCTGGGTAAAGCAGGGAATCAGAAAGGAAACGTGGCACATCTCGGGTTTCTTGGAATGAGCTTTATCGGTCCAAAGTGGACCTATTTACCTATTTTTAAGGGGCAAAAAAGGTGCGGTTCGACTGTACTCTCATGTGGCTTCTGTATGGGGGATGATCTGGTCACGTAATTACTTAAGACAGGGATTTTTGGCTGCAACATTTCTTTTCATCTGATATTTTCACGATGTAGAAAAAATAAAGTTTCATCAACAATGGTGTCGTCTACAATGGCAAGCTGAAAAATTCTCAACTTCTGGAGTATAATTCTAGTCTAGTAGATGGAGAAAAAAACATCCTAACAGTTAGTTTATTATGGTAATCAACTCAATCGCAGAGAATAATCTCAGCCATGGTGGCAGGAACTTCGAGAGTTACTTATCGTGCTTTAGGTTCTTTGGTTAAGCTTATAAGGTGAACAAAATGTAAGAAAACGGAATCACATGGGAAGAAGAAAGCAAGGAAGTTCATGAGATACTGGGGAAAAGAGATCTAAGGACTTATGGATCAAAGAGGAAGAGAAAAATTATATCTTGGTTTCATTTATTAATAACTGTTATGAAGAGGAGATATTAGACGAATGGGATAAAAAATCAAATGATTTTGCAGAGTACAAAGAAAGGTTAGAGATATAATTTTTTGGTTTTTAAAACCTTCCTAAAGAGGAAGAAATATGGGGACTTTAAATGAAAGTACCTCACCAGATATCTAAGAGGGCGATGGATCTTTTTTTTTGTATAGATCTTGGGGATAGAATTCAGTGGAATTATAGAACTTGAAGTTTATACTTGAGGGGATTTGAACAACAACACATTAGTTGGGTGAGGAGTTGCATCTCAACACGTATATTTTATGTTCATGGTAATGGTGAACTTTGTGATCTTTCCAAGAGTTTTATGGGACAACATTAAGGGATTTTTTCTCTCCTCTTCTCTTCTTATTAGGAAAATTGATTATTATCGCAATGCAATAAAAGAGAGCTTTTGGAGAAGTCATTGAAGGAGTCAAAACTGGCTGGAGGAATTCCTCTTTTACTCAGTTTCAATTTGTGGTGGCGCTGTCTTAGTTACAAAGAACGATGGCCATAAAATTTTGTTAGATAAGTGTTTTCCAATCTTACTCGAAATGCTTCAAATTTGTACCACAACCAAATCAGAACTCATATAAAGAAAAAGTGATTTTGTTTTATTGTATGAATATGGAGACTTTATATCAAATCTTTGTTGGTGGCCAGTGAACAAATAATATTTCATGCTGTCAACTTTTATGCCGGTGAGAGCAAAGAAGTTGAAGGGGTTATTAAGACGAGGATCACACTTGTCTCCTGCCTGATGATATTGAGTGGTGGATACGCTTCTAATTGTAGTGTTTTGGTCGAGAAAACGAACTTTGGATTATTTCAACACGAATTCAGTTACAAAAGAACATTTTTTGAACATATATTAATCTATAATGTATGTGAAACGATATATATGAGGCATAGTGGCCAGTGAATGGATGAATGTTTTGGGTTTATCCTCATCTTGTTCGCATTTAAGATCTTTTAGATGAGTCGAGTAGTTAGCAAGAAATTATTTGGCTGCTTTAATATCTTCTGCTTTACATATACATTCCTTTTGTATATGCCAGTGAATTTATTTCTCTGGGAAAAAATCGTAAAATCATTTACTCGCCGTGCTGAACATATCAATAATTCTCTGGCAATTCCTAAATAACCGTTGTGTGGCCATACCAGGTGGAATACTACTTCAGTGATGCAAACTTGGCTACCACTGAGCACTTGATGAGGTTCATCAACAAAGATCCAGAAGGATTTGGTAAGTTCTATCTTGTGTGACATGGCCTACGGGAATTCCAGTATATCTGTACCTGCTCTTTTGGCTTCCTGGTAGATTGTATCAGAAGTTTTCCGAATGATATTGGTGGTTGAATGGGAAAATCAAGAGATAAAGTTTAGAGATCCTGAAACAATTATATGCCTTTTGTGAGTCCAGATATTTATTCAATCTGTAATGGTTCTTTTTACTTCTCTCATTTGCTCATTGATAAAAACATACTCGTCAGTCTTCTGCATTTCGTATGGTAGATTCCATTTAGTTAATCCTTTATTTTTTAGAAATAAGAATGATCTTTGCTGACGCTTATTTGCAAATTCTGTGTATGTTCAATAGTTCCAATATCGGTCATTGGTGCTTTTAAAAAGATAAAGGCGCTTATCAACAATAATGCACAACTTGCAACTGCACTTCGAACATCCTCAAAGCTGGTGAGTTCTTTTTCACACGTTGGCTCCTACATCTCTATGTTGACCCTTGCCTTACATAAATTTCGTTTTGAAAATGGAACATTTTATTCAATCGTATTTGTATGCAACATTGTGAATACTTGTTTTAAGTTTTTGGCACAGTAGTGATTCACACTGGATCTATGCCAATTGATTTTCTTTGTGTTTTGGATTCTCATTGTTCAATTATAGGTCGTTAGTGATGATGGAAAGAAGGTCAGACGCCAACAACAAATTACTGAGGCTAATTTAGAAGAGTTGCAGGTCAGTTCACTGATCTATGTTATACAGGTTTACAGCATCTCTTTGTTGTTTATTTTCATCTGACACCTATATCTTTTTCTCATCATGTAGTCTCGCATTGTTGTTGCTGAAAATTTACCTGAGGATCATTGCTATCAAAACCTTTTGAAGCTATTTTCTGTAGTTGGGAGGTACGAAATTCACATGATAATTGATTGACCTTTTTTTAATTCTTGGAATTACAGAGATCGAGTTTATAATAATGTTTATCGTGGCAGTGTGAAAACAATCCGAACATGCTATCCTCAAGCTCCCAATGGCATGGCCTCGACCGCTTCTAGACCTGGAAAAATGGATACATTTCTTGGTAACAAGGTTGTTCCTCTTCTTCTTTTTTCTGTCAATCGCATGTCTTTTATGGTTTTGTGACGAAGTTGTGTTTCTTCATGGGGAATTTAGGATATCGTCCATCTGAAGTCAACCCTCCAATCTGTTTTAAAATTTATCTAGCTTTATGTTGATGGGTGGAGTTGTTATCTATGTGATCATTGGAAAAATGTATAGAGAGGGAAAAATATGTGAAAATTTTCATGTTAGTACCTCTCTATGAGGCTCATATGATCAGAAGGGATAGGATCCATGCCTGCACTGAGATTACCCTTTAACCCTTTGGGAACTTTTATGAATTTTCTTGCTCGATTGTGGGCTCGAACCAAATAATTTTACTCTGAACTTTGAAACTGAAAATTTCATCTTATCCTTTGTCTAAATGGATAATACGCCTTTGCTTGAAGATAATGAGGCTTTGTACGAGTTACAAGTAGAGGATCACACAACGAGAATTTAAGATATGTTGTACTGGAAAAAAAATTAATGACCTTTGATTGCTTCAATCGAATGGATTATTGCTCTGTTCGGACTGAGAGAATATTTCGTATTATGATTACTTGGGTTTCTTAAATAATAAAAACCGTCAGTGAAAAAATCTCTGATTGCCGGTCTGGTGTCAGGTTCATACAAAGTTTTCAGATCACTTCACTACAAGTTCATGAATATTTCCGTACAGGTCTCTTTTCCAGTAATATTTTGAAATAATTTATTTGCTTCATCAACAGTTGCATGCATTTGTGGAGTTCGAAACTGTTGAGGACGCTGAAAAAGCAGTAAGTTTTCGGATTCAACAACACATCGCTTATACGCGCAATGGATTTGCCTCTTTACATCTCGACTCTCTCTTCCCTTTTGGCGCGAAGCAGGTTGCTGAGCTAAACGAGGAGAAGAATTGGAGAAGCGGGCTCAGGGTTCGTCTGCTGCCCACATGCATGGTACCACCAATCTCACGCCTCTGCCGGTCATCCGGAGTTCTAGTCTCCTGTTCAGTCATCGAAACCTCGTTTCACGATCGAAAGTGAGGATTCCTATAACTCCGCTCTACTGAACCAGATGAAGCACGGGCAGAGTCGAGGGAGAAAGGGCGGACACGAAGCCGAAGGGGCCGGCGATGATGAGGACGCCTCCATATCCAACCAGCAACACGAGAAGCACTTCGAGGACCCTTCCCAATCCACTGAACAATTGCAGGATCACGCGGTGAGCACCGGCGACCTCCCCCCACCTTCTGGACGCCGGAGGGTTGGTTCTTCGGCTAATATCGCCGCCGCCTGTGCTTTTTTAGCAGGTCGACGACGGCCACCACGACAGGGAAGGAGGAGCGAGGCGCGGCCGCGGGAGGGGACGCGGTTCCCGGGGCCGGGCCCGAGGCCAATACTATCCCAGCGGCGGCGCCGCCCATCGCGCGGGGCATGCCGCCGCCGCGGCCGGCGGCGCCGCTCCACCCCACCATCTGGCCGCCGGCGAGCCGCCTACCGTTGCCAGGCAGCCGCCGGGTCCGCGTATGCCGGACGGCACGAAGGGATTCACCATGGGCCGGGGAAGGCCCATCGGGACCGCCGACGCCGCTGCCTCATAGTCGCATGATTTTTAATCGATATTCAGACCTGAAAAGGACTAATGGAGTGTGCTCGTCCTGCCCTCTTTGGAACGATTTCCCCGGCTTGTTTTGTGTTCATATTTATGATGATCGATTATATTGGATGATCTTCTGCTCTTCTGGGTACGACACGTCTCTATCTATGTGTTTGTATATGTGAAAGTCAACATGACCACCGCCTCCCCTGCCGTGCTCCGGCCGGGGTCTCTCTCCTTCCTTTTCCTTTGGGCCGTCTAGTCGACGCCCACGCTCTAACCAAATCACAGCCGGATCCGTCCATCCGAGAGGGAACCGCGTAGCGGCCAGCTGTAGGTGGAGAGGAAGAGGAAGAAGACGAGAGAAGGAATTCTATTCGAGGCGGAGTTAGGCGGTAATTCTGAAAGAGCGCCTTGTCCTTCGCCCCCCACCATCCATTGAGCTAAGGGGAGGATGTTCTCGGGGAACCACTGGGGAGGCTCGTTCGAGATCATCGATGGCGCTGACGACGACGACAAGGGCCACCGCGACGGCGGAGATGTCGACCGGGGGGCGGCGGCGCGTCGGGAACTAGACGAGACGCAGAAGAGCTGGCTGCTGGGGCCGCAGGGCGGCGGCGCCGCCAAGAGGAAGGAGAAGTACGTTGACCTCGGCTGCGTCGTCTGCAAGCGGAAGGTGATCCGGTGGACCTTGTGGGCCGCCGTGATCTTCTTCTTCGTCGTTGCCCTCCCCATTATCATCGTCAAGTCGCTCCCCAAGGGAAAGCCCCAGGTGCTTCCCCCTGATGACTACTCCGTCGCGCTCCGCAAGGCCCTCCTGTTCTTCGACGCCCAGAAATGTGAGAACCAACAAAACCTCTCACCTCCCCCTCTTGGGCTATCCCTCTCTCTCTCTGTGCGGGTGTGAGAATTTACTTCAGTTCTTGCCGTCGCCAGCCGGCCGGTTGCCGAAGAACCACAGGGTGGCATGGCGGGGAGATTCGGGCCTGAGCGATGGGTCGACGTTGCCGGATGTGAAGGGGGGGCTCGTCGGCGGCTACTACGATGCCGGCGACAACATAAAGTTCCACTTCCCCATGGCCTTCTCCATGACTCTCTTGAGCTGGTCCGTGATCGAGTATAGTCACAAATACAAAGCCATTGGAGAGTACGATCACATTAGAGACATCATCAAATGGGGCACCGATTACCTCCTCCTGACTTTCAACTCTTCCGCCACCGTCATAGATAAGATCTACAGCCAGGTAAGAAGTGGACATTTCTCTCTCTCTCTCTCTCTCTCTCTCTCTCATCGTTATCAGGCGTACTGCTAGGTGGGCGCGGCGAAGAATATGTCTACGACCCCGGACGATCACTACTGCTGGATGAGGCCGGAGAACATGGACTACGAGCGACCAGTGCAAACAATCACTTCGGGGCCCGACCTGGCCGGGGAGATGGCGGCGGCATTGGCCGCCGCCTCCATCGTCTTCCGAGACGATGACGCCTACTCGAAGAAGCTCGTCATCGCGGGGGCGGCGCTCTTCCGGTTCGCCCGGAGCAACGGGCGGCGGAGCCGCTACTCACTGGGGAGACCCGAGACGGCACCGTTCTACAACTCCTCCGGCTACTACGACGAATATATGTGGAGCTCGGCGTGGATGTACTACGCCTCCGGCAACTCCAGCTACCTCTCGCTGGCCACAAACCCTGGCATCCCTAGGAACTCCAAGGCCTTCCTCTCCATTCGCGACCTCAACGTGTTCAGCTGGGACAACAAGCTCCCCGGAGCGGAGCTGCTACTGACCAGGCTCAGGGTCTTCCTCAGCCCCGGTTTCCCCTACGAGGAAATGCTCAGCAGCTACCACAACGCTACCACTCTCAACCTCTGCTCCTACCTCCCCCAATTCAACGTCTTCAACTTCACAAACGGTGAGCCATTCACTCTTCCCCTCCGCCCAAAACCCTAACGATTACTTCCCAGTGGCCTCATTCTTCCTTCACGGCCGCCGGCAGGGGGAATGATTCAGCTGAATCACGGGAGGCCGCAGCCATTGCAGTACGCCGTGAAGGCCGCCTTCTTGGCCTCCCTCTACGCCGACTACCTTGGCGCACTCGGCATCCCCGGTTTCAACTGCGGCCCCTACTACTTCAACGCCGATACCCTCCGCAGCTTCGCCACCTCACAGGTTGAACCCACCGGCGACTCTTCTGCACACTGCAGCGTTGAAGGGTTTCTGAACTGCCTTATTCCCCCTCATTGCAGGTTGACTACGTCCTGGGGAAGAACCCTAGGAAGATGAGCTACGTGGTCGGCTACAGCGCCAAGTATCCGCGCCATGTGCACCACCGCGGCGCGTCAATTCCCCGCGCCAGCGGGAATTATTCCTGCACCGGCGGCTGGAAGTGGCGCGATGCCCGCTCGCCGGACCCCAATGTTATCACCGGCGCCATGGTCGGAGGGCCGGACAGGTTCGACGGCTTCTCCGACAGCAGATCGAACTACAACTACACAGAGCCGACGCTAGCCGGGAACGCGGGGCTGGTGGCGGCGCTCGTCTCGCTCACGGGCAGCGGCGGCAGTGGGATTGACAAGAACACCATCTTCTCCGCCGTGCCGCCGTCCTTTCCGGCGAGCCCGTCTCCTCCCCCGCCATGGAAACCGTGACACCTCTGTACGAAATCATCCTCTCACACAGGAAATACGCGCACGACGACGTCGCATTCGTTCGATAGTATAATACTTCATTGTGATCCCCAGCTCAGGTACCCGGTCTTCCATAGACATCCTAGCCGTCTGTGATGATGTCTGAATGCGACCCGCCACCGAACCCGTTCTAGAGAGCTTCCTCATGACTTCTACCCTTCTTCCACCTCCTCTCTCTTCTTCTTCTTGATTCTTTTCATAGAGAAATCTCAAGGATAGGGGTAGGTGTGGTGGTGAGGGCCGCCTTGACTTACGGGAACGGAAGATAGGGCCTCAAGGATTGTCACGTACGTCTATCCCAAAGTCAAAGGGACAGATGCCGATAGCTGGTATTTCGAGCGTATTTATGGGGTGGAGAGCTGTTGCACTGTACAACGAGATGATGACGCTATTAAGCCGTCTGATTCCTTCCTTTGGTAATAAATAATACGCGACAGTTCATAATTCCTTCCTTCACATGAAAGTTAACTCTCGATCTTCATCAAGTGGTCAACGTAAATGGGGTAATTTTAGAGAGGGAGAGATGTTAAAGTTATCGTGTTTTCCAGTTCAAGGTCAACTGATAATAAGGAGAGCATGCCGACGCTTATAGTCACAAGTTTTGCTACTTTGTAATGAAAGCCATTAATTACTAACGCGACTGCTCAAAAATTAGTAATTAGCAAGCAATTTTTTGGGTTTAATCTCGTGGTCTGCGAGAGGGGGTGGAATCCTGGTGGAATTCGGTAGCTGGTGGGACCCCCAGCTTTGGGCTGTGAGGGGCTTCGGAGAATATTGGGCCTGACCTAATAAGGATTGGACTGGGCCGAGACTCCACAGAAGGTGGTTTTTGGATTTTTTGAATCTCAGATTAGTATAAATACTGGACCCCCGCTCTCCCGCCTCCAATGGATAACCGCCTTCGTCTCCTCCCGCGGAGATGAGAATCTCCGAAATCTCGCCAGATCTCACCGCCTCCGGCCACCAGGAATCCCATTCTGGCCCCTTGCTGGAGCTTGAAGCCCTCGTCAAAGAAGCGGAGGACCTATCCCCCGAGGAAGAAGAGATCCCTGAGTCCCTCGTTGTTGGCCTTCAGAGGTCCCTCGCCGGACTGGTCTCCTCTCTTTCATTATCGGAAGCCGCCAAGCTGCAGATCTGGAAGCTCAGCTATCGCCTCTGGAATGCATGCGTCGACCTCTCCAATGGCGCGCAGATCCGTCCTGATGGCCGGCGGGGAATCGAGGAATCTCACGTCAAGCTTCGACAGGCTGCTTCCGATCTGCTTCTTCTGGCCGGAAGCCCGACTGGGATATCATCTCCGGTGTTCAAGTGTGCCTCCTTCTTTTACAAGACCGGCCTCATGTGGCACGACTTGAGGCGGTTCGACCTCGCGGCCAACTGCTTCGAGCGGGCCACTGATCTAACGTCAGGTGTCCAGGTTGATCGGGTGTTCGATGCGGAGGAAAAGAGGCTCCTCTTGGATATCAATCTTGCGAGGGCGAAAACGGCTTGGGAGGTCTCTGATAGGAACCTGGCTGTTGCGTTGCTGAATCGTTCGAGGAATTTTCTGTTCGTTTCTCCTGCGAACTATAAAGCCCTGGCGGAGCAGTACCTACAATTTGGAAAGCTTGATCTGTCGGAGAAATCTGAATCTGATGCTTCCTCGAAGCTCCTGAATGAAGCACTGGATCTTTGTGAGAAAGGGCTTGGGATCTCTAAGAGGCCTGACCACACTATACCACTGGAAAATTTGAAGGCGAGATGTCTAAGATTCCTGGCTGCGGAACGGTTGCAGGCGGCGGACTACGGGGCAGTAGTTAAATGCATCAAAGTTATGAGAGAGGGATTTGGAAAGGAAGAGCATCCGAGTGTCAGCTTCATGGCATTTAAGGCATGGATTGGACTAGGGAAATTTGAGGAGGCGGAAAGAGAGCTGAGGGCGATGGCTGTGACAAAGTCCGTTCCTGAGAATGTCTGTGTCGCGGCGGCTGAGGTGTTCCTGGAAGCGGTTGGACCAGAGGCAGCGAAGGGTGTACTTATGGGATTGGTCTCACGGTGCCGTTTGGGACCTGCGGCAGCACTGAGGGTTGTGAAGAAGGTGGCCGTAGGCGGAGGAGGGAGAGCACAGGTTGTGGCAGAAGTGGTTTCAGACGAAAGGGTGTTGGCGCTTTTCGCCGGGGCGGGTGCAGAGAAGGAGCGCGGAACTATGCATGCGATCCTATGGAATTGGTAAACTTCTGACTAAACCATGTTTGTTTCCTCGCAGAGGATTTCCTACAGGTTAGATTCCTCACATAAGATTGACCGGATTTTCTTCCAAGATAACCCCCACGATGAAGGACTAATAGTTTTATATTCTAATTATGGGGTATTTAAACCGACGGATTCAGTCATTTTGAATTGCACATCCCGACTATTAAACATAAGTCAAAGAATATAAGAATTAATTTCGCTAGATTAAGTTGGCATTTCATGATGTCGTAACTTTTAATTTAATGCCTCAGTCTGATAGTAGGGTGTACCCTCGGGCTTCGACGAACTTTTTCCTTTTTCTTCCAAAAATTGCAGCGTTTAACGTGATTTTTACAATGAAGTGGAGCTGAGTATTTCCGATCGAAGGACTACGAGACGGCTGTGGAGATGTTTGAGAAATCTATGCTGTACATACCCCACGACGAGGAAAATAAGGCCCGCCGAGCTAACTGCTACAGAGTCCTCTGCCTCTGCCACCTTGGCCTCTCTCGGCTCGACCAGGCGCAGGAGTTCATTGACGAGGCTGCAAAGGTAAGGGAAGAATCTCATCATTTCATTTTGAAGAAACTTTCGTAAAACCGAAGCAACGCTCACGACCTTTCTTCCACAGCTAGAGCCCAACATAAACTGTGCTTTTCTGAAGGTATCCAACAATTCTCTGATTTTTTTTGGGGTACAAACAGTATGTGTTCTAGTTGACTTGCAGGTGGCGTCTCACCGTAAAAACAACAAAAAAAGAGAAAAGAACCATTTTGTTATCTTATTTTTAATTTTTGGCGTTTGCAGTTTAAAATTTACCTCCAAAAGAAAGAAGAGAGGGAGGCCATTGATCAATTACAAGACATGGTGAAAAGTATTGACTTTAACCCTGAGTATCTCACTTTGTCAGCCCATGAAGCTATGGCCAGCCGTTGCACCCCTGCTGCAGTCGCAGCTCTGTCTGTAGTCCTTGACCTCTATGCCCCCGGGAGAGAGATGCCTATGCCTGAAGTTGCAGTACTACGCAGCCTCATCACACTCCTTCAAGAAATAAAAGACACCGAGCGTGAGATCCTGAAACACTTGAGGCATGCCCGGAATCGGATGTCTGATCTCGGAGTAGACAACTTCTTTGGAAAGGGTGCAGTTGGTATTCGAGAGCTAGGATGGTTTGCAGGGAACTCATGGAACATGGGGTTAAAGACTGGAGCGGACAAAAAATATGGATACTGTGCAGAATTCCTAGAATTGGCATCAGAGTTTTATGGCGCAGCAGATGGCGGAACGATTGAAGGCCAACCAATGGTATGCAAGTCGATAATACTGAGCGTATGCGCCATGATTAGCAGTGAGGAGCAGGGGCAGACACAGTTGACTGATTCTGACATCAAGAAAGCGATGAAGATGATCGAAAAGGCTGGCAAGGTAAGCGGAGCATAAATTGATTTTTAAAATTTGTATTATCCTATGTTATCTCCAAAGTTTGGCTGCGTCTAATACAGTTGATATTTGGGCATCATCTACGAAAATAAATGCAAATAAAAATTGTCTTTTATTCTGTTCTCATATTGAGCTAGATTATAACGATAATGGTAGTATTGCGATAATTCCTCGTTTTAATTTAATATCATAGGTATAAATCATCCGAATTGCCGGTTAATATGATGATATTTATCTGTACAGATGCAATCATTATCAGTGATATCATCATCTCCGACACAAGTCGCTGCTGCTCAGGCTTCCTTAGAGTCAAGACTCTTCTTCCTCCACACTTTCTGTGCCTACCAACTTCTTGGTAGGCTCGAGGATCCCGACGATTCCCGGCATAAACAACTACAGCTGATCAAGAGCTTTATTTCATCTTCAAAGCAGTACACCCCACAAAACCTCCTCCAACTGGGTCTCATTGCTCTGCAAGGCTCCCGACCAAATTATGAAGCTGCTGACCTCGCCCTGAATTCTTGCCTTTCTTCCCTCCTCGCATCCCCTTCACCAGACTACCACACAGTCAGCATTGTGATCCGGAAGCTTGTCGGGTTTGCTGGATTGCTGAGGGGGCAAACGGATGGTGAGGTCGCAGCTTACACTGCCTATCAGCAGGCCTACAGGATAATCGTGGGCCTGAAGGAGGGGGAGTACCCTGCTGAAGAGGGGAAATGGCTGGCCACGACCGCTTGGAACAAGGCAGGCTACGCAGTCCGTCTTGGGCACGTGGAGGCGGCAAGAAAGTGGATGAAGATGGGTTTGGATTTCGCGCAGCAACTTCAATGCATGGAGAAATACAAACAGGGAATGGAGGAGTGCATCCGAAGTTTTGACGAGCACTGTTGCCGTGGTGACCCCATCGATGTGGGCTGAGAGGGCGCAAGATATCAACTGGTTCCTTGATCTGGATGCTACAAGCTGACTCGGGCTAACAGGTGTGCTTCCTACAAGCTTCAATTTTTTTCTTCAATGGGAAACAAAGAGTAATCACCTCCCAAACTTAGTTACAGAGACCTGACACCTGCAATGCCGTAGGAATGCCACACAGTTTGATTCCTCTCCGTTTCTTTAATACATGTAAGTATACAAGATATAATCAATAATGGATGCGGATGTCTTTCTTCACAGATTTATTTTGAAATTAGTCTTAAAAACACATTCCAAATATCCTCTTAACAAGTTGACCACATCTGGATGTCACGAGATTTGATTCATGAGTTCCTCCAGCCAAACGTGCTACATCAAACGCCTCCCACAAGTTACCGCATCAGTCACATATGTGCCTGTGGTGATTTCCTCTTCCATCGTCCAACCTTCTCCCTCCCCTGCCAAAAAAACTGCACATATCAGCGGATCCACAGCCGGGAAGGTAATATTTTGCTAGTATAGGAACAAAATAGAACTGTAGGATTAATTATTGCGCCTATATGCTTACTCACCAAATAATGGGCTGGAGTTGTTGAACTGAACCTTAACTGAGATATGCAGAATGACCAGCGGCTCACATCAAGGACTATTAAGAAGGTTTGATAGAAACTTCTGGATTAAATAACTTTTCTTTTCCTTTGGGTCATCTTAGTTTTCCCTAAACAGGAAAACATGCTCTTTTTGGCCGGTTTTATTTCCAAAAATATTTTCGAGATTTTATGTTTTTAGAATATGGTTTTAACAATAAAATAGAAAGGATAACAAGCAGTTACATGAAATGTAACGGAAGATTCTAGATTTTCAAGAAAATTTCGATGATATGATCAAGTGAGAGAACCTTTCGTGGCGCAATTGCTAGCTCATTGTCCACCACTGAGATGGCCTTGAAGCCCAGGGAATGTAGTACCTCCTCATAGCTGTGTGTCGGAGACAAAGGTCAGTGCAATCTATTCAACAAGAAGAAAAAAAAATTCTCAAAGAAAAAGGCTTCATAATTATCCAGGAACATTGTAATTCCCCTAATCTCTTTCCAAGATCATTAAAGACATCTACTTGATTCGTAGATCGCATGCATTGTTTCTTCTGTGTTTTTAGCTGTATACGTACTCACTGACTGAAACTGCATACGGAGGTCCACCGTCAAATTCATCCATCTGCCAAATCGAACATGGTCAAACCCCAACAAAGGTGATCACACAATCCAAGGGAACGTGAATCAAGTAGATAGAAAAATTTACCGGATACATCAGTGTGATCAGTTCCCCGTCGGGCTTTAAGAGATCTCCAATTCGGTCAGCCCAAGCAGACCTCATGGACGGATCAATTGCACAGAAGAACCTGTAGATCATGACATGCGGACATGAAAAGGTGCATAAGAAAGCTGAAATCACATGGCATGAGCTCAGAACTTACGTATAATCAAATATTAGATCGAACAGCTCGGTCGGTTGCCAGGCAAAGAAATCTTCTGCCAGAAATGTGAAGTGTTCCTTGTTTGGCAACGCGGACGTCATCTGGTTCGGCACAGAACTAGGATATTGGCTCGTGGAAGGGACTAATATTTCATAAAGAAAAGGTACAGTAATATCTCATCGTAACTCTCTTCCTTCACATGTTCATTTATTCCTTTTACTTTCCTTCTACCAGACTTACCTCACATGCTTTCTGTATTGCACTCACAGATATGTCCACTCCGACGACATGCCTCTCCGGGCCAGCCATTGCAACCACGTCGTGGCCCTGCGACTCAAAAATTTAGTGAAATTAACGGAGCAGGAGTGAAACAATTCCACGGAGAACCATCAATAAACGACAGGGATTTGGTACGAACAGAGGAATTTCTTGATTATTGAACATATGCGACTGTATGCAGATGATGATACCCTGAATAACTGGAAGCGTGCTAAAGCAGACGAAACAAGGGGTCAAGGACTCTCACACTGCCACATCCAGGAACCAGAGCCCTGCCCAGAGGAAGATCCCCGGTCTGAACGAGATGTGCAATCAGAGGCGTCGGCTTTCCCAGATCCCACGGCGTAAGTCCTTCCTCCCAGCATCTCTCCCACCCGCCTGATCATGCCAACACACCCATCAATCCACAATTGGGTATGGCCAATAATCACTAAGAAGCCCTAAAAGGAGTTAGATATCGACTCGAGTGTGGAGTTTCTCCGGTCCTAGTCGTGGCTATGATCAATTTCTATGACGTGTATTCAAGGAAAGCTGTCGTCAATCCGAAGGAATGAACTCCACGGCGAGCTAAGACGTTGCACCTTGGGAGTCCTGCCCGATCACCGACTGGATCTTCGAGACCTTGGGAATGGTACCCGGGCCGCGGGAGCGGCTGGCGTCGGCGGCGCTGCTCTCCATCCTTCCTGCCGCCGCGGCGATCGCGGGACGGCTTGGGAACCTCGAGCTGGGCCGCGACTGGCGCCAAGAGCCTGCCAAGGGCGTTACCTGGGAAAGAAGAAATCTTTGGGAGAAGCCGAACGTCCTCCCTCGCATAGCCCCGCCCAGACGGATGAACTGCTCCCTCTGCTTGACCAGGTACGATTGTCTATCTCGTATCACGTGTCTCTCTCTCTCTCTCTCATCATCTGACGGACGCAATGACGAATACCACACCGGTCATGTCCGCAAAAGAGAGATGCGATGAATTCTGATATACAAAGATGAATCGACTGGCGAAGAGGAAGTGAATGAGTCCCAAGTGGAGGAGTCAGCCGCAATACAAGAAGAGAGTGGTGTGTCCACTATAGAGATCTCTTTGAATTCAGTCGTCAGGCTATCCACACTATGGATCTTGAAGTTGAGGGAAAGAATTAAGGAATGGGAAGCGATAGTGTTGATGGACTACTAATTACATATTATTATGGGTAATGGGGTAGCAATTAGAGGAAAAGGGACTCTATTGAGTGGTGTTGGAGATACAAGATGTGAAAATCATGGAGAATTTCTGACTGCTACAGTTGAGAAAAATCAATATTATCTTGACGACGAAGTGTTTGTGGGATTGTACCACATCATCAAACATGATATGGAGGTTGCTCAAGTACATAACTCAGCCGCAGGATGACAACAGGCTATGAGCTTCTCGAGGATTTTTTTCACCAATTAAGAGGCTACCTCCACCCCAAAAGATCAATCACTGTATCTCCTTCAAAGCAAGTACGAGTCTAGTCAACATGAGACCATATTACTGCTTTTATATAAAACTATTTAATGTTTTTGTGTTGATTATATAGGTTTGAACAGTCACAATACTAGATGGATTTTCCATCCCCAATGTGGGCAAACTTTTAGATGAATTATATGGATCAATGTTATTTACTGAACTTGGTTTGAAATGGGGTCATTGTCAAGTCTCAATACACTAATATGATGTTTATAAAACATCTTTTTATGACCAATGAGGGTAGTTATGAGTATCTAGTAATGGCCTCTTGACTCAAAAAGGTTAATGCTACCTTTTAGTCTTTTATAAATTGTTTTTGCTAGTATGTTTTGATGACCTTCTAGTCTATAGCCAAGATGAAGATTTGGATGATCACCATTTGGTATAGGTATTCTAATTCTATGAGAAGCATTAACTTCATATTAATCTCAAAAAATATGTATTTACTAATAATCACATCAAATATTGTGAGCATAATGTGTCAACATGAGTGGAAGTAGACATTGACAAAATCAAAATTATGCTCAACGTACTAATCACTACCAACTCTTGAAAATGACAAGATTTCTTAAGATTGATAAGACATTCCAAGTGTTTCACACCTAATTATGGGATCACAATGTGGCTTCTCACCTAATAGCTCGAGGAGGATACATTCAAATGGAATGAAGAAGTCGAGAGAACCATCCAAGAGCTCACAGATGTCATGGTTGTTGTGTCATAATTGATATTAATAGCCTTTTCACAACAATTTTAATAGTAGACTTATACTTCAAACTTTGGCATGGGAGTTGTCCTCATGCCAAATTGATGATTAGGACTTATTTCTAGCATGCTTTGTCATATAAGAATTGACTGATATTATTTTAAAAAATAAAACTTATGGTCAATTTTTACCATCTTGAAGTGGACATATTATTTAATATGATGGTCCTTTATTAAAGTTTGAAATATATATTTTTCATAGAGACATCTATTTTGAGTACCATAAATGACTAACCAATATTCTCAACTTTCACTTTGTAATCAAATATAAGTCTAAAGTCAAGAATAAAGTGAATGATATCTCATCTCATGTTATCCATCCTCTATTACAACAATCTACAATAGTAATTACTTTTCCCCTCCTTAATTATATCTAATTAATTATTAAATTACTTGTAGATCCCTAGACTTTCAAAAATCAAGGAGATATTAATACAAGGCTCAGGTGAATGGCTGAAGTATCATCTAGATCAAGGTTTTATTTTTCTATTAATAATAACTAGTCATTTTATGCAATTTTGACATGACCATGACTATCCTTAAAGAATATCATGCATGCAAAAGGGGGACACTCATAGTTTCTTTGTACTTGTAAATAGATCGTATAAGACTTTTATTGGCAAGGTATGAAAAACACCATCAAAACTTTAATCTGATAAAGCTCTATTTGTAAGCTCAATAAAGACAAAGCTCGACCCACTAGATTTGAGATGACATTATAGTTGACTTTATCCAAAGATTGTCAAGCTCTAATAAGTATCAATTTATACTCTCACACTTGTTACAACCTTAAGTTTAATTATATAATTTATCAAATATGCTGATAAGTTACATGATATCTCTCAAAATATATTATGTTTTAATGCGACAAAGTATTTATCAACTTATTTTAGACAGTTTTTTTATTATAATAAATTATTCTAAAGTGAAACACGAAATTTCATCTACAATAGATAGTCAAACCAAAGTAGTTGACTAGTGTCTTGAGACTTATCTTTGTTGTTTTATGGGTGACAAACCCAAACTACATAGCCATTAGTTGATGAGTACAAAATTATGGTAAAACTCAACAATTCATTTTGTAGCAAATACTTACTCTATGTTACTATTATTCATGTCATGCTACAACTTGGGTGATATTAGTTGAAAAGTAGTATTAGCATTACTATATCTTGGAAGAACTAAAACATCACATGTTGGAGTATTATATGCATAATTTTTTGATTATAACAAACAGGTTTCAATAGACTGAATTATACATAGTTCATAATGTTCATGATATAGGAATGTTTGAACATAATTATAAGTTGTAATGATAATAACTTATGTGAGAGACTATTGAATATATTTCTAATCTATATTTTTGAATGCATAAATAAGATATATCAGAATCAATGTGAAAGTAATGATAGACATATCAGAATCAACGAGACAACCATATATGAAATATGGGTATGAAAATTTACTCAATCTATTATGTTTTTGTGATCTTAGATTATTACTTTCATATACTTTTGATATCATTTTAATCGTTTGAATTTAGATCGTTTACTCGAACAAATATGATTATTTGAATATTTATGAATATGCCTTAAAAATTATTTTAGATATCTTGAATCACTGAAATCATGATCATAGATATCAAAATCATCACTCAAGATATTAACTAGTGATTGTATTTTATTTGAAGTGATTCAAATATGATTTGAATGTCAAATTATCATCTAATGTGGACACCTAGCATCAGTCCTATTTTGACAATATTGAATTCCTACTAATTCTACTCTCACGCATAGAATCCATTATGAATCAATGTGAATTGATACGATTGAGATACACACTTTAAGTAATAAACGAATGATATATTAGTTCCTCTTGAAGATATTTGAATAATATTAAGCATATGTCATATTAGTTTTTTGACATTTTAAATCTACCTTATTATAAGAGAAATTAGTCTTTAGAAAATCATGGAGATCTATGAAGGTTTTCATACAAGATTTATCTATAAATATAATTATCTCCCAATAGGAACATAAGACACAACATTCATCCTTCTCATATGATCCACCTCAGCTTGTCATTAAATATTCCTCACATGTATTCTAAGTAAGATATAGTGAGGTTCATGTTAGTTGCTTAAATGATGCCAAGACATTAATACAAGGAGTAATACAATAATATTAAATAATCTTCTTCGATTCAATTGAATCTTAAAGAGCCTTCAATACTTAACCATCATTATGATAAAAAAAGAACAACTACTCACCAATACACAATATCTTCTTCATTGAAGATTCATAAATATGAAAATCTACATCATATACAGAAAACTACTCATAATGAACTCTTTCCATATCTATTATGGGGAACAAACTTATGATTTAGTCACTTGATGGAGCTATCTTGGTAAATAGGTGTTAGCTACCTAAGCCCTGAATCTAGAAGAGAATTATGGGCAAGACAATGTGAGAGCTGAGATCATTAATCAATGATTTGTGAATTGATGATTAGTTCTAGTGGAACCCGAGAACATAGTTGTTCTTATAGAGTAGATATAGGTAGTGCACCAAAAAAATGTAAAAATTAGTAAGTTTTAGAGTCATTTAATTAGAAAAATCTTCAAGAGAATAAAGGAAAAATAACTTACAGTGATTTAAAGTAGGTCTCATAGAAAGAAATTTATAGAAATAGCTCAATTTGACCCCCTCCCCCCCCTTATTGATCTCAATGTAGACCAAAACTCAACACACCTCACTAAAGCCTTATCTCAGATTAAGCCCTACATCAATAAAACATTGTAAAGACATGAAAATTTTTGAAGATGATTTTTTTTTACTTAAGAACTCAAGTCTTACAAGATGTGTTAATTAGCCCACGGACAAAACAAGAAACTGTCACCATGGTGTTTTAGATTTTTTCATATCTTTAATTGAGTTGGTACAATGGTCTATAAGTTGGGTTTATTAGACTATCAAATGCACCATATTTTTCACATTTCCTAACTCAATAATGTGATAGATAGTCACTATTATAGTCAAACCCCCACATCAATATTAGATTGAAATATGTGATGAGTATGTTGGCACCTTTGGTTTTGAACTTACATTGGAAAAAATATTTATAAATAATTTATTAAATATTTATTGAAACATTAAACTCATCAATAGTTAGTATCTCTGATAAATATTCAAAATATATATATTGATGATGCTTAAAAAAATTTTATGACTAACAATGAATCTAAGGAGTGACACCCATAAGATATGTTTCATGTCAAAATAATACATCACCTTGTTATAATATAAGTAGAAAGGAATATATGTCAACATGTGTAACGAAGTTTGACGTATAATGTAGAAATACAAAGTTACATGCAGGACTCGAATGTAGTACTTTAGTGATGTGGAGTTAAAAGCACCAATGAGAAAAGTGTCTGAAAAAATAAAAAACACATGGTTAGACATGATACTCAAGACATAAGCTACACAAGTTACGCAAAGTCAAAAAAAATGACTACCATAATGTTTCAAAATTATGAAAAATAAAGCATATATGAGATTTGAAATCGAGATCTAGATATTGACACATTATAAACTTGATTAGAAAAATATGAAATAAAATCAAATAATCAATGATTGAAGTAGGAATTGAACTTCCATTGTAGTGGTTGAGTTAGATTGTTCACATGAATCCCTCATAGAAGTAGAAAAGTCTTTGCCATGCATTTTAGATGATAACACATCAACATCTTATGTGAAAAAAGGACATAACAAAATGACCTACTTCGACTTAGTCTCAAAAGTAGAAATATCTATTGGAGTATTACAAATCTCTAGAGCAAAGCTTAAAAATAGATATGTGAGAGAATTGTGCATCTCAAGGTGAGGAACATATGAAGGTCATCAACACACACCATAAATGGTAACATGTCATCATAGAATTTGGACAAAATTATAAGTCTAATAACTATATCTAAGCTTAACCTTAAACATATCAATTAAATATCTCTAGACATAATATCAAGGACAACTAACATGAGAGTGAAATGTTTTGATATGAAGAATAAACAAAGGTCTATGTTACAAATTATAAATTAATCATTATAATACGTTGATTGAAGACAAACTAAAAAAATTATTTTTGAGCTAGATCTAGAAAGAAAGAATATATATTTATCTGTTATATATCTCTAGACAAAATATTAAGGACAATCTGCACACAAAAGGAAACCTTTGAACTAAAGTGTAATTGAAGGTCACTGAGATGCTGAAGGAGTAATGAAAAAAAATTCAAATTCATATTATTAATCTCAAATGTTGAAATGACAAAGAGACGTTGGAGGATAAATAGAAAAAACTAATAAAGAATCATAACTAGTCTACAATGAAAAAATCTTTCTATCTCATCCACTCAAGTTTGAGAAGCATGTACTCTATCAATCAAAAAGAAATAATCATGTGCTTCAAAAGAAGACATGAAAACTCTATCATTCTGCATACATGACTGTGGTGATATGAGTCAACAAATGACACTGAAAGTTGACTCTCTTCATCAGACCCTAAGATAAGCTAAGTGGTGAGTAGAGAGAAGCTTAGGCTAAGGAATGAGGTGTTGAGACTTAGAAAGTGACTTTAGGTGTGATATATGGGGAGACTATTATATTGATTTAGGCATGTGGTGTTGAAAGTCAAAAACTTACTTGCAAAAGGTGTGATATTTGCGGAGATAAAAAATAAGTGTTTTGGCTGCTAATCTTGTGAAATCAATTATATTTCTAGAAGAAAATAAGGAAATTCAGTAAAGGTATCCTTCAAGACTAAATGTAGCATGATGAAAGATGAACTATTATAAAAACCCATGTGTCCCTCATAATTATGAGTGAGATAAAGAGATCAAAGTGAACCCACAAAGAAATGATGATTGACTTAGGTGAAATTGTACACAACTAAGAGACTATGTGAGAACATGTGTTGACACATATACACATTAAATAATATAATAGGACAAAAAAACATAAGAAATCGATTGATCATGAAGAAGTAAAGAAACAAGATACAATATGTAACTCATTTCATTTCTTAAGGAAATCTTTTTAATTAAAGGAGAATGATAGATAATTAATATTATCTCTCAACTATATAATTCATTTGAATTTATGAAGGTGATATTCTTAATTGGGGGAGAGTGATTTGAAATTGACAAAATTTCTTCATAGTACAACTCATTTCAGCATACATATGCACAAATAGAAAAAATAAGATGAATGCCACAAAATCAGTATAGTTTCCCAATAACCAGGCCCATCTCATTATATGCACGACAAAGTGAAGAAACAAGATAGATTATGTGGCATCATTATAGCCTCTTAGCTATGCAGCCCACTTCCTCACACACAAGAAAACTCAAGAAGTATAGCAAACTATGCAGCTCATTTCATTTCTTTGGGAGATGTTCTAAATTAGGGGAGAATCAGTTTAATGTTCCAATTTTCAACCCACTTCATTATCAACATGACAAAGTGAAGCAAAAGCATACCATGTGCCTCATTTCTTTTGTTTGGATGAACTTATTAGGCAATCTTGATGCACAATGAATGATGTTCCATAGTTATGTATCAAGACAAGATGAAAACACTTAATATTATGAGTTCATGGTTATCATAGACCATCTCCTATGAAGGTAATTCTAGAGCAATGGATATTTGATCTTAGAGTTTGTTGAGAATGATCTAATGACCTCTAATTGGCTCTTCAACAAGTATGTAGATCAAGTTCCGTGATAAGAGAGGAAGAAGCTGCCCCTTTATTATGGCACATGTGTGTGAGCATTGTGCACTGTCAAAAGCTATTAGACAAATTTCTCCTCCTAAAGAATATTTGTGGTCATGAACAAAAGAGGATTTTTTGAAGCACGTATGTCTAGTATGTGTTCCCTCATCTATTGCCTCTCTCTCCCTCTCTCTCTCTTGTGGGTGTGTTTTGCATTGTCTTTTGGTATGTAATAAAAGGAAGTTGTATACTCATCTTCCCAATGCTATTAATGGGCCTTTTCATGAAACCAGAACTGTCTACCCTCTCTATATGTTGAGTTGATTGTGATGAATAGTCATGCAACACTCTTTTATTGAGGATTTTGTTCAATTTCATGAATTAAAAATTTATAAATTTCTTGGTATAGAAATAAACATGTGATTATAAGGACTGGATTACTCTTCTTATGATTATTAATTGTATGCTCTAGCGGCCGTTAATTAATTTTTTTGTAAAAGTTGACTTAACCTGAATTATGGTCTTATTTTAATTAATGTAAATTCAGCATGTGATCGTAGAGTGTCCGTATTTTGAGGTATATATAGAAAGGCAAGTTTCCATAACATTTAACATGCACATACTTCAACATCCAGGATTTCAACCGGACCGCACATTTAACATTTAATATGCTCATACATCAACACCCAGGGGTGGTTCCAATCGAACTCAAACCCAGTCTACACGCCACAGTCAAAGAAGACCGCACTCTCCAAATTTCAAACCATTTTCCTTCGATAGCAGCTGCCGGCAAAAGCATCGTGATGGCGGGATCAACTCCCCCGAGATATTAACGGACGGCGGAGTCCTACCGGCAGTTCATCTCTGCAGAAACTGGCCCAGGACCACGGAGAACCCCGTGGTCGTCGTCTTAATTTCAAACCAGTGTTGCACGTGACTGGTGGCGCCGTAATTCGTGGCCGCCCACGTTCCCCTACCTCTTGGCGGCTGCCGACTCTCAGAAGATGAGATCAGCCACTGTCGTCGTCTTCTTCTTCTTCTTCCGTTTCTTGCTCTAGCTCTCAGGGATTTGGGGAGGAAGCAAGCGGCCGATCTCTGGAAGATCTGCGTCAGAGAAGAAGGGGATGGATGTCTGATTCTTCCTTCTCCTATTAGTTGTCTTTGTCTCCATCTTTCGCCTTTCGAACCGGCGATGAGGAAGGGACGGGAAAGATTGAAGTCTAACGAACCAACTGACCGCCTCCGCCGACACCGGCGGGTCGGTAGTTTCCAAGGTTCGGCATCTGGCCATGTCCGAAGGCTAAAACATAAACAGATACATGCGATAATCTCCGACAATCCAGCTTCCGACACGCGCCCCGGAAGTCCGGACCAAGAGGCGGAGAGTTTCCAAAAGGACGGAGCCTCCTGCGGGATATTTCTACAAATAGCTTCCCCATCGAACACGGTGGCCACTCCGTTGTCTTCCCAAAAAGCGTAAGGCAGATGGCAAGCCTCAGGAGCTCCCTGTCTCTTCTACTGGTCGTCGCCTTCTTCCACCCAACCTCATCAGACGATACAGTCTATGATTTGGTGTCATTTGGTGCCAATCCTGACGGGCAAACCGACTCGGCGGCGCCGCTACTGAAGGCATGGTTGGCAGCCTGCGGTTCGCCGGCGCCGGCGACGATCCGACTCCCGTCGGGGAGGTTCTTCCTCAGCCGAGCCGCCATGAACGGCCCATGCAACAACAGGAGGGTGACCATCCAGATGGATGGGACGTTTGAGGCCCCCTCGAGCTATGCAGACAGCGAGGACTGGATAAGCTTCGATCATGTCGATGGCGTTTCGATTATCGGCGGGACGATAGACGGGCGGGGGGCTTCCCTCTGGGATTGCAAGGCGAAGGGCCTCAGCTGCCCAAGAGGTTCCCGGGTCGGTCAACTATTTCTTCTTCTTCTTTCCGATTTCTCTGAAAATATTCAAATGCGGTCTTTCTGAAGTCAAAGAATGATCCTTCCTGCCCCAATCTACGTTTCTCTCCGAGTGTCTCCATTTGTTCAATGGTGTCTTCAGCCCATCATCTCATTATACTGCGTTTTCCCGAGTGGCAGTCTCTGGTATTTTGCAACTCGAAGAACATCTCCATCAGCGGGCTGACGTCGTTAAACAGCAAGCTCTACCACATCGTCATCGACCGCTGCCAGAACGTGCTCGTGCAGGGGGTGAAGATCTCTGCGCCGGCCGATAGCCCCAACACCGACGGCGTCCACGTCCAGGGCTCCGCCGACGTGACGATTGTGGCCACCGGAATCGGCACCGGCGATGACTGCATCTCCGTCGGCCCTGGCACTTCCAACCTCTGGATCGAGAGGGTTGCCTGCGGGCCCGGCCATGGCATCAGCATAGGGAGCTTAGGGAAGCAGTCGGAGGAGGAGGGAGTGCAGAACGTGACGGTGAAGACGGCGGTGTTCACCGGAACCCAGAACGGGCTTCGGATCAAGACGTGGGGGCGGCCCAGCGATGGCTTCGTGAAGGGGGTCATCTTCCAGCACGCCACGATGCAGAACGTAGAGAACCCCATCGTTATCACCCAGAGCTACTGCCCGAATCACAAGGGATGCCCCGGCCAGGTTCGCCTGGAGGGTTCACACTTCTCTGTTGATTTATGAGGTACGGCTTCGCTTGTTTGTTTATGGTCGGAGCATCTCTCTCTCTCTACAGGACTCTGGCGTGAAGATCAGCCAGGTGACTTACAGCGACATCCAGGGGTCCTCTGCGAACCCGGTGGCGGTGGATTTCAGCTGCAGTCCGACGAACCCGTGCAGCGAGATCGGGCTGGAAAACATCAAGCTCACTTATGGGAACAACGCGGCTAATGCTTCCTGTAAGAATGCCGACGGATCTGCTTCTGGCTTCGTAATTCCTCCAAGTTGTCTCTGATCCTACCTCGCCATCCAACGGATGCGCTGGAGTGTCGATCTGCATGATGATCGAGGATCATATCTAACTATATTTGATGCCATATCGTTGGTTCATATGATGGAGTACATTATAGGGTGACATCTTCCAGATATGTAGACTTCTCCAAGGCCATAGAACGGAAAGATGGTCGAGCGTAGCTTCACTGCAAATCATATAATGCCGTTGTAAATCGATGGGTTTCTGGTTTTCGCGTAAATTTATAAGCTGGTTTTATCGCGTACGTTTTCGAAGATGTTTTGAAAACTGTCGGAGAACTTTAGGGAGAGGGGAGGAACGGAACGAAGAGACAAAGACGAGGATGAAGGAGAGACAAGAAACAAGGAGAAAGAAAAGCGGGAGGACGAAAAACAAAGACCTAGGAGAGAAGGACGAGCGAGAAACATGGAGGAAGAAGTAGAGGGCGAGAGGAGCGAAGACTGAGGAGGAACAAGAAACGAGAAGGAAATAACGACCAGTATATCTTAATATTTAAGCTTGTGGAAACCATTCGATGTGACCCCCCTCCCTCCAGATCATTAGTTTATTCTTCTCGTTGTTTGAGATGGGGCGTTCATTCACGACTGTGCACGTACCTCGTCGCCCCATAGATCATTTGAATACAGCGGCAGATGCGGAGACCGCTGCGTGATCCATCACCGAGAGAAGACTTTCCAACCGATTATACAAGCGTAGATAATATGCGCGCGATGCAAAGAAAACTATTGGACTTCATCACGGAGGCTTTATTTGATAGTTACGTTAGCACAGTTGACAAAACCCTCATATCACAATCACATGAGCTATCTCGATAAGGTATCAAGACACGTAGGGGACCGGGAACTGACAGAAAATACCCGAAAGAAGATTAAGAAGAAGAGACTCACCGTCAATTCCGTTGACGATTAAAATAACCTCAAGAAACCTACAACTAGTGTAACATGGCTCATTGTTGATCCTGGAAGCGAACGAGTAGATTCTTCGTCATCCGTTTCGAGACGTGGTTGTCGAGCAACAATCACGTGTGGTGCGGAGCGTCTAGAGTCGGATCGAGTGGTGAAGATCGGTCATGGTTGGTACGGCTAGGACTGGCTGTCTCTTATGACAGCCGGGTTCACCGAGAGAAGACTTTCCATCCGATTATTAAAAACATGTGCTCATTTTTATTATTTTAATAAAACCTAAATGTGGTAAAAAATTAGAGTACGTATAGATATTACAGAACGTTACGATACAAGTTAATAAATAACTTGGTGCTTCCCTTCGGCCGAGCATTAAAGAGAGACTAGGAGTGACGGAAGTCACTGGAGTAGAGTACCAAGAGCATGATGGGGTAGCAGGGCTATGCAGGCGAATGATGGGTCTCCGTTGACATTGAACATCCGACAACTCATCCGCTTCGACCCATCCTCGCTCAAAAAGCCGCACAGAAGATATTACCTTTTAATTGCTATAGCCATCCTCAGTCGGATTCCTCCTCTCTTCTGCTAGCAGCCGTTCCGGATGCTCATTTGAGAGCACCGACCTTGTTTTACTCGATCATAAGGCTCCACCTTCTCCTGCTTTGGTATCTACTCTCCCCGTGGGACCACCAATCTATAGTGATTTGGAATACGAGCCCAAAGACCGACGAGAACGGGACTACACAGCGGCTGTATCTCCACCAGTCCTACGGCGGGGCCTGTGCTACCTCGGGGAAATTCTCGGTCAGCCTAGCTTCCTTCCGTGGTCCCTGTGAGAACAACGCCATCAAAGTTGGCATGCAAGAACGCATTCGATGGTCTGGCCCATGGGACCACCAATGGATTTTACATTTCCTGATTGAAAGCACGTTCATTTCAATTATCTTAACATTAGGAAACTGAATCATTTGTGCAAGCAATGGATGAATTCAAAAGGGTTATTTCTAGAAAGAATATCATTGCTGAAGAAATTTTGCTCGGGCAACGACGGACACAAAGGCTTTGGGGTTTCTTAAACTCTACAAGACACCGATAGACTCTGTCTATTACTTCAAGTATAACATTAAAATTTGTTATTTTCCAACGAGCTGCTTTAGAAGGCTATTGATCGGCGGCAATCACTGTCTCTTATGATCAGCCACCCGAATAACGTTAAGATCACGAGACTCACTTCCGCCAAGGACTCGGCGTTCCGGGAAGCAATCTACAGGGCTCTCGCACACACATGCAGCCTTTACTTCTTAAATACACATTATTAACAAAAAAAAAGGGGTACAGCGAGCGAGCGAGCGAGCGAGCGAGAGAGAGAGAGAGAGAGAGAGAGAGAGAGAGAGAGAGAGAGAGAGAGAGAGAGAGAGAGAGAGAGAGAGAGAGAGAGAGGGAGAGAGAGAGAGAGACATGGATTCCAGGGTAGTCTTTGCTTTCAGGTAAATAGATTAAAAACGCAACTACAGCAAAATCTCGATTCTGCAGTATTAAGAATAACTGCGAACAGTACGTTGACCCGATGGCCCTCGTTCGCGACAACTTTTGGTCCTGTAGTTTCCCTGCAGTTTATATTCTCTCTCGGAAGTCGCAGGGGCAACCGTTCTTCTGTTTGAACAATCCGTTGCCGAGGTCAAACGATTCAGCCTACAGTCAGCAGTGAGAACTCCTTCATAGTTGGCATATCCTCCTGTTTCTGATTGCCCAGGGACTCTGCATCTTCCACGGAACGGCACCCGACAAAGATAGGAAGGTGGGGCATCAGACTAGAATGGTATACTTTCTATATATTGCTTACTGTGAGAAAAACTATAAGTCGCGGAAAGCGGAAGAAATTCGAGGTAAAACAAGGAAATAAGGGGAAATAATGAGAGGGACGCGGGATTTATCTTTGTCGTCAACTATTTGCATGACTTTAACTTCTTTGAATAAATCATCAATAAATTATAAGCATTCCTCATTGTAGCTTGTAACCGTCATGGGTTAGCGGGCTTGAAAACTATTTTGTTCATTTATATTTTTTATTGAAGACAAAGTTACCAAAAATTCCTAAGATGCAGGATCTTTGAAAAAACAAGTTAAATATTAAACTTGCTTATTTATCGTCTAACGCCCCAAACAAAACACGAGACGCCGTTATCTTCCTACGGGATCCCGCGGGCTTGATCACCAGATCTATTAGTTTTGGTTCGAAATCTATCAAATCTTGATCTTCTGTAGTCTACCTTCAACAGTGATGTCGCCTCCTTCCCTTATATTTTGCTCACATCTGCTTCACTCTTCCTACCCAGTGTGGGAAGAGTATTTATAGTAAAGAGGGGAAGTCAAGCAAGCATGTGGCTAATGTTTTCTTTAATCATGCTCCAATGGAAGCAACTTGTTTTAAATTGTGACGAAGTTAATGCACCGGGGGCTCATTCGAGGCTAAGCATGTGATACGCTCACGCTATTCACCCAGAATGTTGCATTCATTAGAGCCCAATGTGGTGCAACAGTCTCGCGCAGCCTATGCGCTTGCACTTTTCAATGACAAGATAAACAAAGCTTTCAGTATGCTCTCAGTTGACTTAACGTCCAGACTTCCGCAGAACTGCCACCTTCGATATTCTCTTGCATCGTCATTGCCCCGAAATTCCTGGTCTAGATCATCAGGGGCATCCTCCACAACCCAATAGGTGCAACTCACAGCAGGGCATCAAGCCTACTTGTCTCCTCAGCTCAGTCATCCAGCAAAGTCCCGGGGAAAGCTGTGGGTTCCGGCTTCTCCGGCCAGCCGACGGACCTGTCCGGGATGCTAGTTCTCACTGTTGCTCCGAGGAAGCCAGAATCACCTTTGATGCTCACGAAAGAGAGCTCCACGATCAGTATCGGTTGTGAGGAAGCTTAGATTGCCGTGTGAGGCTGCTACTTCTCTTCGCCATCCACGTGATATCATAAAAAAAGGGAATCCCAAGATCTGGAAGACTTCCACCATGCAGCCTCGTTCTATCGCAGTTTACATAAACGAACCTTCATCCGTCATTCAAGCTCATCTTCCATTCTTTAAGGCCCGGGTCGACGTGCCGCGAGTGGGGGGATGGGGGAGGGGCATGAGATCGGCGGGAAAAGTGGCACTGCCACATGAGTATGGCCTCTATGTCACCACTCCATTAGAATGCCCGCCGAAGGTCCTCGGGAGCGCACATTAGAGCATCCTGTGCTACTCACCAGTTGACTGGTTAGAACTTACTAGAGAATGGATCTTCTGACTTAAATCGTGACGACAATGTTGGCGACTCTTCCTCCTTTTATATATCAAGTAGAGGGTTTTTGTATCTAGAAGCTAAGATCGGTTTTCAGCGCATCATAGCTCTATAAATACGTTCAAACGGCCATAAGTATGGACATCAACATCCTCCACTGCTCATTTTGCAGCCGACGCCACCCCCATCGCTTCATTGTATCCTGTTATCCCAAGCACTGGAAACGAGGAGGACACGATGCTTCTTCATCGTCCTCTATCATTGGCCCTCCTCATCTTCTTCTTCTTCTTCCCATTGGCGAGAGCAGCCTACGAGATAGTAAACTTCGGGGCGAAACCTGGAGGGACTGTTGACGCATCCAACGCGCTCCGCAGAGCATGGAGCTCGGCCTGCAGTTCGGCAACGCCCGCCACAGTCCACGTCCCAAAGGGAACATTTCTACTACACTCCGTCATTCTCAGTGGGCCCTGCAAACGCTTCGTCACGCTCTGGATCGAAGGAACTTTCGTCGCTCCCTCGAACTACGCACTCATGCCGTCGAAGTGGATTACAATCACAAAAGTCAACGGTCTAAGGATCACGGGGGGAACTCTCGATGGACAGGGGAATGCCCTTTGGGCCTGCAAGCACGCCCGCCGTTCCTGCCCTCATGGGACTGACGTATGTGGATGTCTTCCCTCGTCGACCTACTGCCCTCTCCACCTCCATACGACCGAATTTTAATCACAAGTAACATCTTTCTGCGCGTCGACTGGTTCCAGACCCTCGCCATCGGAAATTCCAAGAACGTGGAGATCATCGGGCTTTCCTCGATCAACAGCAAGCTCTTTCACATCAGCATCTACAAGACCGAAAACGTGGCGTTACGGGGGCTGAAGATCGTCGCGCCGGAGGCCAGCCCCAACACCGACGGCATACACGTTCAGATGTCCCGCGGCGTCACCATCACCGGCAGTAGCATCAAGACCGGGGACGACTGCATCTCCATCGGGCCCGGCAGCACCAATATGTGGATCGAGGGGATTACCTGCGGGCCGGGGCATGGAATCAGGTGAGCCTCCGACGCCGCCCCTACCACACTTGGAGAGGAGAATTCTCGACTTCTTCTCTGTAGGCCTGATCGCTGTTTGGATTCAGCATCGGAAGCTTAGGGCGTTCGCTGCAGGAGGAAGGCGTGAAGAACATAACGGTGAAAACGGCCGAGTTCACGGGGACCCAGAATGGGCTGCGGATCAAAGCGTGGGCGAGGGACAGCACCGGGTTCGTCAATGGGGTGTCCTTCCAGCACGCCGTCATGAAGAATGTCGAGAACCCCATCGTCATCGACCAGAACTACTGCCCGTCAAGCCACGGCTGCCCCAGTCAGGTAGATCAACAAGAAAAGAGCCACTTTGGCGCGTAATCAACAGTCTCATTCTCTTATTCTTTCTGATCAGGCCTCAGGGATAAAGATCAACCAAGTGCAGTTTTGGGACATCAAAGGGACGTCAGCGAAGAAGGTGGCAGTGACGCTCGATTGCAGCCCCAGAAATCCGTGTAGAGGGATCTCCCTTAGGGACATTAAGCTCACTTACAATGGCGGGCCGGCCAAATCGTTCTGTTGTCATGCGTCCGGAACGACCATGGGTGTCGTTGATCCTTCGGGATGCTTATGAACTGCAAAGCCAGACATGGACTTACATATTGTTCGTGGGAAATGCAGTGTTATGTAACTGTTGCTGCTTTCCTGTTTCTTGGTGGTTCCAAAATCTCTAGGCACGCTGTGGTGAGTCGTAGATCTTACTGGACTGGGTATGATCCGGGCGCTTATCTGATCCGGACCAGACTCCATTAGAGTACGTGCCAACTGTTATCGGATTCGACCAGCCCGGCTCAGATGTATTAGTATGATTTTTCTTAGATCCCTATCATAGGAAGCTCACTTCTCTCTCTCTCTCTCTCTCTCTCTCTCTCTCTCTCTCTCTCTCTCCCGCAGAGACCTCCGGATACAAAAAGAAGCAACCAATCGTTCTCACTACTGAGGTCATTCTTCTAAAGTCTTAGGCGTGCATGCACGTGAAGAGAAAATGGTGCCACAGAAGCGCAAGAATACTAAAATCTGGATGTACACGCCAATCCCAAATCTATAGCTCTCTGAGTCCCCAAGACTTCTCAAGTAGCCATTTTCGTGGTCTACGCGAACCCATCCTAGCAGATCATACGTCCCTGCACATTCCTCTGATAATGATGCAAGACGGGATGAGAAAATGAATAGATCCAACAAATTTAAGAGGGTTAACAAGGGTAGGATCGAGTGATTTTTCACAAGATTTGAAACAAAAGGGATCAACACGATAAATGAACCACCAGTGATTAGGGTGCTCCACAGTCAATAAATAAACTAGATACAATCAATTGGGATTCTCACTCTAGGATAACCGTCAACTATATAAATGTGTGGACCTCTCTACGGATCACACAACGACAATATTTCAAGATAATATTTTAAATAAATAAAATACCCAAATTTGAAAAGAATAAAGATTTAGAAATAACCTTGTCACCGAAAATGGGCGACTTAGCAGTGGAGGAACACACGTTGAAGCTGGCTAGTTGTGGATGGTTGACCCGATGTTGACGATTAACCGATTCATTGGCCATTGACCTTTACCTTGACTGAGCTGACCTAGTGGACTTGGCACATCTGGCTCGAATGAGGCGAGGCGAGCTGGCACGAACTAGGTGGTCCGGAAACATTCAGATCAGCGAGCGGGATGGCGCGAATCCTTCAGTCTGAAATGATTGAACCAGCGAGGTAGTCTAGCTCAAACCTGGCGGCCGAGCTGGTTTGGGCCGGAAGGATGCAGGTTCACAAATTGGCGGGGATTTAACCCTAACCATAAGACGAGAATGGGAACTTGTACGGAACAGGCGGAACGATCACGGCCACTCCTCACGGAGCGAATGACCTTCATGGACTCTCCTTGCGGAGTGATTGACTCTCACGGCCTCTCCTTGTGGAGCGATACGAGGTAAACCTCAAATGAACTTCATCTTCTTCTTTGATCGTTCTAGGGCTACATGAGGATATTTATAACTTATACGATGATTAAAAACAGAAAAATACTTAAATAAGGATATTATGTCTTAATGGGCTTGGGCCGATGTGCTGAAGATGTGGAGATGTTCACCTGCTTCTTTGATCCCCATCAGATAAGCTCTAGCATTAGATTCGTGTTGCAATAGAGAAATCCCTTGGAATAGATTTTTGATAGATGATCGTTATATATTTTATGGAATATGATTTAATTGAGAAGGTTTTGATCTTCGAGCCTTCTACACAATAGAAGAATCCTCTGCAAAATATGACCGTTATATGCACCCATTATGCCAAGTGCACTCACAGACCATGCGTAGCGTCGTTCCCTCTGCATTTTTTCATAAAAACGATCTCTTAAGGGATGCAAGAGCCCAGTGAACAGAATCGCCAGCTCCTGCAACCTCATTTCGTAGAGTTGGATATTCTGTGAATAGATTATGCGAAGCCTGTATACATTACTAAGAATCTCCATTTGTTTATAATGCTCTCACGTAGGAAAAGAATGGACATTACGTGGTAATTAGATAGATTTGTCTGCTCTGTTCTTTGGCAGAAGGCTTCGAGGTACACAACAGAATATTCTAGACCTTGGGGGATTCACTATTCATGCTGACTTGGGCCCAAGTCAAAAGGTTGAATTCTGCCCAAAGCTAAACGTTCCTGGGTAGTTATATATGAGATAAATGTTGTGAGAGGACAGGAGCGACTGACAGACTTGCTACTTGTGGGTATAGATTCAGTGGCATCTTCACCACTTCAACTATTCTTTCTGTTAGAGAAGATAAATTGCTTATCAATCATAAAACAGCTGGCTATGCCATAGAATCCTTAATTCGTGTGATTACACTAAGTTTCTTAGAATAAATTCAATGTAGTGAAAGCACTTGTTAGTGCGTGCTATCAATCCTTTCATGCAAGTTCATACGTTTAAATAGCTTAAGAAGACTAATGTTTCTTGATATCATAATTACATTTAAAGCAAAGCTACTTATAATGGATACCCCCTTAGAACAAAAGAAAAACCAAGGTCGGACAAAATAAAGCCAGGCCTGAATCGCCCCTTTCAAACATAGCCCATTAAAATCCAGCAATTAAGTTGAACTAGTTCATCATAATTTGCAATTATCTTTTAATCCAAGCTGAACTTAAGCCGTGACCAGGAACCGTCACATCGACTTCTCAGCACTAAACCACTGAAAATCATTGGCAATTTGACCCATTCATTTAACAAAAGTTTACTCCTCATCTCGTCAACTGTCAAGAAACAATTTTTTTGGCAGGAAGAGGTCAATTATATGGTGATGGTGACTGTTTACGAAATTCATATCTCTTGAGGATCCCCCCCAGAGATAGAGGTTTCAGTTTAATCAGGATTAATGGTTATCTTTATTCTCCAATCCACAATACCTAGAATGAGAATCGGATTTCTTCAGCAGACCCGCTTAATATGTCTTTTCGGGCTGTATTGATCGTAAACAGCAAGAATATGGATTGCGGCACTCGACGGAGAAAGGAGTGAAGCACGCAACGGTGTCAGGAGTCTGCCTTCACGAGGACCCCAGAACGGGATGCGGATCAAGACCTGGGCAACGAGCTCGTCAGTGGGGTGTTCTTCCAGTTTGCCGCCATGGAGAAATGTCTAGACTCCATCGTCATCTACCAGAAACTACATATACCGAAAGGCCGGGCCTGCGCCAGTCAGATAGAGGAGGGAGCAAAGATGCATATCATAGTCTCATCTTTCTCTTCTTTCTGATCATTATAAGGCGGGTCTCACGGATGAAGATCGATCTGGTGAAGGACAAGGTCATCAAGGGGCCGTCGGCGACGGAGGCAGCGGTGAAACTCATCTTCAGTCACAGACATCTCTGCGGGATCTCCGAGCAGGCCATCCCAATAACCGGCCATTGATCACCTCGGAAAGCTTCTGGACTCCAATCCCAGCAATGAGCTTACGCATGGGTTTATGGGAAATGCGGCCTTATATTATATTGTTTCGGTTTTCCGTGTTCTTGGCCTTGGAGCAGTTGTTAGCCTCCAAGATCTCCATATTTGGGAGCCACCAGAGAAATCTCACAAGATGGGTCCCGGTTCTAAACCTCGTCGCATTCGGACCAATCTCCATTAATAACTCTCTCTCTCTCTTCATCTCTCAGGATTTCTCCGTCCACAGGATAAGCAGATTAACATCCTTATACACACACCCCAGTTAAATCGAAGTCACCAAAATTGTAACCACTCTCTACAACCAATAATCGGATAATTAACTCGTTACTTCGAACCGTTCTTTAAGATAGACGAGTTACAGCAGCTATGCTGCTATGCACTCGTAGAGACCTAAGTGAGAACGCACCATTTCAGGGCCATGAACAGATGAACAGGTACGGAGAGAATGGGACACATACGACAAATACGGGCCTGCTTTACATGGGTGTCGACGACCCTACGGGATTGTTAGACTGGATCAGGCCATTACATTGGTCAATTCACAGGAAGACCAGTCAGGCTTTTTTATTTTTTTAAAAATGATAGTCAATATGGTTTTGAACGTTTATTTTTGTTAGTTCAAGTTTTGAAAAGTAAGAAAACGGAGATCCATTTCACCCCCCACACAGTAGACGAAAAACATTAATTAGTGGAATAAAGATTAAATGGTTTGAGGTGGGCCATTCGACAACATGATAATTTAAGTTTGCATTAATTGGATTTTCTGGACTCGAGGCGCCGTCCGGGACAGACGCCCGCCCCTGCGGGAGACGGCAACCATCGAATGGTTCTCTCAAGTCCCGAGCTTGGAGCAGGGGAACGGCTGAGGCGACCGCGAAAGTCGCTTTTCTCACGCACAGTCAGTGACGGCGGAATGGGGTAACCTGCGGTCGCTGGGCCCGCCACCCTTTACGTCTTTGACTCAAGCGAAGACCTGTCACCATCCTCCCGTCTTCCAGTCCACCCAGGTATTTCCTTCATTTTGAATCCATCTTTCTTCCTGTTAGTTTGCCTGCGCTGACATGACGAAGTGGCCGACATGGTTGGGGCTCGAAGTTGGGCGGATTATTTTTTTGAATCAGCGATTTATCCAGGTTTTCAGCGTTCCTCTGTCTCAGTTCTCAAAACGCATGAGCTGATCCGCGGCAAAAAGTAGTTGTGGGAGTAGTTTGGTGATCTCCATTGACCGATTTTTATACTGCGTTCTTTCAGTACTCGAAGTTGGCGAAAGAAGAAGACAAGCGAGACTTCAGGCTGTGGTCTTTAAGCCCTTAAATTTTTGAACCCACCCCTTGGTTTCCTCGACATGGCGTGGGAGTCGGGACGGAAAAGAGCGCAGATAGGGGAGCCATAAACTCGCCGTCTCCCGCCTTGGTTATTGATTTCCGCATTTCACAGTTTCTTCTCAACACACCGCTCTATTAACCCTCCACACATCAGTCTCTTTCCAAGTCGCCGTTGGACTCCCCCTCTATTTCTCTCTCAGAGAGGGGCTGCGGGGTGTGGGCAGTTCCCATTTTCCTGCTCCTGTTTACGGATGTGGTGGCGATGGATCGCAGGTCAGTAGCCCGAATTCACCTGATAGAGCCAGCTGAACGAGATCTGTGTTATGCTTCTCTCTGTGGGTTGTGGCGCGTTGGGTTGTTCGGGAAATCGGGGATTCTCGTCGCCCCTGCGCTGTTCTTGCCTCAATCTTGCATTTCATGCTAAATCCAGGGTCTCGGTACCTCTCTTGATGACCGGTTGTCGCTATCATGTCTGAATTTGGTGGGTTCGAACGGAAAATTATTATTTTACTTCATATCCTTGAATCGTAGCGATTCTTTCTTTATTTTTAGATCATTTTCTCTTCGATCACCTTGTTTCCCAACTGGATTTAGCATAGTTTTTGAACCTTGCATAGTTCTTTGTTCCTCGCATCTGGTGGGATTAAACTATGCCTTCTTCATTAAAGATATCGTTTAACTCATCATGCAAGATGTTGGATTCATTTAGCATCTTCTCTGCCGCCCCTTCTGACCTCATGAGAATGCCATTGATAAGAGTTGGGGAAACTATCTGTTGTTTATGCCTGCATATCAGATAACTGTTCATATATTTAGTAGGTGAATTGAATTTACTTGCAATATGTACAAATTCTTTTATTGGGAGCTGTTCCTTGAGCCGCACTGCCGTTTGTTCAAAGAAACCCAAGAATAAAACATGTGGGTACTTGTTGAGTTGCCATGGGAGATTGCTGTGATCGATCTAAATTCGGATTTTTTTTATCATGAGGGCATGAAGAACTTAATGTTGGACATTTAATGGCCCATCAAGATTCTTCTTTTTTAGATCAGTTGGGCCGGTTATTCTTGGGGTAACATCCATAATCTAGTAGCTGCCAAGCATTCATTGAAGGGGCAGCCAGGCTCGCCCCTGATGGACGCTGACCAGCTATGGTTCCCTTTACAGGTTTTACTTTTCAATGCTACCTCATTAGAGGTCGAACATGGAAATAATTTATTAACGTGCTATTTAAATTCCATTCATCAAGCATCATATTAGAAAATAGTGAAAAAATAACTTTCCTTTTGTACAAATAATAAAAAAAAGAAATACAGCCATTAAGACGATTTTAGTTGTCCTGCTATTTTCCGCCATTAAGCCATCCAGTGGCTTTACCATTTATCTTTAAATCCATTGCAGGTTCTTTCTAGTGGATGCTGACTGACCATCTTAGTGGAGACTGCGCGCAGTCTAGATTCCCAGGGTTGACTAATTATCTCCTATTCCTATCCAATGCCATGGGACGCAACGATCTCACTGCACTTCTTCATCCCATCCTCTGGTTGCTGGTGAGCAGTGTAACCAACGGCGCTGAAGGTGATATCCATTGCTTACAGAGCATTCGTGCATCCCTGCATGACCCCAACAGCTACCTAAATGTGTGGAAATTTGGTGATCATCCCGATGGGTACATCTGCAAGTTTCCTGGTGTAGAATGCTGGCACCCTAACGAGAACAAGGTGCTCAGCCTACGGCTTTCTGGCATGGGTCTCCAGGGCTCATTCCCCTCAGGCATTGAGAACTGCACCAGCTTGACCGGATTGGACCTCTCAAACAATAACCTCTCGGGGCCCATTCCTCTGGATATCTCCCGCAAGATAAAGTTTGTGACGATGCTCGATCTGTCATATAATAGCTTCTCCGGGGAAATTCCAGTGGGGCTGGCAAACTGCTCCTACCTCAATGTCCTCGATCTCCAACATAACCAACTGAGCGGCGGCATTCCTCAGGCGCTGGGCCAGCTCATTCGACTCAACTCTTTGAATGTTGCTGACAACTTGTTGACAGGGGTAGTCCCTCCATTTGCCAATCCTAGCGTCACCCTAAACCTTGAGAATAACCCTGGTCTCTGTTCGAGAGGTTCCTCGGGTCCATGCAAAGGAAAGGAAAATACTAATGTGGGAGTTATCATCGGTCCCGCCGCTGGTGGGCTGTTATTGACCGCCATAGTTGTTGCTGCTATTCTATTTCTCCGTGTACGAAGAGCAAAATCACCCAAGAGGAGAACAGATGATGGGAACAGATGGGCGAAGAGCTTCAAAGGAACCAAAAACATCCAGGCAAGACGATTTTATTTTTATCCGATTATTTAACAAGTTTCTTGACTGAATGATACTGTGTTCTTGGTTTTTTATTTTTACGTGGAATTGGAAACCCACCCCACCTTAACAGATGCTGCGTCGTCCAGGTATTTATGTTCGAGAAGTCCATCTCGAAAATGAAGCTGAGTGATCTGATGGGAGCCACCAATGACTTCAGTGACGAGACAATCATCGTCTCCAGCGGAACGGGGACAGTGTACAGGGCAACCCTTCCCGACGGTTCCCGCCTAGCTGTGAAGAGGCTTCGGGATTCTCAACATTCGGAGAAGCAGTTTCAGTCGGAAATGGCAACACTTGGCAGCATGAGGCACAATAACCTTGTTCCCCTCCTCGGCTTTTGCATTGCCAAGAGAGAGAGACTGGTGGTGTACAAACACATGGCGAACGGGACTCTATACAATCGGTTGCATGATGATGATCCTGAGGGACAAGGTATGGAGTGGCCGCACCGTCTGAGGATCGGCATCGGGGCAGCTAGAGGCCTAGCATGGCTTCATCACAATTGCAATCCCCGGGTACTTCACCGCAACATAAGCTCAAAGTGCATTCTATTGGACGAGGATTATGAACCCAAGATATCTGATTTTGGTCTCGCGAGGCTGATGAATCCAGTCGACACACATCTCAGTACTTTTGTCAACGCTGGATTCGGCGAACTGGGTTACATCGCCCCCGAGTATGTACGGACACTGAGGGCCACTCCGAAGGGCGACGTCTTCAGCTTTGGGGTGGTCCTCATCGAGCTGGTCACCAGTGAGAGACCAACTCATGTGGCCAGTGCTCCAGGAGGCTTCAATGGGACCTTGGTGGAATGGATTAGCCATCTTTCATGCAATTCCCTTCTGCAGGACGCGATTGACAAGTCTTTGGTGGGAAAGGGCTGCGACGAGGAGCTTTTCCAATTCCTGAAGATCGCATGCTCGTGTGTTCTGCCTGATCCTAAAGAGAGGCCCACCATGTTTGAAGTGTTCCAGTTTCTGAGAGTTATTGGGGAGAGATATCATTTTACAGCAGAAGATGACTTAGGTTTGCTCCAAGGGAGCGACGCCAATTATCCAGATGAACTGATTGTAGCCCAATAACCTGAGGTCAGTCTGCCAAGTCAGATCGATATGTTTCTTCCTGATCTCTTTGACTTTTATTTTTGCTTCATTCTGTACAGCTGTATGACTTTTAGGTGTTGAAGTATATGAGTGGATCCATGCATCATTATTGCTTGTCTGGGATAGTTCAAACCCATCTTCTCATTTTAAGTTTTTTTTCTGGGCTTTATTATCTAAGAAAATATTACTAAAATAATTCATGGCGCTGATGCCATGCTCAAGATGACCTACATATAGGCGCATAAAAGCACATTCTTTTTGTTCATCAACTTTATTACCGGAGTATTCAAGACTAACTACTCCCCAATCTCCTGCAGTAAGAAGGGTGACGCGAGCTACAGAACATGTAAACGCCACGGCAAAGATCTCTTCCTGAACCTTGTAGAGCCAGTCAGATCCTGTGACGAATCAGAGCTCGAGATCTACCTCGATGTTCTACAACTGATCGTAAATTCTTCAAGTCGGAGCAGTATCTGGGAATGGAGTCTGTCTGTGAGTAGCTGATGACTGATATTAGCACCCGTGTGCGGTCTTGGTTTATCTGCCCATGTGATTTCTTTCTATTAGAATAATGTCCAGATAGCCGATCTGAGCTCTGAAATATGAATAGGAAGGTGAGGCGGCGCGAAGAATACTTTGATTCCGCCACTGTATAACCTTGGTCTAGGAAAAATAATAATCAGATAAATGAATGCTGGGAGACGTAGTCTGAAGCAGTCTTCTTCTCAGCTCGGAGGATTACGGTCGCGACAGGGAAGTATAGCTGTCTCGTGTCCGATACTGAGCTATAAAGTAGTGATTTTACGGTCAAGTGATAATAGGAGCCGTTGACCCGGATTCTATTAATGGATGGACGGATGTTCATGAGGTGACCTGCATGCTCCACGAAGTAGAGACTGCTTCCACTCTAGCCTCTCCGCGAAGTTTTCGATGGCGGGGGCACGTGGACCACACAAAAATAGAGATAAGAGGGAGAGAGACAGAGATGGCGGACGGGTCGTAGAGACACTGGGTCCGCTGCTCATGTCGGTGAAGCCTCATTAGCAAAAACGACACGGGGGGGGCGGCGCGGGATGGCGGCTAAGCTGCCTTCAAATAGCAACAACGACACGGAAAGGACCAGCCTGAACGGGAATCTCAGGGGGAAGGACAGAGAGAGAGAGAGAGATGGCGGAGATGGTGCAGAACAAGAAGATTGTGTTCCGGCAATACGTTGCTGACAACTTGTTTACAGGAGTAGTCCCTCCATTTGCCAATCCTAGCGTCACCCTAAACCTTGAGAATAACCCTGGTCTCTGTTCGAGAGGCTCTTCGGGTCCATGCAAAGGAAAGGAAAATACTAATGTGGGAGTTATCATCGGTCCCGCCGCTGGTGGGCTGTTATTGACCGCCATAGTTGTTGCTGCTATTCTATTTCTCCGTGTACGAAGAGCAAAATCACCCAAGAGGAGAACAGATGATGGGAACAGATGGGCGAAGAGCTTCAAAGGAACCAAAAACATCCAGGCAAGACGATTTTATTTTTATCCGATTATTTAACAAGTTTCTTGACTGAATGATACTATGTGTTCTTGGTTTTTTATTTTTACGTGGAATTGGAAACCCACCCCACCTTAACAGATGCTGCGTCGTCCAGGTATTTATGTTCGAGAAGTCCATCTCGAAAATGAAGCTGAGTGATCTGATGGGAGCCACCAATGACTTCAGTGACGAGACAATCATCGTCTCCAGCGGAACGGGGACAGTGTACAGGGCAACCCTTCCCGACGGTTCCCGCCTAGCTGTGAAGAGGCTTCGGGATTCTCAACATTCGGAGAAGCAGTTTCAGTCGGAAATGGCAACACTTGGCAGCATGAGGCACAATAACCTTGTTCCCCTCCTCGGCTTTTGCATTGCCAAGAGAGAGAGACTGGTGGTGTACAAACACATGGCGAACGGGACTCTATACAATCGGTTGCATGATGATGATCCTGAGGGACAAGGTATGGAGTGGCCGCACCGTCTGAGGATCGGCATCGGGGCAGCTAGAGGCCTAGCATGGCTTCATCACAATTGCAATCCCCGGGTACTTCACCGCAACATAAGCTCAAAGTGCATTCTATTGGACGAGGATTATGAACCCAAGATATCTGATTTTGGTCTCGCGAGGCTGATGAATCCAGTCGACACACATCTCAGTACTTTTGTCAACGCTGGATTCGGCGAACTGGGTTACATCGCCCCCGAGTATGTACGGACACTGAGGGCCACTCCGAAGGGCGACGTCTTCAGCTTTGGGGTGGTCCTCATCGAGCTGGTCACCAGTGAGAGACCAACTCATGTGGCCAGTGCTCCAGGAGGCTTCAATGGGACCTTGGTGGAATGGATTAGCCATCTTTCATGCAATTCCCTTCTGCAGGACGCGATTGACAAGTCTTTGGTGGGAAAGGGCTGCGACGAGGAGCTTTTCCAATTCCTGAAGATCGCATGCTCGTGTGTTCTGCCTGATCCTAAAGAGAGGCCCACCATGTTTGAAGTGTTCCAGTTTCTGAGAGTTATTGGGGAGAGATATCATTTTACAGCAGAAGATGACTTAGGTTTGCTCCAAGGGAGCGACGCCAATTATCCAGATGAACTGATCGTAGCCCAATAACCTGAGGTCAGTCCGCAAAGTCAGAGAAATCGGCGACTCCTGGTCGCCACCTGGGGGAGGTTGAGAACTGGTTGCGCTTCGGTGAAGACTTCAATAGCAACAACGACACGGAGAGAAGGAGTTGCCTGAACGGGAATCTTAGGGGGAGAGAGAGAGAGAGCGATGGCGGCCGAGCTACAAGGTCAGAGAGAAATTGAGGAGTCTCACTCGCCACGTGGTGAAGGTAGTACTACTGGTTGCGCACCTCATCTCTCCGCGAAGTTTTCGATGGCGGCGGCACGTAGACCACACATAAATAGAGATAGGAGGGAGAGACACAGAGATGGCGGACTGGTCCAAGAGACACTGGGTCCGCTGCTCATGTCGGTGAAGCCTTCATTAGCAAAAACGACACGGGGGGGGGCGGCGCGGGATGGCGGCTCAGCTGCCTTCAAATAGCAACAACGACACGGAAAGAAGGAGCTGCCTGAACGGGAATCTCAGGGGAAGGGAGAAAGAGCGAGAGAGAGAGAGAGAGAAAGATGGCGGAGGTGGTGCAGAACAAGAAGATTGTGCTCCGGCACTACGTGACGGTGTTCCCCACGGAGAGCGACTTCGAGGTGGTGACCGGGGAGACCGTCAGCCTGAAGGTACCCGAGGGGTCGGGGGCCGTCCTCGTGAAGAACCTCTATCTCTCCTGCGACCCCTACATGCGCGGTCGCATGACAAAGCACGAAGATCCGAGCTACGTGTCTGACTTTACTCCCGGCTCGGTAACAGCAACGTCGTCTCCCTTCCCGTCTCTTCTTTTTTTCCCTTCTTCCTTGTCCTGCATCTTCCGTCCGGATGATGTTTCAGGGTTGCCGCCATGCATAGATCTTTCTACGGTTTATTTTAAATCCAAATATGTCACAATTGAAGATTGGTTTAATCTTCTTTCCCCCCACTGTTTTTTTCTCTCCACTTGCAGGCCATTGTTGGCTACGGTGTGGTGAGAGTTGTGCATTCGGGGAAACCTAATATTGCCGAGGGGGATCTCTTCTGGGGGATGACCGGTTGGGAAGAGTACACCCTGATCGAGAACCCCGAATCTCTGTTCAAGATCAAGTACAATGATCTTCCCCTCTCCTACTACACCGGACTTCTAGGTGAGCCTTTGGATCGGTCCTGTGAAGAAGGCTTGCTTTCATAGCCACAATGTTCCATATAAGGCTATGATTTTGGGGTTCTTCATGATATTCGTCACCTAATCTTATACCCAGTTGGAATAAAGTTTTATATTTGGTGCATTCACCTGATACCCAGCTACATTTATTGAGATTTCATTTCCCAGTACATGCATGGAGGTGAACCTTCGGGGTTCTTCAGCCGAATTCCAACGGTCTGCAACTCTACGTCAGGATCCCTTGATGCAATTTACTAGTCCTTGATAATATTTTTTCTGATTTCTCTGTTCCCCAATCAATGAAGAAGTCCGCAGCAACTGAAATCATAGTAAATTCAGAGCTAAAGTTGATCCTTGTGTTCACAGGTATGCCAGGCTTCACAGCCGCTGTTGGGTTCCATGAAATATGCTCCCCGCAGAAAGGCGAATACGTGTTCGTATCTGCTGCATCGGGGGCAGTCGGCCAGCTTGTTGGGCAGTTCGCCAAGCTAATGGGATGCTATGTAGTCGGAAGCGCTGGGTCTGATGAGAAGGTATGAAGAACCTGATTGGAGTTTGGATTCTCTCTCTCGACGGAATAAGTCGCTAATGACAGTAGATCTGTCCATGTTCTCTTGAATTGGCAATCGGACTTCATTTTTCTGAAAAAAACAGAGTTCATCTATCAGTGGGCGCTGGTTTAATGGGCTTCTTCTTCTCCTGTCTACCTGGTTCAGGTCGAACTGCTGAAGAACAAGCTGGGATTTGAGGAGGCGTTCAACTACAAGAAAGAGACCGACTTGAAGGCGGCTTTGAAAAGGTGGGTGCTCAGGACAGGATATCACTGCGTTCATGAGCACGATTTCTCGTCTAGATCATCTATAAAAGGAAGGGATTTCGATCAGACCCAGATAACACCCCGACGATGAGCATGATTTCTTATGTGAATCAACTAGAACAGGGAGGGATTTCGATCAGACCCATAACGACACCCCTGCAATCTGGAATTTGATTCCTTCTTTAAATCATCTAAAAAAGGAAGGCATTTTCATCAGGCCCAGATTCCACCGAGATCTCTACCATAATTCCTCGTCTGAATCATCTCAAACAAGAAGGGTTTTCTGATCGTCGAATTGAAAAACTGCCATTTCAGGTACTTCCCGGAGGGCATCGACATCTACTTCGAAAACGTCGGCGGGGCGATGCTTGACGCCGTTCTTGCAAACATGAGAATGAATGGGCGCATCGCGGCGTGCGGGATGATCTCCCAATACAACCTGGAGAAGCCCGAAGGCGTCCATAATCTGTTCTACTTGACCACCAAGCGGATCCGGATGCAGGGGTTCTTGGTCTTTGATCATTTCCACAAGTACCCAGAATTTGAGGACAGAGTGGCCCAGTACGTCAGAGAGGGGAAGATTTTTTACTTGGAGGACATCGCGGAAGGGCTGGAGAGCGCTCCAGCAGCCCTCATCGGCCTCTTCTCCGGCCGCAACGTCGGGAAGCAGCTGGTCGCGGTATCTCGTGAGTAAGTTGGCTGCACTGCTTCGAGCTAGCTTTTTGTTGGTCAACTCTTTTCCTCATGACCGGCTGCGATGACTCCGGCTCTATGTTTCCTGACATGTGATGCTCTCTAAACGATGTTCACTTGCTTGCTGAGTTCTCCAGTCACATAATGAGATGATTTAAGGAGATTGGCAGAAGGTAGAGAGAGAGAGAGAGAGAGAGAGAGAGAGAGAGAGGATGGAGGACGTGATAAATAATAAGAAGAGTGGGCTCTGACTTGAAGGTTGACTTTCAAGGTGCCCTTTATGAAAGAAGCCACATTCATTCCTTCTTTGAAGAGGTCGTGGTGGGTGTGGCCAATCTCATGGATCTGTCCAGGGCCAGAGGAACGTTGTTCCATGCCCAGGCATCTTTTCCAGCCCTGGCCCGGTCAAAAGGTAGAGTTTACTCGCACCCCAAGGCGCTTAAAGAATCGTAGCACCCCCCCCGGTGCCTAGTTTCTTCATACTTCCAGCCACCACGGTCAACGGTAATCGGGGGCGGCCGCTTCAGAGAAGACGGGGACGGCTGCTGAGAGTCGAATCGGAGAGTGTTGGTTTCGTTCATGCCAACGACGGGGGGAGATGAGGTAGTACAAGTTAGGTCGGGAGATGAGGTAGTACAGAATGCACCGCTTCCAATCTGCCACTTTGTTTGGGCCGTCATCCTCTTCAACCCAGTCCACAACTTCCTTATCGCTAGATGGTATTTGCTCCAACCTCGAGAAGCCTCCGATTTTCGAGAAGAAGGAGGTGGGGGTTGGGGGGGGGGGGGAGACGAGGGGATGGGGGAAGAAGTTGTGAGGAACAAGAAGGTTGTGCTCCGGCACTACGTGACCGGGTTCCCCAAGGAGAGCGACTTCGAGGTGGTGACCGGGGAGACCGTCAGCCTGAAGGTACCCGAGGGGTCGGGGGCCGTCCTCGTGAAGAACCTCTATCTCTCCTGCGACCCCTACATGCGCGGTCGCATGACAAAGCACGAAGATCCGAGCTACGTGTTTGACTTTACTCTCGGCTCGGTAACAGCAACGTCGTCTCCCTTCCCGTCTCTTCTTTTTTTCCCTTCTTCCTTGTCCTGCATCTTCCGTCCGGATGATGTTTCAGGGTTGCCGCCATGCATAGATCTTTCTACGGTTTATTTTAAATCCAAATATGTCACAATTGAAGATTGGTTTAATCTTCTTTCCCCCCACTGTTTTTTTCTCTCCACTTGCAGGCCATTGTTGGCTACGGTGTGGTGAGAGTTGTGCATTCGGGGAAACCTAATATTGCCGAGGGGGATCTCTTCTGGGGGATGACCGGTTGGGAAGAGTACACCCTGATCGAGAACCCCGAATCTCTGTTCAAGATCAAGTACAATGATCTTCCCCTCTCCTACTACACCGGACTTCTAGGTGAGCCTTTGGATCGGTCCTGTGAAGAAGGCTTGCTTTCATAGCCACAATGTTCCATATAAGGCTATGATTTTGGGGTTCTTCATGACATTTGTCACCTGATCTTATACCCAGTTGGAATAAAGTTTTATATTTGGTGCATTCACCTGATACCCAGCTATATTTATTGAGATTTCATTTCCCAGTACATGCATGGAGGTGAACCTTCGGGGTTCTTCAGCCGAATTCCAACGGTCTGCAACTCTACGTCAGGATCCCTTGATGCAATTTACTAGTCCTTGATAATATTTTTTCTGATTTCTCCGTTCCCCAATCAATGAAGAAGTCCGCAGCAACTGAAATCATAGTAAATTCAGAGCTAAAGTTGATCCTTGTGTTCACAGGTATGCCGGGCTTCACAGCCGATGTTGGGTTCCATGAAATATGCTCCCCGCAGAAAGGCGAATACGTGTTCGTATCTGCTGCATCGGGGGCAGTCGGCCAGCTTGTTGGGCAGTTCGCCAAGCTAATGGGATGCTATGTAGTCGGAAGCGCTGGGTCTGATGAGAAGGTATGAAGAACCTGATTGGAGTTTGGATTCTCTCTCTCGACGGAATAAGTCGCTAATGACAGTAGATCTGTCCATGTTCTCTTGAATTGGCAATCGGACTTCATTTTTCTGAAAAAAACAGAGTTCATCTATCAGTGGGCGCTGGTTTAATGGGCTTCTTCTTCTCCTGTCTACCTGGTTCAGGTCGAACTGCTGAAGAACAAGCTGGGATTTGAGGAGGCGTTCAACTACAAGAAAGAGACCGACTTGAAGGCGGCTTTGAAAAGGTGGGTGCTCAGGACAGGATATCACTGCGTTCATGAGCACGATTTCTCGTCTAGATCATCTATAAAAGGAAGGGATTTCGATCAGACCCAGATAACACCCCGACGATGAGCATGATTTCTTATGTGAATCAACTAGAACAGGGAGGGATTTCGATCAGACCCATAACGACACCCCTGCAATCTGGAATTTGATTCCTTCTTTAAATCATCTAAAAAAGGAAGGCATTTTCATCAGGCCCAGATTCCACCGAGATCTCTACCATAATTCCTCGTCTGAATCATCTCAAACAAGAAGGGTTTTCTGATCGTCGAATTGAAAAACTGCCATTTCAGGTACTTCCCGGAGGGCATCGACATCTACTTCGAAAACGTCGGCGGGGCGATGCTTGACGCCGTTCTTGCAAACATGAGAATGAATGGGCGCATCGCGGCGTGCGGGATGATCTCCCAATACAACCTGGAGAAGCCCGAGGGCGTCCATAATCTGTTCTACTTGACCACCAAGCGGATCCGGATGCAGGGGTTCTTGGTCTCTGATCATTACCACAAGTACCCGGAATTTGAGGACAGAGTGGCCCAGTACGTCAGAGAGGGGAAGATTTTTTACTTGGAGGACATCGCGGAAGGGCTGGAGAGCGCTCCAGCAGCCCTCATCGGCCTCTTCTCCGGCCGCAACGTCGGGAAGCAGCTGGTCGCGGTATCTCGTGAGTAAGTTGGCTGCACTGCTTCGAGCTAGCTTTTTGTTGGTCAACTCTTTTCCTCATGACCGGCTGCGATGACTTCGGCTCTATGTTTCCTGACATGTGATGCTCTCTAAACGATGTTCACTTGCTTGCTGAGTTCTCCAGTCACATAATGAGATGATTTAAGGAGATTGGCAGAAGGTAGAGAGAGAGAGAGAGAGAGAGAGAGAGAGAGGATGGAGGACGTGATAAATAATAAGAAGAGTGGGCTCTGACTTGAAGGTTGATTTTCAAGGTGCCCTTTATGAAAGAAGCCACATTCATTCCTTCTTTGAAGAGGTCGTGGTGGGTGTGGCCAATCTCATGGATCTGTCCAGGGCCAGAGGAACGTTGTTCCATGCCCAGGCATCTTTTCCAGCCCTGGCCCGGTCAAAAGGTAGAGTTTACTCGCAACCCAAGGCGCTTAAAGAATCGTAGCACCCCCCCCGGTGCCTAGTTTCTTCATACTTCCAGCCACCACGGTCAACGGTAATCGGGGGCGGCCGCTTCAGAGAAGACGGGGACGGCTGCTGAGAGTCGAATCGGAGAGTGTTGGTTTCGTTCATGCCAACGACGGGGGGAGATGAGGTAGTACAAGTTAGGTCGGGAGATTTTTCTGTCGGCCACCGACGTGGAGTTGCATGGTAAAATTTTGAGAACGACCGGCCAGGATCTCCTCTGCACAGAATGCACCGCTTCCAATCTGCCACTTTGTTTGGGGCGTCATCCTCTTCAACCCAATCCACAACTTCCTTATCGCTAGATGGTATTTGCTCCAACCTCGAGAAGCCTCCGATTTTCGAGAGGAAGGGGGTGGGGGGGGGGGGGGGGAGACGAGGGGATGGGGGAAGAAGTGGTGAGGAACAAGAAGGTTGTGCTCCGGCACTACGTGTCGGGGTTCCCCAAGGAGAGCGACTTCGAGGTGGTGACCACGGAGACCGTCCGTCTGATGGTGCCCGAGGGTTCGGGGGCCGTCCTCGTGAAGAGCCTCTACCTCTCCTGCGACCCCTTCATGCGCTCTCGCATGAGCAGGCGTGAAGATCTGAATTTCTACCCCGAGTTCACTCCCGGATCGGTAACAGCAAAACACCAAACTCTTTCTTCCGTTGTCGATCTGAAACGAGAAAGAACTTTCCTTGCTTGGAAAACGAACCAGCAATACCTCTCGAGTAATAACCATCCGTGAACAAACCTTCCAAAGTGCTTTGAGGAATCCACAGTCAATACAAAGAAGAAATGCCCAAGACAAACAGTCCAGACTTTTGAATAAACCGGACAAATCCCTTTAATTTTAGCTGAACAATGCCCACGTAGACTGGTTCCTGAAAATGCCATGTTTCCGTTCATCACAGCCTTAAATTGGACTTGGCATGCCTGTGTTTTTTTACATGCATACTCTCTCTTCCTCTTCTTTATCTCTGATTCTCGTCAATCGCAGGTGATTTCTGGCATAGGGGTGGCGAGAGTTGTAGACCCCGGGAACTCTGACTTTTCTCGGGGGGAGCTTGTGTGGGGAGCCATTGGATGGGAGGAGTACAGCCTCATAGAGAACCCCGAGTCTCTCGTCAAAATCAGACATGAGGATCTGCCACTTTCTTACTACGCCGGACTCATCGGTAAGAATCGACCTTTTTCTTATGAACAAAGCTGGCATTATGATCTCATCCGGGAAATTTTATAAAAAAATCATAGCTTTACAAGGTGGGCTCTCACAAGTTGGAATTCGGTCGGTCCGACCCACCACCCAGGCATTGGTAAGTCAATCGGATGGAGAGCTTGTTGACTCTCGACTGTTGCAGGTCTTATCCAGTACCAAGTCAGACAATCTTGAATGTGAGATCGACCCTTATTTAGCATTGTAGAAGACAATAAAGTGGTTCTGATGATTAAAGAATCATATTTCTAGTACAAATTTGCGTTCATCATGTGAATTGGTTCTGACTAATGGGAGGCATTTTGTTTCATAACAGGGATGACGGGCTTCTCAGCCAGCGTTGGATTCTACGACATCTGCTCCCCTAAGAAAGAGCAGTATGTGTTCGTGTCAGCCGCATCGGGGGCGGTCGGCCAGCTCGTCGGGCAGTTTGCCAAGCTAACCGGCTGCTACGTGGTCGGAAGCGCTGGCTCTGATGAGAAGGTGGGCATTGAGAGAACTCCCGCTTGACCCCAAGTACCATCGTATCAGCTATGCCCACCTTCTTGTTTCAGGTAGGGCTGCTGAAGGGCAAGCTAGGTTTTGACGACGCATTCAACTACAAGAAGGAGTCTGACCTGAATGCCACTTTGAAGAGGTCCCCGCCGATCAACGCCGCTTTTTAGTTGATCCCTCTGCTCTCCCTTTCTGTTTGTGATGGTTGACCGTAGGAGGTGCTTGCCGGTGGGCGGCACAGGTACTTCCCTGAAGGCATCGACATCTACTTCGACAACGTTGGCGGCAGAACGCTCGAGGCCGTTCTCCCAAACATGAGGACGAGCGGGCGCATTTCAGCTTGCGGGATGATCTCCCAGTACAATCTACAAGAGCCCGAGTGCATCCACAACCTGTTCCACCTCATCACCAAGTGCGTCCGCATTGAGGGATTCATGGCCCACAGACACCTTCACAAGTACCCAGAATTCGAGGACAAGATGGCGGGGCTTATCAAGGAAGGGAAGATCGTCTACATGGAGGACGTCGCCGAGGGGATTGACAGTGCCCCAGCAGCCTTCGTGAACCTCTTCACCGGCCGCAACTTCGGGAAGCAGTTAGTCTTGGTCGCTCGTGACTGACTATTCGGTCGCACACTGTGAATGGAAGAGGGAGAGAGAGAGAGGGAGACTCCCTTGCCAATTAATGGAGTAGGGCGCGACACAAGCTTTTACCCATTTGCGAGCGAGTAATGACGACCCGTGAATCTCTTCTACTAGAGAGGTTCCCAAGTCCTTTGAGGAATCCACAGCTTTGTCCCCCGGTGTGCAAATTCCATATTAAATATTATTTAGTAATGAATGAGTGAATGTTATTATGCTGCATGGGATTCTATTGAATGTTATTCAATAGAGTGATTTTTTCTGACATTTTTGGTCTCAAATCCTGCCATTGCAAGATTTAAATAAAGGTATTTCTCATTAAAAAATTATCAAAAAAGGGTATTTAAAGAAAATCATAGATTTAAAAGGTGGGTTCTCACAAGTTGGAACTTGGTCGATTCAAGCCGCCACCCACTCATTAGTAAGTCAATCGAATGGAGCTCCTTGGGTCTTGACTTTTTGCAAGTCTTATCCAGTACCAAGTCGGGAAATCTTGAACATGAGGTCAAACTTTAAATTGGATCCTATTTTATGTACAATTTTTTGTGTTCATCACATGAATTGGTTCTGATCATGAGAGGTACTTCGTTTCACAACAGCCAGCACGTTATGAAATATGCTGCTGCTATGTGGTCGGAAGCTCTAGCTCTGATGAGAAGGTAGCCATTGAAAAACCTCCATATCAGTTATGCCCACCGCTTGCTGATCTTTCTCCCCACCTTTTTTTTTTTTTTTACCTCCAGTCGAGCTGCTCAAGGGCAAGCTGGGGTTTGTCAACGCATTCAATGACAGGAGGGGGTCTGACTTGAATGCCACTTTGAAGAGGTCGCCACCGGTCAACCCCCCTCCTGTTCGTGATGGGAATGTGAGTGCGTCCGCATGGGAGGGATTACTGGTTCACAATCACCTTCACAAGTACCCGGAATACGAGAACAAGATGGCAGGGCTTATCAGGGAAAGGACATCGCCGGCGGCCTTGGCGGGCATCTTCACTCACTGGCCGGAATGTTGGGGGGCAGCTGCTCTTGGTCGCAAGAGAGTGACCATTAGATTTGCAAACTTATGGATTGATCTTCTGAGAAGCAACTAAGAACGAAAGAGGGTACCCATCTGAATCTCAGAAAACTGATCAAATAGAATTATACTCTATGTTCTGAGCATGAAATGTGAAAATTCAGATGCTGCTATACATGATACCAGTCGGCCTCCGGTGCAGCTTCCATTGATGCCACTGGGTTTTCCTGAGAGCACTACACTGGAAGGGAATAGCCTCTGAGGGACTTGGAATCGACCCCGGATTCCCGCACCAGCGCCACCCGGCCCGTTCTCGCCACCTGCATTTCAGGAGGGGGAGTGAGAGAGAAGATGTGAATCTCCTTTGAAGTGTGCTGTCACTTGGGTAACCAAAGATTCATACTGGTTTCAATAGTTAAGCATGAGACTCCACAACTCCATTTTTGGAAGGTTTGCAGCCGTACCTCACATATGCCGTAGGGTTCCAGAAGCCTTTGTAGTGCAACCATCTTATCCAGATCTCCCGTCACCTGAACAAAGGTTGAACAAGCTCGAGGTCACAATCGCCAAAGGGGTAAATTACATACAGGTGAAGAAATTGGGCTCTGTTTTGCGTCGGCGTTCTCACTTGCCCAACGAGAGTTTCAAGAAGATGGTGGAGCTCAAAAGATTACCACAAGAAAAAATCAAAATAAAATTATTCAACCGTCAGGCAGCCTTTTTATTTATGGATAAAGCATAAGTGACGCTTCTTCCATCGACGTATCAAAAGGCTGTAGCAAACCTCTCTCTATCTCATCTGACAAGCATTCTCTGTCTGATGATCATATCCTTGTCCTTACAGAGCAACTTTGAATAGGGTAATGGTATCGCATCATTGATTACGGGAGTGATCGCTTAAATTTTACAAACTTTGAATAACAGAGTAATGGTGCCGCCGTCGTGTGATGATCAACCATACTGATATAGGCACTTAAATGTTTATTAAAGTTTTCAGGAAAATTTATTGTGAGACCAGAGAGGACCAAATTTACAACAGATGAGAAAACCAATAAGTATAGATAAATGGAAAGAAATGCTGGAAAATTGAATTACCTGAAGAGTGACAGTGTGATCAGACACATCAACAGCCTTTGCGCGAAAAATGCTAGCGACGTCTAGAACGTCCCGCCGAGCAGAAGCATTTACAGCTATCTTTATCAACATCAATTCCCTTTCGGAAAATGGCAAAAAAGTAATATCTTGCACCTGAAATAACGCCGTTCTTTTTCCCTTTAGTAAAAGATCTCTCCCCTCTGTACCTAAGAGTAGTTTAATGATCACCTCATGGACATCAATAAGCTTGTATAGCTGCTGAACTAACTTGCTGATGGATTCATCCGTTCCAGGAACCACAGTCGTAATACGAGAGAGTCCCTCTGTTTCTGCAGGTCCCACAGCCAGACTCTAACAGCGACGAAAAATATGATTTAAAATGAATGCTGAATGTTGTAGCCTGGACTGTCTTAGAGAAAATGAAAATAAAAATAAAAATGAACAGTCTTAGTGAAAAGAAAGTAGACAACCTGAATGTTGTACCCTCGGCGTGCAAAGACACCCGTTACTATATTTAAAACACCAGGAGTGTCATTTACGAGTATAGACAAAGTGTGCGAACAAAGACCGCTTGACTGAAAAAAAGAAATAAAAAACAAACATTAGAGTTCAATCATAGTCCAAGTAATATAAATTATAACTGAAGATTTCCAACAAGGAGTGTGACCCGAAGCACCACTAATGGTAACCATTACCTCCTAAACTTCATCTTAGTAAGATAAGTGACTAGTTACTGACGCAACTGAACTAGGTCTCATTAAAAAAAAAACCAAATATGCATGAACGGACAACATTGGAGTTGAAAAGTCTAAAATAAAGTCATAAGGTGCCTGCCATTTGGGTAGAAATTTATTTAAGAGAAGAGATAAAATGAATCAGGAGGACCTGCCAAATGAATGGATAGATAAAGTTCGGCAAGTCAGAATTTATTTTAAATTTTTTAGCGCTTAGGTGGTTGTAGCTAATGAAATGCCCGTCGCAATCCGCAGACATTGCCCAAATTGCCAGTTCCTCAAAGAAATGAACGTAAGTGTCTTGCTACTTGGGTTGAAAGTTCAAACAGCTCAACAAACGGTAAAAATTCTGACTGCATATGACGAACATCCAGTTGCACATCCTTGGCTAAAAATAGACAAACAGCAGCAGTGAACATGACTGAAAATTTTGCTTTAACAGGGAATTTTGAGTTACCGAACAAGAGAATTTCTAGGAGCAAAGTATTGAAAAGAGTTTTGCAGTTGGTATTCTGAGAAACCACCTAGGAATACGCTAAGATACTTACATCTTCATCACGAAGAACGCCCCAGTGAGCATCAAGAACTTGATTCACTGAAAATCCCCCATCTGACTCCACAGGATAGACATCACCCTTCATTTCATAAACCAAGAAAAACCGATGAAGCCTGTGAGAACATATCAAAAGTTTTGAAAACCAGAAAACATTACAGGAAAAGACTCCACAGATTATGGCATACCATTAAATAAAGCAAACCAAACTTATTGAAAAAATAGGGGAAAAGCGTAGTTCAAATCAGCATCTCCACATTGGAAATTGTGGTCGAACAATTAAACCACCAAACAGGCAGCAGTGCTTACTACTAGAAGAGAAAATCAGAGTAAACTAGGAAGCCAGCCGACCATGCATTAACTCCCAACAGGCCCAAGATGCACTAGACCTGTCATTAGATTTGATATTGTAGGAGCAGCATGTCATGAAGATCCCACTTGGGTGTACGAGAAAAATCTAGAATATAATATTCCCCGTCATAATTCAAAACTCTCCAGTAAGAAGAAATGAAAAAGGGATGTTACGCTATAAAATGAATGTGCTGCCCGTTAAAGTGCAAGGAAAAATAACTCAGTGCAGCAAAACAAGGGAGCTAACATTCGAAGAAGTTTAAATGAAATAAAAAAGAAAAGGAGAGTCAACATCTTTCCAGGGGAGAAATCAGATTAAAATAATAAACTTCTAGGAGTTGTTATCAAATACTATGTTTGACTTGGCAAAAGGATCTGTCCTTATTTAGTTCAATGACGATATGGAAAAAGAAAAACAGTAAGAGGGACCCATCAAAACCAAAAGGAATGCCAAAGTCAGCTACAGAAATATAGCAACGTTTGCCAGTAAACAGAAAGATGCCTTATGTTTCAGCCCAGAGCAAATGACTTCTGGATAATGAATCAGATTCGACAAAAGAATAGTACCCCTGATGATGAATCTGAATCGCTGGTGAATACTATATTCGATGACTTCTTAACAGAGTTTACTGGCATTGAATCTTCAAGGTCCGGATAAGAAGCAGCAGAAAATCTCCAAAAAGGGGCAGTCTCACCCATTCTTTCACGCCTCAAGGCAATCTACTGGGACAAAAAAAGTTGAAGTTACCAACGCAAACAAGACGTGTGAAATCAGTTTCTGAAAAATTCATAACCTTGCCAGTTCTAGCAATTTCTCTAATTCCAAATTTGCTCAAGTTCCTTTGCACTGCAACTATTTTCCCAGGATCTCCAGTTACCTGTATCCTTGAAATAAACGGAAATAAACTGTAGCAAGGGATAACATACTAATGAGGATATATGAAAGAAGTGATGCCATGGAAATTACCTCAATTGTTACCGTGTCTTCCGAAATATCAACAATTTTTGCTCTGAAGACATCGACCAAATGCATAACCTGCAGGCGAGCTAGATGAATTGTTCAGCTAAGACACAAAATTTAGTAAAAAGCAACTTTTCGTCATATAGTTGGATTCCTTATGCTATTCAGGAGGGCAAGATTCAATATAGCAGTTCTCGAGGATGTAGCCTTGTTAGCCTTGCTGGTGTGAGATGATTCTAATGTTGCGAGGGTAGTAGTTATTATAGTTGAAAGCAATAAAAACTATCAGCAGAAACTACTCAAAAGCGTATGCCACCATAGAAGTGATGCTAACATGGAGATAAAGAAAAAACTGAAGGTAAAATGAGAAATAATTAAACTAACCATTAACAGTTCTGACTTGGAAACTACGAATCAACTGAAAAGAGTAGAACCAGGACAAAACCAGATGCAAACTTGCCAACTTGAATCAATGGGCAATGTTCTTACACGGATTATAAATATTTGAGTTTTTTTAAAAAGCATAAAAACGCAAATGCCAACGTGCCAAATTGAATTTCAGCAATCCAAGTCAAAGACTGAAAGTTCATTCTAATTTCAGGCAACCCAGTAAGCACACGCAAGAGCTTTACCTCTTGTCGAGTGCTAGGATCCGCACTGAGCTTTATCAGCATCAGCTCCCTTTCAACCTGGGGCTCCTTAGAAAGATCCTCCACCTGTGAAATGCACAAAAATGATATAATGTAATATGATATGACAGGACAACCAGAGGAGAAAATGCATCCTCTTTCAGAGAGGCAAATATTCGTTCATTTCACCAGTATCCTGGAGGCAAAGCATTGTTTTTGAAAATAAAAGTTTTGGACATAGAATATCTTCATTTAAAGAATGCCATGAGAAACATAAATAGGGAAAATAACCCTGACGCCGGCAAGACCAGTAAATTATTAGGCCATTCACATGTCATCACATGGATCAAAACCTGAATCAGAAAGCACTGGTGAATACAACACGACTTTCATAACCATACACAGTAGCGACGAGTATCACATTATAAACAAAGAAGCTCTCAGCAAGAAGTGTTAAAAGTCATTACTCCCAATTGATATGCACATAGAGCCTAGCCATTAGTTTAAATATAGTAGCCCTTTTCATCCCAAACCAGATGCATATAAATTGAGAGGATACTCCACAAGACATAACTAGATAGATGCTTAAAAGATAATAAAAAAGCAGCATACATCCACCATAGCTAATTTCCGTGATTTGATATTTATAAGTTAAAAACTTCACCATCTGCAATTCAGTTAACCTCATGGTCTATATAATATTTCACTAAACTCGGAAGATTAAGCCAGTAACCAGATATCAATAATTGGACCAATAATATTTGCAATGACTTCAACGTTCAATGAGTTGCTGCAAATAAATTATTAGCTTTTTAGCACATACTAGATAAGAAAGTCAAGGCTTCTCTTAACAGATATTATGTATGATTCTGTTTACAGTCTACATTTTTTGCAGCAAGATTTCCATATCAAAATGTGGAATGCAATAACTCAGAAAGATCATATAACATTCCAAAATAAATTGGTACTCAACATAAAAATAAGATCCGTACAAATTCGTAAATCCTAACCTTCCACACATTAACAAGCTTATTCAGCTGCTCTACCACCTGCAGCAATACTCTCTCAGTCCCAGAGACAACGATCGTGAAGAGTGCTTTATCCTTGTTCAGACCAACGGCAAGAGATTCTATGTTGTACCCCCTTCTAGCAAAGACCCCGGCAATTCTATTGATCATGCCGCTCTCATCTCCCACAAACACTGATATAGTGTGGCGCTGTATCCTGAAAAAATAGATAATTGTATAATAATAGCATTTCAAAGGAACTTGCCCGCGCAAAACACGTAGACAATTCGGATTCACGACTAGAATATTCGAGAGTTATCCACGGAAAACTGTCGCTTATATTTTGTTTAATACTCAGATATTGGAAAGGCTAAATGATCAAGGTATTATGAGATTAGAACTATCGTAACTGATTAAAGACTAAGCAAAGTGGACTGCATGTGAAGATTTCAAATGGTCGTTCTCACTTGTTTCTGGAACCAGACGGAGCAGTAACATCCACGGTAACTATTTTCTCTTCGCTCTGCTTTTCCGAGCTGCTCGCAGACACCACAAACCTCCGCTGCCCCCGACCATGGGAAGACCTTCCCCTTCGGGCGAAATCAAAACCCAGAACATTCTTCCCTATTGCAGGCAACGGAACAAAACCAACCGCTCGATGAGAATCCGAAAGACGACCCGTCGAACGTGGTCCTCCGAAAGAAAGAGCGCTTCTAGCACTCGCTGCCGCCATGGCCGCGGCTACTTGCGCTAGAACTAGCGGCAACCGATCTCGCAGCTATACAACTGGAGAGTGTAGGGTTTTTATCTGCAAACGGTATGGCGATGTGATTTCACATATTCGCCCTTCTCCATTCTCACCAAATATGGGGTGGCTATGGTCAACCACAATTTTGACTCCATGGGTCAACTATCCAGTCATCCCGAGTAGAAAGCTAAATCTCTGGGAAGGCTTGCCAAAAAATAAGGTCAAGGTCAGCGCTGAACCTCATCTCTTGAGAATTTTCTTTTTTTTTTCTGAAATAATTAATACTTGTTCCCTTTAACGAATTCCTTCGAAATATCAGCCTAAGAAAATAATACCTCTTTAGCGAGGCCCAGGTCTGAATGGGCCGCAGAAAAGGCCCATAAACACAGGTTTCCAGCTTTTCTCGATCTGGCCAGCCAATCGGTAGTCAACCCTGTGGACCACGACAGTCAACACATGGGATAAATAATTCAACCAACCTCGCCGCAGACGAATATCATAAAATAATACGAAATATTTTGAGATATATGGATTTCTTAACGTATATTTGCTTTTAAAGTGCAATAATTTTTCAAATATTTATTGATCTTCCCGATTTAGGCCCATTAAAAGCTATGGTGGGCCTGGACTTATCGAGGCAGTAACGCCGACGGGCCCATCACAGTTAACATCGTTACGGCGATCACACGTCAAATCATGACCTTACATCCCATGGTCAACGTCAGCCGTGGATCAGTCTCATCCGTCCATGGGGAACGCGCGGTTCTCTATTGGTCACAGGTCCATGCCGACATCGGCTCTTGTCCGAGACGGAGACTTCGTAATTAGTAAGGGCGACCGCCGCATTAAGAAGGTTTAATGACATCCGGCACCTATGTTTAATCGAAGTCAACGTCAGGAATCCATGTCGTGCCGATACTAGTCCAGGTCAACGAATTGTGAAATCAACGACCGCCGGGGGTGACCAGGTCTTGCCGATATAGTGAGGTTTCCCGCTCTTAAAATCTGGGGACGCGTAGAGCTTCTCCTACCTCCTTGACTGGTTCCTTTGATTCTCTCTCGGTCCTCTGTTTCTGATTACTCCGACTCTCCCTACCAATCCCGGTCCCTCCACGGTTCAGTTCCTGACGGGATGTTGCTCTTGATCCGGTCTCCAGGTTCTGTAATCTGGTGAGTGGCTTCCTCCTGGTGGTGTATTTGGATTTGTGACCTGATTGGAATCTGGATCGAGAGGGATGGACGCGGTGGCACGCATTAAGAGGGGGCTTTCGCGGCAGTTCTCCGCGGAGTCCATATTGAAGAGCGGGAGATTCAGCTTCCGCAGGCAGTTGTCTCTCGATCAAAAGAAAAGTAATGACGCCGTTCGTTTTCCCCTCGGGCGGCAGTCGTCGCTCGATCCCCAAAGTCGTAGCCCACTAGGAGAGGTGGCAGCCCCTGAGAAACTGGGATCGACCATGCAGCTTCTGTTCATGGCGTGCAACGGCGATCTGCAGGGAGTGGAGGACTTGCTTAGAGAGGGAATTGACGTAAATAGCGTCGATCTGGATGGACGGACTGCTCTTCACATTGCCGCCTGCGAAGGCCATATTGAAGTAGTGAAATTGCTTCTGAATCGGAAGGCCAACATCGATGCCAGGGATCGATGGGGCAGCACTGTGAGTTTTCCTCGCTATCTTTCTGCAGTTTATGGGAAAACCTCCGACATCATGATTTTTCTTCGTCGATTTTATTTTTTTTCTTTGTACTGTTGCCCAGTAATAGATATGTTTTATATTTCCTTGCATCTCGTTGCCGAGGCTGATATACACAGCATTTTGGTTTTTAGGTTTGACAATCTCAGTTCATCAGATAATGTAATTAACGTTGTCTAAGAATAATTCTAACCACAAGCTCAACCAATCTTCTTTGCTTTGGTCTACGAGAAACATCTGTGTTGTCCTTAATCCACGTAAATGGCACTATTCTCCCGCTCGTATCTTCATGTCTGGTGCTTGTACCGGATTCCCTGAGTTCTTAAACATCCAGATGTTATCATGTCAGGCTCTCTTTACCCAAGGCCTGGGCTACTAAATAGGGGTCGAAAGAAAGATAGAAAGGCCCTAGTCTCATGCCTCGACTGAGACCTGAGGAGACATTTTATGTTATCTTAAACACGAGTTTTACTCGGGGCCTGCTATCTGTTTTTGCTTTCACAGGGCTCTGCTCACTTTTATGACAATGTTATAAACCCTTCCTACTCATCATTTTCGTTTGCTGGAATATACTTAGTCATTTCCAACCATCTTCATACTTCATATCTGCATGATCGTTATACACATCCAAAAACAAAACTCAATGGAGAATTAAAGAGTTACTTTTTCCAACTCCAGAAAAAGACTTGGCCATTGGGGTCCCTGTCTTTATTATTTCGACTTTTGTTCTTTTTCTTACCTCTGCAATTGATAGGATCTCATCGTCCTCTTTGCTACAGTGGTAAATAATGTTACTGTTTAGAGAAATACTTTTCTGCAGCTAGCATCCAGTGCTACTCCCCTTCTGTGAGGAGCCTGTTGGGTAGATAACATTAGCAAATTACTGGTGATCAAAGAATCAAAAATTCAATTTGTATTTTAAGCGTTGAAAGAATGTTATGAACTGGTACCGAAATTAATCTTGCATTGCTTATTTTATTTCATTGCAGGCCGCTAATGATGCCAAATTCTATGGAAATGTCGAAGTTTATAAGCTCTTAAGATCTCGTGGAGCAAAAGCACCTGTATAATTTAAAAACTTTAGACCATCCATTTTTAATTTGGGGATTCGTTATTTTTTTTCCTTGATTCAATTGATGTTCACCTCCAGAAAACCAGAAAAACTCCTATGGCTGTTTCAAACCCACTGGAGTTTCCAGAATACGAGCTCAATCCAACAGAGCTTCATTTCCACAAAGGTGAAACCATTTCGAAGGTAGGCTTTTCTTCGTTGTCATCCTGTGCCGCTCTTGCCTTAAGCAGGGATCAGCTATGACCATGAAGCGACCAGAACTTGTTTAGTTTAACCAATCTCGTCGATTAATTAAACATAGAACAATGTCAGTTATGCTACATGCAAGGATCAACAACCACCCGAAAGCAACTGAACCCAGTTTAACTCCACCATTCTCGTCAACTGATGAATGAAAACTTATGTCAGCATTTCTTCGAACTTTTGTTGATTAAAATTTGTTCAAGAAACTGATCTATATCTCCATTTGTGGAACATTAAAACTGGTGACTCATGCAATGACGTGTGACCACATAAACATTCTCTGAGAGTTGAGACTAGCTGCTCTGGAGCACGGATAACATAGTAGAGGCGTAAAATTATCTTTCTATCTTTGATTTGCAAGTGTGGCTTACGGTTCGTCCAGAAATATCCCACTTATGAAGCTGTGAAATCCTTAGATTTCCATCGGTCTTTTTTCTTGTAAATATTCCAGCATTGTTTACGGATCCATTGTGAAGGGAAATCTAGGATTCCTAGCATTATTTAGAGTACATACCTAGTTTTCATTCATTTACATGTCTAAATGTTTCTACTTGAAGGAATGATCGTTTTTAATATTTCTTTGAATCTCGAGTCAAATAGCTCACATCGATATCTCAGTAAATAATTGAATTGAATTAATCGTAGCTTTCTTTCTCTGGCTTATTTCAGTTACAGTTTGTTAAAGATGTTTATGCCAGGGATACCAGTTTCACGTTTGATTGTACAGGATGGCGTAATTTTTAAATATTTATGATTATTTTTCTATGTTTGAACATAATCTCTTCATGATAATCACATCTTTTAGTCTAGCTATCAGGTTTATATTAAATTAGACGTAGAGGGGCTAGCAAGACTGCATCCACATGAAACCTGGCCCAGTTCTTCTTGTCTACATGCTTTTTATTTCTCTCTGGGCCCTCTTGGAAACCTTCTTTCATGTATAATTTATATGTTGGATGCAGGAAGTGTATCAAGTGGCTAAGTGGAATGGGACAAAAGTTTCTGTCAAAATTCTTGAGGAAAAAAGCTACATTGATTTGGAAAGAATGTATGCTCCTAAACTTCAAGGATAGTGCTTGTTAGTCCTGCAATTCTTCTAGTTTCAGTTTAGATCATTGATTTAGCGAATCATAGTTAAATTGTTTTTGCAAATTGTTTTCAGTAGTGAGATTGAGAACTCTATGCTTAGTTGTATTGCCACAGAAAACCTCGAAGTTACTAGGCTTGATTTCCTCCTATATTTCTCAGCTTTCTTATCATTTGCTCACTTACACATGCCATTTTTTCCCTTGACAGCTGCCAGACATTTTTCTTCTTGATGCTCTTTTCTTATTAACTATTTTGGACAGAACTTCATTCAAGAATGAGTTGACCCTTTTGGAAAAGGTTCGACATCCAAATCTAGTCCAGTTTGTTGGAGCTGTTACTCAAAATATGCCTATGATGATAGTCTCAGAGTACCATCGAGGGGTAAGCTTTCTTTTTTCTCTGTAATATTATTCCGAAATAACTAAATGTCTAGTTTATAAAAGTTGCATCATTCTGTGGTTTGTACATCGAGGAAGCATATGATATGAATTATTCACGCTGGTGAAACAAAACTATCAGGGTTCTAGAATATTGAATGGCTGAGAGTGTGATTTTTCAGATTTGAATAACTCGAACTTGAGCTTTAATTGGACGCTCTAGATCCACATTTAGGGTTGAACTTAATTTATTTCAGGGAGTGAAAAGAAATCCAAAATCAACCAATGATTAGTTTATTTTTCCAGGCTCCAAGCTTGACTGTTTTGGACTCGGACTAGTCCAAAATACTGAAATCAAGTAAAACATTCTTACGTTAGAATATCATTGACCTTTTGAGTCATATATTGGCCTTAAAACCATAGGTTGATCCTGCGGGGAAAACCCTAACTGGTCGTTCCATAGATGAAAATTTGATGCTGGACATTACATGAATAGAAATAAATATTGCGCTTTTGGTTTTGACATGCTAAATTAAAAGGGGTTCATAACTCCAAGGCTAAATTGGAGATGGTTTTGGCTTTTTGAAAACCCCAGTATCATTAGTGTGACTGCTAAGGTGTCAAAAATCATCGATATTCTATCAGACCCAACGTTCAAAAGAACCTAAAGTATGCATGCAATTCAAAACCTTGGTAGATTAAATAACGCAGCTTCAAGAGCCTGTAAACATTAAAGTTACTCATTTACGATAAAATTTATGTGCCAAATTTTTACTTCTATTATTTTATCAATTCTTAAAACTGTTTCTAGATCAGAGGAGTTCTTCCTACCAAGAAAGAAAACACTCATACCATAGTCTAGGATCGGCTTGTGTGGTAGTTTCTATGATCCAGATGTAAACCTGTGGAAAGGCACTTGAAAGAAACCACAGTAAACTTGCATATCATTTTTTCGATAAGTTCTTACAGGAACACTTTGGAGAAGAAAACTTCAAAAAAATCAAAGAATAAGGATTTCATGTGTATTGAAATTCTGTTTGGCCTCAAAGAATGGCCTCTTTTCCTGCTAAATTTCTCCTCTTTTTTATAATATTTACTAGAGATTCAGTCGTTGATAATAATGTATTGGTTAACTAGTTCATTGATTTTGCGTGTATTGTGGGCGCTGACATCATCTTAATCTGTATATCAGGGTGATCTGGAGACATATCTTCGAAAAAAAAATTATTTGCGAACTCGTAAAATACTTGAATTTGCTCTTGATATCGCAAGGTATGTTCTAACTCGGTTGCAAGAGACCGTCATACAAACTGTACTAAGAAAAATAGAGATTCAATAGAAGTGAGCTTCTTGAATGGTTTGTTAAAAAGCTGGTTCAAAGAATACTCATGTTGGAGTTACCATAGTATACAATCATGGGAGGGACAAAGGTTGCTAAAGTGTTTGATAATTGTGTAAAAATAAGGCTAAAATTAATTGACATTATTCGACCTTTTTACATACTGGTATGCCTATTTTTCTACTATTTTTGTCACCTTATCGAACAATTTCGTCTTAGAAAGTATTACAAGAATGATTCCTCTTTCTTTGACCAAGTAACCAGGTAATGGGAGGCTTTCTGTTGCATAATGATTTCGGGTTTCTGTTATTTGAGTTTCTTCTAGTTATTTTGTTGATTTGGCTTTTTCTGAGATATTTTAAACATGAAAGGACATTGTGGTTTGTTCTAAGCTCGTTGTGATTTGAATTTGGAACTTTCCGATTGTCTTCAGCTAATGTTAATTGCATCATTCTAACTAAATAATACTCGTAATTAAATGTGTTTACTTCACTGAAATGCATTTCCTGAATAAAATTTGAAAATAATTTATTATAATTAGTATTATATTCTTATCCAATGTATAGATTTGCGTACATAATATTATTTTAATGATTTTTACGAATAATCTTTTTTCTGACTTATTATGGTCAATTATTTTCGTCTTATTATCTTTAGAGTATATTTATTTGCTTTTAATATCTCTTGGAGGTTATGGAGATTACCTCCTCTTCCCACGCAGAATCTCCTTGGGAGTTACTTGCTCCTGGCTCTTAAGATGTGGCACCGGTAGTAAACTCCTTGTTGGACTGCTCCTCCCTTCAAGAAAAGGGGGGGGGCGTGGTGCACTTGATTCCCATCTCTACTTCGGCCGACCCAATTCGGTTTCCTGGTTTTTGCCACGTAATATTATCATGGAAATTTTGTTTCTCCATCCATCCCTGTTTAGTGACTGTGCCAAGTTGTCTCCTTCGCCTTGGTCATCGATTTTTTTCTTAATTAATTTGGATTTGAGCTGCATAGAAGTTGTATTTGAGGTTAATTCCTATTGTATCAGGGGAATGAACTACCTCCACGAGTGCAAACCAGATCCGATCATCCATTGTGATTTAAGGCCAAAGTAAGATCGTCAATTATGGAATTTCTTATGTGATTAAGAAGTGAAGCGACTAATTAGTTTTATGTCATTACTTACTATTTTAACTTTGCCAAGGTGTCAGAAATATTTTTCTCGCTAGTGGAGGCCACCTGAAGGTTGGAGGCTTTGGTTTGATGCAAACGACGAAATTATCTCCAGGCAAAGCGAAACTAGCACAACCTGCTGTGAAAACCGACAGTTCAAGTATGGATTGACCCTCTTTCTCCATCTCTTATTATCTTCCTTTTCTACTAACTTTTTTAGCCCATAAAGCTGCCATCTGGTACAGATGTCAGGAGTATGTGGACTCTATGCCATAGTGGAAAACCAGATAGAATGATTCTATTCAGGAAGAGCCCTGGGAGAAGGGAATTTAAATAATTTTGTGAAGTTTGAAAATGAGAAGGAATAAGGTTCATTAATGGTGTTGAATTCCTCACAAACGAAACTCAGTATCATCTCCGATCAAGGAAATATGTATTGAAGGATTATCTTATGCCATGATTTTGATTTTATTGACTAGAAATTGGGTTGATGCTCAGTTTTAATTCCAATCTCTTTCCACTTCAGGTATATACATGGCTCCAGAGCTGTTCAAGGATGAGATGATTGACAGAAGTGTCGATGCCTTCTCGTTTGGTTTAATTATGTATGAGGTTAGTCCACAGTTTCGTTTAATCAGGCTAATATTCCTCGATTTAGTTATGAATTGGTCTGCTTTCTTGGTGAATATGCTTCAGATGATCGAAGGGGCACCTGCTTTTCACCCTGAGGCCGCTGCTGACCTGATCTGCGTACAAGGAAGACGGCCTCCCTTCACGTCTAAATCAAAGAACCGTCCTTCTGACCTTAAAGAGTCAGCTCTCCTTCATTCCAAAGCTTTGACCCCATTAATTCTCAATATCTCTTCGATGAAAAGAACCGTCGTTTGGTTTTTCTTTGTGTAGGTTGATTCGAGAGTGCTGGAATCCAGAACCTCTGATGAGGCCGACATTTTCGGAGATGATCGTGCGACTCGATAAGATATATGCCGCCTGTGCCAAAGTAGGACGCTGGAAAAATAACTTTATGTTACTATGGTGAGCTTTCCTCCTCGAGTTACACCATATGATGCCATAAATAGCAAATTAATGTCTGCGACGCCAGTAGCATTCTTCTCCAGTCCTTTTTGCGGAAGTGCGACTTTTTTCTGGTCAAATAGTCGACCACGGATGCTCCTAGCTTGTGTGACCTCGTTGGCAAAGTCAAGGCTATATCTTTGATCAACTCGGCTGTTCTTCATATCTGTGCGTTGACCTCGCCGCTCTGTCTTGCAGGACCTAGGGACGACCGTTGGTGATTCCTTTGCGTGTTCGGGGAGTCCATAAGTAGATCCGAAGCGGGGTCAACCGCTCGGTCGGTTCGGCATCGCAGAACAGTCGCTGGTTCTTGTCCCCTGTGTTGGTCGGCCGTCTTATATCGTTGACCATCATATGTTATGAAAAAACAAAGGAACTGCGTGATTTCCTCTCCGCTCTAGCGTTGACCACCGAGTGCCCCCCATGATTTATAATCAAATCATATTTATTTATCAAAAAATTAAGCTATATACAATTATTAAGTTAATATAATCGGGCCTGGATAAAATCGATTGATAAATTTGTCGTATGCTGTGAGGCCCCCACGCCATTCTGCTGCAGGGACGAGAGGCCTCTAACGGTCTTCTTCGCTCTCTCTCGCTTCTCTCTTCTCTCTCTCTTTCCTTTCCATAATTTCTGTCGTCGGAAGAGAGAGAGAGAGAGAGAAGAGAACCTTTTTTTTTGGTCCCGGATGCGTCTGAGCGGGCCCGGGAAGGTCGGATTCTCCTGTCGTGGCCTGGCGGAGGGCCGGTCGAATGCGGGGCTGATCGAAGATGAGAAAGCCGAGGGTCGTCTGCTTCCAGCATGCGAGCTCGGCATCGCAGGAACATTGGCGCATTTTAGCGCGCGCTGTAACCCTCTGCGATTTGCTCGTCAGTGGCTCTCCTGCATCGGTCTCCCTCTCGTCCTCATTCTTGGCTGGCCGGAGCCGCGATCCTCTCGGAGGGTAGCAACTCTCTCTCCCGATGAATCTGTTTCCGAATGTTCTCGCTCATCATTGCTGCAGACATTTGCAGTTGTCTGTGGAGTTAGTTTGTTCGCTTTCTTCGGAAGCCGACCCCAGTTTAAACTTCGCTCCTCCTCTCGAATCTCCTTCTCCTCTTCATCGGTCCCTTGACGCGCCTTATGTTAGACGGCCTTGCGACGATCTGTTGACTCCTTAGCCCCCCTCCCTAGCCTGTGCTACTTTCTTCCTTCTTTCTAGTGGTCTCGTGTGACAACGATTCGTATCTTTCATTCTTCCTCGGACTGTTCCCCTTTATGCTTCGGTCGCTAATTGGGGTATCAATTTTCCCTGCGAGTGCTCCTCTGATCTTTCTTCTTAGTCTCAGACAAGCCTGTCAAAGAAATCGCTTGGAGTGATTCTTCGAATTTTGATTATTTTCCTTGCAAATGTCTGATGCATGTAGAGTTCCTACTACCTATCCTCTTGGAACCTACCCGGAAGTTCATAATTTATATTAGAATTCTCGGAAACTTATCACGACTAATCACATGAATGTATGGGAAGCTACTTTATAAGGAGTTTTTGAATTATGGTTTCAGGTAGTATTACGAGATGAGGCTACTGAAGGTTGCGACGTGTAATCTTAATCAATGGGCTATGGATTTTGACACTAATTTAAGGAACATTAAGGAGAGCATATCTAAAGCTAAAGAATCGGGAGCAGTAATTCGAGTTGGTCCTGAGCTTGAGATTACAGGTTATGGCTGTGAAGACCATTTCTTAGAGCAAGATACTGTGGCTCACTCGTAAGCAGATACTCCTGAAGTTTTGTTCCACATTTATTTATTTCTGTTGCATCTCCCTTAGATAATAGTTTTGATAATGTTATGGGCCATGAGACATTCATTTTCTTGTAAACATATATATATTGCCGCTATCTTCATACATGCAATTATAAGATGGTAAATTACCAGATAATGTTATTATCTAAAACCGTTATAATTTGTTTTTTCATGGCACTTTCTCTAGCACAAAATTCAAGATTGTCTGAGCCAATGTTACATTTTCTTTCTGGGTCAGTGGTAATATTTCTGTGCAGTTTTCTCTGATAAGATGTGTTTTTCTGTCTATTTTTTTGACTCTTTAATGAAATGCTACTCTTTCATTGATGCTACGTTACTTGTCATAATGTAATGCACTTTATGATATTACATTGAAGTTTACCTTTTGTAGATGGGAATGCTTGAAGAATTTATTATCAGGTGACTGGACTGATGGCATATTGTGTAGCATTGGTATGCCCATTATTTACCAAAGTGTGCGCTACAACTGCCAGGTCTTCTGTTTGAACCGGAGAATACTCATGATCCGCCCAAAGATGTGCCTCGCAAATGATGGAAATTATAGGGAATTCCGTTGGTTTTCAGCATGGACACTGAAGGATGAACTCGTTGACTTCCAACTTCCAAATGATGTTGCTGAGGCCCTATCTCAGGAGTCTGCTCCATTTGGTTATGGATACATTCAATTTTTGGATGTGTAATTCCCAATAACTTTTGCTATATGAAAACCCATGATGCATTTATTTTCTGTTCCTAATTTCACCTCTTGTTCTGTTTAACGAATTGTAATACCAGGATTAGACTCGTTCCATGTCATTTTGGGAGCAAATAAACTTTACCATTTTGAACTTAATCATGTGGTCATTTTGATCGTTTGTAACTCTAGTTTTAAATAACATTGTCTGTTAAGTTTTGTTCATTGCTCATCCATTTGTTCATGGAAACCTTTCTCAAAGTTGCAATGGAACCGTTCTCAGACATTTTCGTGTTTTTTGTTAGGACTTAGGAGAAACTTTGGCTTAGCTGCGCTTATATTCGATGCACATGATCACACTGCTCTCTCCTTTGAGAAATTCCATGGAGGAATGACAAATAAGGGATTTATTATGTTCCTGAATAGATTTCGAAAGGGAAACATGAATCAAAAGGCGTGTTTGTTGAGAAAAAGTTGGATAGAAATCATCAGCCACCTGTACTCTGCTTTGAATTTTACGTCATACTTGAGATTCTTTCACGTCTCTCCCTCAGCCCATCCAAAGCTTGGAGGGATTATTTAGGTCGCTTCAAGTTTGGGACTCCTGTCCACTGTATAAAAGTTTTAGCCCTCTAGTCATTATCTCTTTGCTATCTCTTCTACTGGCTATCTTACCTGGACTCTGATATGTATTTTGGGAAAAACCAAGTGAATTTAATGCTTCGAAAAAGTTTGAATGAATGTGGGCCTCCATCCATGCTGTGCTACTTAGTGTGAGGCCCTTAAGTGTAATTGCTCTTGAAATGAACGCTCCACTTGTTAGAGTGAACAGGAGTTAGTTATATGTTTTCATTCTAATACGAAAAGTAGCTCATTATTCCATTTACAACTTTTTCCTTAGAGCTAGCTCTAAATATGTGGAATGAAATTTTCTAGATGGAAATATGTCAACACATTTAGCATGAAAGCTCAACGTGAGATGTACTGACACGATCAATTTATAGTGGCATGGCAATCATTAGTCAACTTATTATTCATGTCTTTAAAAGTGTGTTAAATGCTGATTTTGATGTCACCTTTTACTCAGAAGTGGCATCATATTCTGGTGGTGTTGACACATTTAGAAGTGAAATATAAGACCGTACAAAATGATAATTTAAATAATAAACATTATTTTGAGATAAAATGGAAAAAATATCTTTTTTACAACAATATTGTTTTGCCTTAAGCAACTCTATCATTTGAACTGTAGAATGGTAACACTGATATTTATTGAAAGCAACTTTAGCAATTAAAATATGGGATTGTGACTTCAATTTCAGAAATTCAGAGGATTATAATGTACTCTTGGTCGAAGTATCTCACTGGGATATTTTAGGAGTTTCAAATGCCAATTTTACTGGACCATTTGCAATGTGTATCCGCTTACTAAATGATCTAATTTGATACATTGCATCCTGTACCTCTGAAAAATAGCTTGTGTTGATATTTATCTTTGAAAGCGAACTTGAAAGAGGTAAAGATGCAGGGACTGAGCCATAATTACATGGGTCATCTCATCATCTAGCCTCATTTGCCTTTTCATCTGGTTATAGTAAAGCTTATGCTTCGAGTTAGATTTTTTTAGGTAACCAACCAGCCATTTTTTGTTTCTGAGTTCAAAGTTAACTGAGGATCCCTCAGGGTCAATTAGCAGTCTTTCCTCTCGATGGTAAGGTCGATTATCAATTGACTATATCCTGCAATCACTGACCACTTGACCACCACTTATATTGCGTCCACAGTTGTTGACTGTTCGTTGTTTTGTCTCTCTTAAAATCTATGTTTTATTTTAAAAAATTATGTATATCAAGGAATCATAGAAAAATATATTTTTTGGTTTTCATTTTCGGGGACTATGTATCTCTCCTTATTTTATTGCAAATAATTTACCTTATAAACATGCTGTTGTTTTGTTTGGGCTACTCTGTTTGTAGTGATTTTGTTGTCACATTTTATTCACAGAGCTATTGCTGCTGAAACATGTGAAGAGCTTTTCACTTCTGATGCTCCTCGCATTGCTCTTGCACTGAATGGTGTCGAAGTGTTTACAAATGCCAGTGGAAGCCACCATCAACTGAGAAAACTTAATCTTCGAATAGATGCTATTAAAAGTGCTACTCTTTTTTGTGGAGGTGTTTATATATATAGTAATCATCAAGGATGTGATGGCGGTCGTCTGTATTACGGTATGTGTCTTTGTTTTCAGTTTATTATGATTTTTTTAACAGTAAAATATTTTCCGTCAATATCACCATATTTTTTATCATTTTGAGTACCCTCTCCTTTAGAATCTTGATTCTTATCTTCTAAACTTCTCCTTTGAATGTCATTACCCATTTATTTCCGTCAATACATGCGCACCGATGAAACCAGGGGATTGTTTCCATGTCCAAATGCTTGCTTTGCGTTAGTTGTAGTTCTTAGATAATTTCAAGTCACATAGAACAGTATGACATATTCCCCTTGTGGATTTTGATTTTGTTAAAAGCCATGTTTTGCATGAGGTTTATTCATGTTTATACGGAATTAGGCTGTCATAAAAGTGGTTGGCTAGTACGAAATTTCTGGCATATAGCTTCTGAAAGTATCTTTTAGAGACCTAGTTTATGGTACCTTTTTTCCTAGTATATGGGAATAGTGATAGAAGCACCGTTTTTTGGTCTTTGGTATCTATATGATGAGTTGTTGATTTGTGACGCTTGGAATGATATTGACATCTCCTTTTTTGTGCTAAGTGCAAAGTAATGTAGATGATAATCATGTTTGGAAGGTTTATAACCATCAGAGGTATCTAGGAAAGCCATTGAACTTGAGAGGGGAATTTTTTTCCAACAAGCCTTACAAGGAGCTCTAGGTACTCTGAATAGTTGTTTGAATAGTGAGTTATATTTTCGTTTTCGATTGATACATGGCCCAAAATAGTGAAATTCTATTTGAGGAAAAAAGGTTGAAATCAACGTAGCAGTTTATTACAGTGGGATTGCTGAGATGAATGTGTGACAGATAGTAGATAGCGGTTTTTATCATGTCCCTCATGGTGCCATCCGTGCCTTCTAAACAACATCAGAATGATTGTCAAGCCTGTTGCCAAGGTTTTCCACCTCTCTTCTTGTTTCGTATGTGCAGATAACTCTTATTGTTGGTGCCTCTTGTTGTCCCCACACCCTGCCCCTTTTCTCTCCTTGAGACACTGCTGTTTCTTGGCACCTGCTTCCTATACACTAAATTCAGCGGAAAACTAGCATCCTCTTCAACACAGAATCGTGCTAGGCACCATATTCTTATTCCCTTGCCTAGAATAACTACCTGCTCTGAAGCGGTAATCCATCATATTGTCATTCCGTACTGTTAAACGGTTCACAGAAAAAATGTGCAAATACTTAAATGCAGAGAATAATATTTATACATTATCAAACTTATGCATGCCCAGACAATTTTATTTCTTTATATGATTTTTCTTCTTTTGTTTCCCGGAGTTTACTTTGTTTCCTGTTGTACACATGGTCTTGTTTTCTGCATTAGTTAGTGCAGTTATTTCTTAGTTCAAGGATGTCTGTCATTGCAGTTTCCGTGCATGAAAGTATGAAGCACAAAATATAGAATTATAAAGAGCTAGGAAAAAGGGCACAACCAAATTGAATTGTGCTGGAGATATTTGTGATCATCATTATTGTTTCTTGCTAGTACTGCAGATGGTAAATAAATCATATTTTTTAGCTGTCCTGCATCCACGTGGGCATCAGAAGAATTTTAAGAACTCAATGATCAGGGGGTTAAACAAGTCGCAGGATGACATACTTTGCAATCTCTAACGGTTGGGCCGCGGTCTGCACGTATTAGGCGAACCCATTGATCATCCTAGACCACATCTAGGATCGGGCAACATTTCTTGGGAGGGGTTAAGTGGAGCAGAATTTCTCGTATGAGCTTGGTGCATTTAATGGTTTCATGTTGTTCTTATTGTGCATACAAGCTCGGAGTTGGAGGTGATTGGCCCTTGTTGGAAGTTGCTTTGTCAATATTGAAGAGAATTCTCCATGTCTGAGGAATATTCGTTGATGGGAAGGGAGGCAGAATATTAGAGCATATAACTTGGTATTATAGAGAAAGTGTGCAGATCAGATAGGCTAGGATTTTTTTGCGAATGCCTATATTCGACATATCGTCTCCTATGGGCGTAATAGTGATTGGTTTAATATGAATTTTAGCGTCCATCTAAGTGAGCAAGGTGGCAGCTGACTCTAAGGACCTGACGTTCCCCTTCTCCAATTTTGAAAAATTAGTGTGCTTTGGGCTTTCGAGGGACTTCTCATGTTTAGATTGGGAAACCGTTTGATGTCAGCATCTGCTTTGGTTTTTATGTAGATGGTAACCATGAAGAGCTTTGTGCTGCAAAAAATAAGAGAGGCAAAGCATCTGAGTTCTGGAACAGCAGCATGTTTCTTCTTTCTGGCGTCCAGTATTCAGTGAAATATGGCAGAGAGTTGTATAATATTGAATTTTTGCCGAACCGAAAGCATGTGTGTCGTTGTGGGAGCTGAAGTGCAACCTGTGTGAGGGCAGGGAGAGGTGATGACGAAGATCCCTGTTCCTGGAAGGCTTACCAATGCTGAAAGAGTGGTAGAAGCTCCTACAGAAAAAGTTGGTTTCTCAGGTTGAAGTATGAATGGAGATATAATTTTAAAACTGTATTTTATTTTTCTAGGGAAAATATTAATTCTTTATTTTCAGATATATTTTTCATATGGTTAAAAGATTTATATTTTTAACCATAAAAAAACATTGTGATGAATGGTGTTCATCAACGCTACTCATCATGATTTGCCTTGTTGATTCTATCGAAAATAATAAATATGGCATCGAATATAGAAATGGCATCCTCGAAAACCAACAATTAAGTTGGTTTTCTCTCTGATCGCTGATCGAGATTGGATGATTTGATATCTTATTGGAACTGGGAAAATTGGAATAATTGAGCCATATCATGCTGCCTTGGTTGAAATTCGGGCATACTTGTGTGAGGCCGTAGAAAAAAATAAGTTGATTTTAAATACTTTAACTTTGCCTCTCAGTTGATTTTACAATGTATCGGGAATTATAAATTAAGAAAAAAAAAAGGTGTTCTCAAGCTTCAAATATAGTACTGGGGTCTAAGTCCACCCATTGATGTCTCAGTCGGTCCATATGTAGTACTGGGGTCGTGTAGTCATCTCTGAATATGACTGAGTATGAAAACTTAATGCCCAAGTGCCCATGTTAATCGTTGTCCTTAAAAGATTATAAATTGGACAACCTAAACAGCCTTTGTGACATTTGCTGCGAGTTTTTCATTGATGGGTATTTTGTCAATATTTTCTCTGAAATGCAAGAGTTATCTATTTTTTTCCTTTTCCCAACAGGTTTTATCTGTCTTGTTGATACAGTAATTGTTTCTTTTCCTTGGATAGTGCTCCTTTTCTCCAGTTCATTCACTTATACAAGCACATATACAGTGAATACGCAGATTATTTATGTTTTCTATGTGTTGTTACTTTGATAGATGGATGTTCTTGCATTGCTATTAATGGAGATGTGGTTGCTCAAGGATCTCAATTTTCTTTGAAGGATATTGAGGTCTTGACAGCCCAAGTTGACTTGGATGCTGTAAGTTATTTATGCTCATCTGAACTATAGTGGGAACGCACACTAATGATTTTAAATTCTTGTTGCCTACCGATTGATTACCCATTCATGTCCGCTAACTTAATGGAAAATAAGCCATTACCGATCCAAACTGTGTTTACTGGAGCTATTGGAAATCATCTGTCTAAAACGGAAGAAAAATCCAATATCGGACAGATGTCCAATCAGGACTGGAAAGAGAGTGAAGAGTTCTCTTTGGTGGTGCTCATTATATGATGTTCTCACTTCCTCAGCAACCATTTGTTTGATTTCTTTCTTACTTTTCTGAGTTTGTAAATTCTCTTATTGTGCTTAGGTTCAAGCTGTAGGCCTCAGATTTATTTTTTTTAGGAGACTGCATTGGCACGTATGGCTGTGTGGATCAAGAAACATATGTGATGGTGCGGCATCACATAATCTGTGGAAGTCGTGCTATTATTACAGCAAATATGATGCGGCATACCCTACTTTAAAACTCAATCTGATGGTTACGAGGATACCATGTTCGGGCATCATTTATGTTCGTCAGTTTTCTTTTTGGTAGTGTTCTGTATTCATCAGGCTAGTGGCAAGACATTTAACAACGTCTCTATTTAATGTCAGTGAAAACTGAGTCTAGAAAAACTCGATGCATTGCCATCAGAAACCGTTTCCAGTATCATTCTAGAACACTGAGATATTTGCGCACACAAGGCCAGCCTTTATCTTCTTCTCCACTTTCCCACATCCCGTGTTCCCTCTTCTGTCTTTCCTTCTCTACAACAAACCCCAAATGCAGTTATCTGATTCCCAGGTCGTCGCAGCGGTCAGAATTTTGAGGGATGGAGAGAGAGTGGGAGTGGATGCTGTGGAAAAGTTTAGGATGGGCCATCAGCTGTGACAACATGTGATGCTGCAGAGGAGGTACATGCTGGGGGACAGAGTGGATGCGGTAATGAGCGACAGGGCATCAATAAGTAATAGGAAACGAATTACCCATTATTAGATCATTTAAAGTGACATTTATTTATTTTTAAGGCCGTTTTGATGCTGCTTACTATATTGTGTTATTTTTATACCGTTGACAGCATAAAACTAAATTTCTAATTGAATATTGTGTACCTTACTCGTAATCTACCCAACAAATATAATCGTCAAAAATACAGTGTCTAATATTTTGTCAAATTTTCTTTAGATGCCTAATGGGCCGTAAAGAGTCGATAAACTTATTTTTATTTTTAGTTGTTTTTCGTCACCTTTTACCAAATTATTTTCCTTAGTCTTTTTTGTGGTAGTAATTATTACATTCTATTCTGACTGGCAGATTGCTAGTTATCGAGGATCCATAAGCAGTTTTAGAGAGCAAGCAAGTCATAAATCAAAACTTCCTTTTGTGAAGGCGCCATACAAGCTATGTACATCCATGAATCTCCAGATCTTCCCTACTAGTCCAGTGAAGGTGTTTTCTTTCTCCTTTGGTGCCTTGGAATATCGGATAATGTTATTGAATTCATATTTTTTCTTAAATGACTCTGAAAGCAATAATCTGAAAAACGTTTCCCATTTATTTCAGATATATTCAAATTAGTTCTTTTCATTCCCGTGTCTTGCACAAGGCTGTGGAATGATGGCAAGTTTAAATCACTATTCATTTGTGTGCTCACATATGGAGTAGGTATATTGATGCATGATACAAACGGTCAAAAACGCATGATTTGCATGTAAACTTTCTGGCATTCACATGTTAGCTTTCCTGAGTTGAGCCAAAGTGGTGGGTATGTTGTAGCAAGCGTTATCTGTTCCAAAAAATTAAGATCAGCTACAAAACATGCTTCTTATGTTGCTGTTTCTGGATAATGATTTAACCAAATTGGTGGTGAGAAAAATCTCTTGATTGGTAGAGAGAGGAAATAATAGGACTAGGTGCTAATTTGGTATTCCACATGATTTATGTGCACATGCATATGCATATATGTATATGGAGAATAGTGTGGGATAAGTCTGAGCGGAAAAATATGTTTTATGTGCACACACACGCATGAGATAGACTGAGCATGTGCTCTTCCAAAGTATGAATATAACATTTCCGCTAGCTCAGCTTGCATATTCTGTAAATGTTCCTACATAGATCATTGTCCTTTAGAAGGAAGTTTAAGTCCTTATTCAACGCTAGACTTGAGCTGTGTAGAATGCCTGTTGTTAATGTATTTCATCAGTTGAATTTTTTTAGAAGTTATACAGAAAAAAATGTCAAGAGTTATAAATATATCATTGCTTTCGTTTCAATGCCCCACTATTTTTAGGGTTTATAAATGATCTTTCTCATCCATATGAAAATAACTTCGATGGTGATATGTTCTCTAAAGCAGTATGGAAGGATCTCTAGAGTTGATGCCTCTAAAAAGCTTGATGTTTGTCTTAGAAAGGTGTAATTACAGAATAATAATTTTGTTCGCTTGAGCTTTACCTTTGTTTCACTTATGTGGTTAGCCCGAAGCATTTTACGTTATTTATTAATGTTAAGAATCTTTCGTGGGTATTAGTTCTTGAACCTCTGCTTTTAAAATATTAATATTATGCTTGATAAGAGGCTCTGTGCCACCTTTCCCAGCTTAATGTGTAGTTATCTTTTTAAAAAAACATTTTCTGACCTGTCATTTTTAGGTTAAATATCACTGCCCAGAAGAGGAGATTGTTTTTGGACCAAGCTGCTGGCTATGGGATTATCTACGAAGAAGTGGAGCTTCTGGTTTCCTTCTTCCACTTTCTGGTGGAGCAGATAGTTCATCTGTTGCAGCTATTGTTGGATCCATGTGCCAGCTTGTTGTCAAAGGTGTTCCACGAATCATTTTTACCCTTTCCTCCGTATGTGCAATTTTTGGTATTAAATATTCACATGGATATTGAATATCTTTCGTCATATTTTTTCGAGCTTTTATTTATTTTTCAACCTTAATTAAGCATTTTATAAATGATTGTGCAGACATAGAAAATGGAGATGAGCAAGTTAAGGCGGATGCAATACGTATTGGACAGTACAAAAATGGAGAGTATCCTACCAACAGCAAAGAATTTGCCAACCGTATATTTTATACTGTTTATATGGGAACGGAAAATAGGTACTCAGATCTGAGTTTCTTAGCCGGAAGAAAATATAAGGAATTTATTTGTTTACAACGATATATTTATCAATATTGTTCAATTAACACGACAGAGTGTTTTTCGTTGTTTCTCTGTTGGCTCGTAATGCACTCAACGACCTCTTTATGCTTTCTTTAGCTTACTTTTCAATTATTTTCTTATGTCCATTACTGATTCTAATGGTGTTGTTTTTGCTAAATGTTTATTCTGGAATGTAAATGCCAAGTAAATCTCTGTTTACTGTTGAGAAGATGAGAGAGGACCGAGAGTGGGTGAGACAACATGAATAAATTGTACTGCTCTGCCCTGCCCCCAAGGGAATATCAAAGCCTCTGTATATAGACTTTACAATATACAAAAGAGGGAAGTTGAATTTGTGCAAAAGGAGGCAAGAACGGAGTAAATAGTTGCTCAACATTGAGAATAGTAATACTTCATTCTATCCCTTATTTCATGGGGTATGATTGTTAATTGTCTCCTATTTAGCATAAATGTTATTCTGTATCAATGTCAGGCGTGAAAATTTTCTCTGTTAACTCATGATTTAGCCATGCCAATGTCCATCATTTGCTGAACTTTTCACGGGAAACTTATTTTTTATGAATTTAACAACCAATCATCCAATCGTCCAATTTTTTGTTAACCGTTTAAACTTTTTAATCTTGGGGACAATTCCATTCGGTGCTGAGTAAACCTGGGGAGGTCACGGTGCTTCTTCACTATGGACATGGCTTCTACTACCTGCAATGGAGATTATGGCCAGCTGGCGTTTGGGACTTAGGCTGAGCGAAATGACTAGTTTAGTACCACACTACTATTGTGCCATATAAATCCCATCTCATTTGGCTCATAAAGCGTAAGAATAAGACAGTTGAAAGGCATGGATTGACTTCCCATTGTCAAAGACGGCTTTATGTTGTTCGAGTAAAGGTGACATTATGTTATTCATGAACTCTTTTGTGACTAATGCTGTGAGTTTAGGAGTATTTATATTTTGAAGTGTACCTAGGAATTGTGAACTGCATTCAATTTCGATGATAAAATCGTGGATGCTTCTGTTTCCGATTATATATAATACGTTGGATACTATATCCTCTTATTATGTGAAATTTTCTGCATGAGCATTAACAGCTACACTTTTTATGTGTCTTTCAGTTCTGATGCTACGAGATCACGGGCTAAGAAGCTGGCCGATGAAATTGGCTCCTGGCACCTTGATGTTCCTATAGATAGTGTTATATCTGCACTTCTGTCACTCTTTCAAACAATTACAGGGAAGCGCCCACGTTACAAGGTTAACAGTTCAGATAGTTTAAGATGTGTTACAAAAGTCTCTACTTTTTACTAAAAACCTCTGTCGCGTATAACATTTCATGTTAAAACCTACTTCTTGATGTGTTAAAGAAAATAAAATCATTTTTTACGTCTATAACCCTAAAAAAATCTTGAACCGAATTCATGACTGTCCTTTAATGGTGTGGTAGGTTTTCGTCAGGAGTCGTCTTAGTGGGTACATTCTTGAAAAAATAGAGAAGAAACTTTAGGATAGCATCTGATTTAAGAATTTGCGTAGTTGGTGACTAATTTGCAAGACTTTGGTACAATTCCAAAAATTATGGAAAAAAAAAACCGTCAAGCAAAGTTGTGAACGTTTTTGATGATTCCAGGTACCAGATTGACAGCATGGGTTGCAGACCATTAGATCGTCCAGATTTTATATCCCAAGTGAAAGTAATAAGGGAAGGTTTTACATGTGAAGTCTCTTTAGGGGAGTATTTTATGGTCATTATCCTCACATCTTGAAACGTAGAAGAGTTGAGAAATTTTGGAATGCAGGGCAGCTGTGAGAAGAACTATACGGCAGATTTTTTTTGTTCATCAGGGACATCTTTGACACCCCTAAATTTAGCATCTATCTTCGTCAAGGCCATCTTCTGGAGTTTTTCTCCGTTTATTTTTTCCATAGTGAGTTTTGTATCTGGTATTTCTCTTTATTGACTGTTGCAAAGTACAACAGAGACTTTTTGTAAGTTTCGCATCTAAATTTCTATTTTGAATCGTCCACAAGGAAATATGGGTTCTTGTATTTGAATGCTAATGTAGCAATGTTCTTCACATTTCCATATTGCCCAAGAGGATGAATGTGGAACCCACGAATCATTAATGTCCTACATTTACGTGTAATTTATGTATATGCTACTTCTATTTAATCTGTGTAGCTGTGTTTTTTCTTGGAGGTGGACACCTTCAACCTTAGCATGATTATCTCAACTTCAGTTCACATTAGACTGGCCTATTTTATTTTCTACAGGTTGACGGTGGATCAAATGCTGAAAACTTAGGGCTACAGAATATCCAAGCCCGTGTTAGAATGGTGCTAGCATTTATGCTAGCATCACTTATGCCTTGGGTTCATAACAAATCAGGTTTCTTCCTAGTGCTGGGAAGCTCAAATGTCGACGAAGCTCTACGTGGTTACTTAACAAAGGTAAAGCTCTCTCTACATGGAAGAGGTTTTATCGATATCAGTCCATCCGCTTCATACTCTGTGGAGCCAGAGGCTTTAAATTCCTTTTTAGTAGAAAGCATCCTAGAAGATGTGTTGATGTTCTGTTGTTGATACCTTTTATCATAATAATTTATCTAGCTTACTGATATTTGTAATTTCTTGCTGGGTCCTGATTATTTATTTATTTTACCATAAACGAATTATTCCACCCCATTTATATATATATATTTATATTTATATATATATATATGATCTCCCCTACAGTATGACTGCAGCTCTGCCGACATAAATCCAATCGGGAGTGTGAGTAAGCAGGATCTACGAGCGTTTTTACGCTGGGCTGCGATCCATCTAAGCTACACCTCTTTGAAAGAAATTGAAGAAGCTCCTCCTACCGCTGAACTAGAACCTATACGTCCAGACTACAACCAGGTACCATAAATAGTCTTCTCTTGCCTGTGAGCGCTTTTTTCTATTCATAGCTACTTTTGAGCTCTTTGTCTTTCACAGATTCCGATTCTGCCCAACTAGTAATCTGGCATTTACATCTTGTTATTTCACTTAAGTCATCTCTTTGATTAAAACCCAACGCTGACATAAATTAAAAGAAGAAGAGATGGGAGTGGTATTTAATTCCTCTCTTCACTCATTGTTTTCCTTCATATTTCCTGCCTTGTTTCCAAGTTAATATCACCTAACTTAGGCAACACCTTCCTTCGCCACTTTGTTTCGATGATCATTGCATTTCTAGATTTTTTCTGTGGGCAATTTAATGGTGAGAGTACTATTGATCATCAGAATTTTTATTTATTTATTTATTTATTTATTTATTTATTTATTTATTTATTTATTTATTTTTGGCTACTAATGCATACCGTTTACAGTTGGACGAAGTGGACATGGGGATGACTTATGAGGAACTCTCGGCATACGGAAGACTGCGTAAGATCTTTCGCTGTGGGCCAGTATCAATGTTTCAGGTGGGTTTTCCAATATTTACCATTCTAAATTTCAGTGAGATATTTTTAGTAACGTCAAAGCATGATTTTACTAAAATTACAGTCGAAGTGATCAGCTACTCCTCGATTTTTATTGGGAAATTATTAACGTTTATAGGAATTTATAGAAATAATCCAGAATCTGGCTGATCGCAATTTCCTGAGATGATTTCTTGTTTTGTTCTTCTAGATATTCTCCACATAAACCTTTTCTTGCTCTATCGATACCTGTTCTGTGGAATTTCTTTCCTCATTATTCGAACCCACAGGTCGTCGTTTGACTCCCCCCCTTCTTTGTACAGAATCTCTGCCACAGATGGTGTGGGAGGTTGACCCCGACAGAGGTAGGAGAGAAAGTCAAGCACTTCTTCAAGTACTACTCCATCAACCGGCATAAGATGACCGTCCTCACCCCCTCCTATCACGCCGAGGTACCCTCCATTCCTTCTGACCATGATCTCCCTGAATGGAGGGTCCTGGATCATTTGATGGATGGCATATCCACGCCGGTGGTTGCAGAGCTACTCTCCAGAGGACAACAGATTTGACCTCCGACAGTTTCTTTACAACTCAAGATGGCCGTTCCAGTTCCGCAAGATAGATGAGCTGGCTAGGGATCTACAGACCAAGCAGCAAGCTCTTCCTCCTCCTGTGCCGCCTACCCCAGAGGATGAGTCAACGAATGGAAGTGGGATGGGTGTGGTAGCTGCCGGGGCTGCAAATCCCAGTGCTGGCCTCTGAAAATATGAGAGATGCTCACTTTTTTTTTATTAATGTAGAAAATAAAAGAAAACAAAGTAATCGGCGTAAGTTGCGACTAGTTGATTAATTACTTGTGAAGGGAAATTGTTCGTAACTTTCTGAAATATATATATATATATATAAATATATATATACATACTATTATTTCTCATAGTTATTTCAAATTTGTCATCTTTAATCTGATCTTGGCTGTGGTGAGTTTTGGTCAACGATCAGTTCTCAGTGGGCCCACGTATGTCCTTTTCTAGTCTCCTAACCCTCAACTCTCTCTCTCTCTCTCTCTCTCTCTCTCCGAATTCTCCTTCTTGGGTCTACACTAAATGGTCAAACTTGTGCAAGGCCCATGATAAACTAGCTCAGAGTTGACCAAACAGTAAAGTCCATCGGAGACTTCCAATCTGTCAATTCTTCGATTGAGTTCTCAAAACATGCAATTTGCCTTAACTGGAAATCTCTCGTCCCAAGCCTTCCTCGGAAGAGCTTAAAGAGGCAATGGCTAGCAATAGAGTAAGGCTCATCAAAAATATCCGCATGGCCCTTTCATCCTGCATGGTCGCACATGCACAATCTTGGTGGAAAAATGTGATCTAAAGAGCTCAATGTCGGCCATGTTATCTCAAGATCGTTCCAATGGACACACTACAAGTGCCAACGTTGTGGAGATTATCTGTGTTGCTCTTAATCTCATCATTTTTTTACGTAAAAATCAGTTTAAAATACTAATATCTATTATATCGATCGTCTATGGCTACACTACGATGGATAAAATCCTTTTTTTATCAACTAAGTATTCCATTTTTGCCCTTCTCTCTGTCTGTCTGTCTCTCTCTCTCATACACACACTCACATGAGTAGGTACACATTGAGGGTTATATTATTTATCGATCGTCCTGTCTCTCTCTCTCTCTCTCTCTCTCTAATTCACACTCAAATATTCCACTTTTGCCCCCCCTCTCTCTCCCATACACACACACTTGTATGATTAGGTACACGTGGAGGCTTATATCGATTTATCAATCTTCTTCTCTCTCTCTCTCTCTCTCTCTCTCTCCCCCTCTATTTCACATTAAAAAATTCCATTTTTGCTCCTCTCGCTCTCCCATACACAGTTACACTCATATGATTGGGTACACATTGGGGGTTATATCTAATTATCGATCGTCCTATATCTCTCTCTCTCTCTCTAATTCACACTCAAATATTCCATTTTTGCCCCTCTACCTCTCTCCCTTTCTCTCTCATATACATTTCCACTCGTATGACTGGTTATACATTTGAGGGTTATATTAGTTATCGATCGTCCTCTCTCTCTCTCTCTCTCATACATACTTACACTCATACATTGAGGGTTATATCTATTTATCGATCGTCCTCTCTCTCTCTCTCTCCAACTCACACACACATTCCATTTGTATCCAACTTTGAAGGACTCCCATAATAAATATCCTTGAGCCAAAGCAAGGCGTAATCAAAATGGACTTGAACATAATTAATTGTGGGTTATATTGATATTTTATTGCTAACATTTGGGGTATTAACGTTATTATTTGATAATCGGAGATAATGATATTATTAATTAAAACCTTAGTCAAGGTGGGATCACGAAGAGTTGAATGCCGGCCCATCAACCAAAAACCAATTCCTTAATTAATTTAAATATTATAATTCCACGCTGAGTGCTCAGAGTTATTTAAATGCTTCACAGAGAGCTCCCTCCGATCAACGCGTCGAGGGTCCGGTTTACTTGGGATCCAGTCGGGTGACCAGCCACCCAACAGCACGTGTCGTGTCGTGGTTGGCGCGGACTGCGGGACCGTGACCCGCACTTTCACGCTAAGGTGGGGTTTCATCCAGAAGAAGTCATCGAATCGACCCAGAGGAGGAGAAGGCGGCAGAGATTCCCACTCAGTTGACTGCCGGGGACTTTTCTCCTCCGACCTGACGGCGGGGTGGGGATATCAGCGCCGTTGGTACTCGCGATCTGGAGTTGCCACTGCGCCGTCTTTCCGTTTCTCTCTCCTCAAATTTGAAACTATCGATTTCTGGATTTTTTTATCAGAACGTCTCCTTTTCGGGTTGGGGGGGGGGGGGGGGTTTCTGTAAAAGAATCCTCTCAGCTATTTCATTTTTGCGCCCTCTCTCTCTCTCTCTCTCTCTCGCTCTTTCCCAGACTTCCTCGTCTTCTTCTCTTGGCTTCAAACTCTTCCTGTAGGGACCGGACACGTAGGGATCGTTTGAAGGTCCGGCAGCTGGTGCTCCTGTCCGCGGTTGGTCCGACGAATTGTGTGAATTCAGAGATTAGGGTTTGCGGCGACAGTTGGTCTACTGGTTCTCGCATCGCTGTGTAATTCTCCATGGCTGACCGGATCTGGCGTATTTCTGGCGCTTCAGTGTAGTTGGTTTCGAAAGAGTGCTCCTCCCTGCTGTTTCCCGGGGCTGGTGACGCGGCGCGGTTTCGTAGATGTCGCGATTTTCTGGATAGAAGGGCAGCTTAGGGTTTTGGGTATTTGCTTATCGGGGAAGTGGAGGGCTTGGCCGCGGGTGATCTAGGTCTCAAATGGGTCTCTAGGGTTTCTGAAGCCGAGGAGGAGGAAGAATGTTTTACTCGCAGTTTATCTTGGCTAGGAAAGGGCCACTTGGGACGATATGGATCGCAGCTCACTTAGAGAGGAAGCTGAGGAAGAACCAGGTGGCTGACACTGACATTGGTGAATCAGTAGGTGAGTTTCTCATCAACCCTCAAAGTTTTATCTGACAAGCATACGAATCGATGGATGCTCAACTTCTTTAAGACATCTTTTCAGCTCTCGGTCAAGTTCATATATTAACCATTTATTTTCTGTATCCTCTAAAATAGGGCATGAAATTTTCCTCTTCAGTTGATGATTTGGTTTCCTGTCGACAAATTGTAAATATTTTATGTCGTTAGTTTAATGGGTAAAAACACATAATTGTAAGCTTTTAAATTGCCATTCTATTTTTCGTTATATTTCCAGTGAAGATAGAATATGTTAAATTGCCATTCGATGTTTTTGTTATATTTTAAAGTATACTTCTTATCTCTCCGTTTTCCCATCCTTGCTACTTTTTTCTTCCGTTATCTTTTTTATTTGAAAATAAAAGTTCTTAAGGATATTTGGGGCCAATGGTTCATTTCAGGGTAATCCAAACGCACATTTCCCAAAATTTTCCTTTCCGACTCAAATTTGACATTTTAATGCAGACTCTTTTTTTTCCCTCAAAATGCTGCGTCTCCAGGACTATTATCTGCATTTAGTTTTGACATTTAAAAGCTAACATGCCAGGAAGTTTTTGTCAAATCTGCTTGCCGCTATCAGGTGTGTTAGGAAGCTGCTCGTTTAATTGCCAAATGTTTTAATAAATGTTTGGCAATCAAAGCTTTGCAGGGTAAAGACGCTAAATTGAGAAAATGTCACAAAACCCTCATCAGCAAATATTTATGTTCTAGGCATTAATTTTTTCAAAACTTCCATTATTTGACAGGAGAGGTCAGATTGGGTGAATTTTATACAGTTAGAAAAAGATTGGTTGTTTAAATACTCGTATTTAACGACTACAAGTATGAATTTGTTGTTCAGATAATTGTCTATTTATGTCCCTGCCCTTTATTTGCCAATTCTGCCATCAAATCCTTTCAGATTTGAGAATCTGATTTGATTATTACATGATGCTTCAAGTTAAATAATTGCGAGAAATATCATTAAAATTTAATCCTTGTTATTCAATGTTTATGATCTATTAACATTTTAAACGTTTCGAAGTTTATAGTTGATACTCATCAGATATCTCTTTTATTCTGTTTCTTTTATGTGCATCAACCGTCTTCGCTTAGATTGCTGATTTGTCTGCCTGATCGAATTGAAATCATAGACGGGTGATTCGAGGCCTACTTTCCATCATGAATTACTGGTATCATTGGGATTCCCCTGTCGCCTGCCCAACAGGGGATGCTATCCTGGGTGTGGTTTGGGGGGGGGGGGTTGGGGGTTGGGCCAGACAATATGGGATGAATTATGGGCTTTTGGGCTAGATACTCTCACCATGTACTGGTGCTGTATTGTTTCTCCTCGAGGTGTGAAGAACCAGGCTGTGATTTGCCCACTCTTGCCTGGGCTTTTAGAGCTCATGATGTTCTCTATCGTGCCACCAAAGGGGGAGGAAGAAGGATGTAGAAACAATAAAGGGAAAAAAATGAATTGAACGGTGAAAAGACTCTTGGCTATCATCATTTCCTCTGGTTTATCATGTCCTATTACGTGAGACTGTGCATGCTTTGATGTACTTTGTTGTCCTCTTCCTCGTGAACAGAAGGAAAAGAAAGCAAAAGAACCAAAAGTTCAGTCGTACAGTCACCATTTCCTTCTTGTGATTTAGTTTTGGGTTAGAAACAAATCTCAACTATTGTTTGGGGAAAATACTGATATTCTTGTCTACATGTCAGAGCTGTGCCTCTGTTTTATGTATTTGATATGTTCCTCTGCAGGTAGTCTGTATTGTTTATTTTGTCTCAAAAAAATTCTCTTCACATTGACAATGTACCGCACCAAGGTTATGTAGGCCATATTGGAAACTCAACATAGATAAAATAATTGATTGCGTGCTTTACCATCACCAAAAAGACTCGTCTGTCTTTTGATGCTTGTCATTCACTGAAGAAAAAGTTTCACATCTGAGGGGCTTTCCCTTTCAAGGAGCCAGTTGTATTATTAATAGAAAAACAAGAAAGACCTAAAATACGAATAATAAAAATATGGGTTCATACATCAATCATTGATGTCTATCTGTCATCTCGTTGGGATAAAATACAAACGTTGGCATTTGATGTCTTCTGACCTGTTTTGTCATTAGTCGTAGAAGTCCAAACTCTTGGAATCTCTGTGTTCTGTGACAGTTTTTTGTTCTATCCACAGAAGATAAGAAAAGTGGTGACGGAAAAGAGAAGTAGTATTAACTGGAGAAAGCTTGCTAGTGAGAAATCTGAACCATGCAATGGTACAAGACTCAGTGGGGATATCGGATAACTGCAGACCAGAGCTGACAAACGGAAGCTGGATTGGCAACAGCCTTTTAAATAATAGCGTTGACTTTACAAAAGAACTAACAGTTATTGCTGTATCTATTGGTAAACTCACAAGGAGACTCTATCGTTTATCTCTAAATGGGCTTTGGAAGTGGAAAACAGTTATATAAAACCTCCTGCTTTCGAAATGACCCCTAGTGAGCTTAGGACGGAGTTTAATCATACGAAGTTTCTTAAACCTACAGCATGTGGGTGTGGTCAGGGGACTGTCAAATGACGGCCTATTGATATGGCAGTTCCTTTCTGACGATGCCACAGCTTCTACGTTCGTAGCAAAAAAAAAATGTAGAGCATACCTCAATTATGCTTTAAGGTGGAACGTTGCGCCGAGGTCGAGTTAAGACAGAGAGGGTATTGTATGTTTTGATGTTTTATGATATGATATATGTTAGGAAGAGTAATGTGAAGCCATGGATTTGGGTGGTGTAAGGTTCAAGAACATTGGCTTGCTTCATAAATGTTGTTGGAGGCTTGGGAAGTATGAGCAAAACCTTTAGTTTCTGGGTTAGTAGCAGTCAAGGAAAAACTTGGGTAGGGTGTAGGATAATCCTTCTCAAATCAGTCAGGCATTGTCTGAGAACTTTTTCAGTATTCTTTCCCAAACTTACGATGCAAATATAGAAATCGATAGTTCATAAACCATTATTTGTGCAGACTCATGAGCTTTGCCACTTGTTTGGCTATTATCAAGTTCTTCGAAATGAATGTGGATCTTGGTCTGTTCTTGACTTTCTTTATTGTCTATTGATTTCTGACATTATTGTGTTTTCTTCAGACTCGATTCTCTTCCCAGACGTTCCAATTGCTCTTCGCCTGTCAAGCCACCTTCTTCTTGGAGTGGTGAGAATATATTCAAGGAAGGTGAACTATCTTTTCCACGATTGCAGCGAGACTCTACTCAGGGTAAAGCAAGCATTTCGTTCAACAGCAGTTGATCTTCCTCCAGAAGAATCTACTGCACCTTATCATTCCATCACTCTTCCAGAAACTTTTGATCTTGATGATTTTGAGTTACCAGATAGTGCCTTATTGAATGGGTTAGTTCTCGATTTCTCTAGTCTCTGATTTCTTGCGTGTTTAATGTCTTTGCCTGCTTTGTGCCATTGCTCATCTTCACATTTTTAATTCCTTATGCAAGCACCTTTTGTTCTGTTATCTTGCAGCAACTTTGTGGATCATCATATCAGTACAAGAGAACAGATTACATTGCAGGACACTGTGGACGCCACGGGATACTCCATATCACAGTTTGGATTGGATGGTTGGTATCCTTATTCTTTGTACAGTCTTCTCTTTACCACGTGATAGGTTAGTGAAAATGTGAGTGTGCACAGAGAACCCATACTACCTGCCTTACCCTTTCGCCTAACGGGAATGAGCAACAACGAAATGACGAGAAACCCGGGCACCCTAGGTATGTGAGCTCTGTTGGCCTACAGTCGTCCCACTGTGTTCGTGGGGGGGAGGGGAGAGAGAGAGACAGAGAGAGACAGAGAGAGAGAGGGGTAGGGGCCCTCCATTTCAAATCTTGAAGTCTACGTGGCGATTTGGTCATCATATTGTTCTTCAGCAGATGCCGAGAATAAGATGCAGCTGGGTTAAAAAATGTGCGAATGCTGAAAGCTTCCGATAACCCAAGAGGATGGGTTGAGGGGGAGAGAGAGAGAGAGAGAGAGAGAGAGAGAGAGAGAGAGAGAGAGAGAGAGAGAGAGAGAGAGAGAGAGAGAGAGAGAGAGAGAGAGAGAGAGAGAGAGAGAGAGAGAGAGAAGCTGATTATTTTTGGCATAACCACCCCCCGCTCAAAAAAGATAAAAGAATTACACAGAGAGACAGACAAACACACCCTTACACACCACCCCCCCTCCCACCCCCCACCCGCCGTATGCATAAACAAGTAGAATGGACTAACCTGGCCCCAAATAGATGACTGAATTGATTCGTTTTTGCTACTCTGACTTTCAGAAAGATTTGGTGATGGAGATGCTTCTCAAATTGGCTTGGACCTCGATGAGGTGAGTCGAGTTGCCTCCTTGTTTTACTGTGAGATTGGATCTGTTTGGAACTTAATCTTCCTGGTGTTTATTTTCTGATTATGTTTTTGTTGGCATCCATATATTTTCAATTTTGCGTCTTTATTTCTTATTACTTTTACTTTCGTAAATCTGGCCTCATATTAAATGTAAAGTCCAAGCTTCTATAAAGTGCTCGTTAATAGGGCTACCTGCCTGACTGTTTCTCATCATCACATACATTATCCGATTAATTTTGGTGTTTGCGAGTTCCAATATGGGAGCCAAGGATTTTCTGTAGATGACTGGCTATGTCGAACATCAACCCTCAAACTAGTGCTTCCGCTAGCAGGTCCGACCAGTGTTGCTGTTGACCGGAGTTTTGAAACCATGATAATCCACTGCCTAAGCAAATAAGCATGCATATACACATAATTGAATGCTCTCATTCAGAACCACGAGTATTAGAGTTTGGGCAAAATGTGTCATGGATATGGCCATTCACCCATGGGTGTTTGTATCATAGGAATGAGAAATGTGCTGTGCAAATGGCCATTAACATTTGATTCATCCGTCTTGTGATACGTGAGTGGTGAACTTGGGTCAATCAAGTTTTGTTGATCCATTCCTTCCTCATGGGCAATTTGCATTAAAAGTTTTAGGCAACCACCTAGGTCGTTGAAAATAAGGCTTGAAATCTAGGTGTTTGAGGCAGGTTAGAATGCTCACCTTGATGTCTTGGGCACCTGGGCCGTCTTCTCACTTAGGCATCTTGCAGCCAGTGCCTTGAAAACGACTTTTTGGGCTGTAGATAGCCTATAAGAAGTCCCATAAAACCTCATTGGAGATTAAGGAGTCCCATCAGATTTAGTAGTTTGTGTGGTAGATGGCTCAGGTTCTGCAATGCGTATGTTTCTGTATTTATTTTGATTTTGATTTTCTTCAAGTTCTTAACAACCATGGTTTCAGGGATTCGCTGGTAGATGGCAAACATTTTCTCATTGTGTGCAAGTTGCTAAAAGAAACATGCACACGATCGCCAAGCATCATGATAGCAAAATGCCTGCTTTGACCTATGACCAATTTTGATAAGTTCCCTATGTCCTTTTCTCGTATGTATTTGGATCTTCTAAAAAAATTTCTGATCAGAAACTGTGCGTAAAATGGGGACCGAGATTAGCGGAAACAATTATCATAAGTGCCCCTTCGTACTGAGAACTTGGACTGGATAATGAGGAAATTTGGGAAATTCAGCGCCTTAAATGTAAACGTGGTGTACCGTATGGCTGGATTGATATGACAGACTTCATCTCTCCAAACCCGAATGGCTGGATTTTTGTTATTGTTTCTATTGTTGTTGATGATGATGTGATATTAGCACTTTCTTTCTTCTAGCGTTTTTTCTGTTTACTTGTCAATTAATCGATTTCTGAGTGTTGACCCTTTGCTTTGTCACAATAGGATATTGTCTTGGACAAGGGATCTTCCATTCCCGATAACCTTTTGGGCTCAGAAGAGTATGTATCTCCTGCATCTCAACAATTGTATCGGGTTTTCATCACTATTTTTGGTCTATGCTGAACGCTTTTGAATTATCAAGTTTTCTTCAACATCCTTTTTTCATTTTACGGCATTAGGCTAAAATTGAATGAACTTGTCAACACGTAGAGAATCCAGATACTAGTGAAAAGGAGAAACCAAAGTTCTGGAGAACTTATCAAATTCAGAATCCCTAACCAATGTATAATGCATATAATAGCGCTTCAAATGTGCACACATTTTTAATTAAAATTCCAAAAGAAGGAAAATATTAATAAAATATAAGTTCTCTATTTGTAATACATGCTTATTGCAGTAGTAATGTCAGTGATACTTTCTCAGGAACTTTATATCAGCATTATCGTTCACATACATGCTGTTTGGAACTATGGTGCAGCTTTATTAGAGATATCCTCTGTTATTCTACCGCCGCATATGTCCTTCTCGTGTCCATGTTTCCTTTCTGCAAAATCTGGTGAAATGAAAAATGAATGTCATATTTGCAGCATGGAACATAAGATTTCTCTCCAGCATGAGGAACCTTTTCCAAGTATGGATATCGATAATGATTATGATGAGCATAATGCTGGGACTTCAAAGAATATTGGTGAAGATTCTGCCATTCACTTTGGAAGACGCATCCCTCGAAAGTTGCAGGATATGAGTGAAGAAGGCCCTTCATTACTGAGCCATTGTGAGCATATTGAAAGATCACCTTCTGTTCCAGATGATACGATTGTTTCTTTCCGTATCCATCAAACCCTTCCAGACACCATTGAAAATGCACAAACGCCAAGTACTCCTGCATTAATTCAAGAGGCGATACCTGCCAATGTCCAAAACATTGCTTTGAGTCCATCTGGAAAAGCTTCACCATCTAATGACGCTGAAGCTGTTGTTGTGAATCCATCACGTTCTCACATGGAATCCGAATGCCATGACTCCGATGAGAGTGGTGATTTAGTTAAGGACAAACATGATTCTTGCCTGAATCAGGCTAACATAGCATCTAAAGGTGGCAATTCCGAACTGTCACTCAAAGAGCCAGTTCTAGGTGAATCAGAATTTCTTGATGGAGTAGAGCAATCGCATGCTGATGGATTATCAATTGAGGTGCAAGGTTTGTTTTGCATTCAACATAATTTCCTTCTTTCCACATGAACAACAAAGTATTATTCTTATGCCTACTGTTATTTTCTAGGTGAGGATGTTCACTTGCCTAGTGTTTCAAATGCTGACACAGGTGTTACCAAGAAGTCGGGAAATGTAGTTTCCCAACAAGGGACGGATTGCAGTAAGGATGAGGATTTGGGTGATGTGATTTCGAAGGGTTCCCGGATAGAGATCAATTGCTCGGCAAGTAGTGAATATCCTGAACCTGAAAGGATGCTCTTAGGCACTAGGGGGGATCAAGGTGTGGCAAAGGATTTAGAGCAATGTACTATTGCGGAGAAAGGTGTCACAGAATCTGATGGAAGTGTTGATCGGGGAGTAAGTACCCGTGGCAGAAAACGACACTTAACAGAAAGTAGTCCTTTTCAGCTGAATGGGATTTTGGCCAAGTCGTCCAGGGCATCCCAATCAGGAAGAAATGCAGAGTATATCCCTGATGACGATGATGTGCTGGCATCTATTTTAGGTATGGGCCTTTACTTGACTTCTCTAGTTTCATACGAATAGCTGTGGTCCTTTGAAAATTCATGATGATTGCTGGAAAATTGTGTATGTTGCCTATTTTTCTATGCACATGTGTAAATCAAGTTCCTATTACCTCATGGTTTATGTACTTTTACTCTTCTCTAGTTGGACGGAGTTCTGCTCTGAAGTTGAAGTCTACTCCAACTCTTTCAACTATGCCTCCTTCAAAACGACAAAGGCAGGCTTCTAGGGCCGGTGTGCCTAAGAGAAAGATGCTATTGGATGATACTATGGTCTTACACGCTGAGTATGTTTCTTGTCTGTGCTATGCTGTAAATTTTCTGTTTAATGTTTTCATTGTCTGTTCTAGCTGCTATATTTAATTTCATTTTGCAATTCCATGTCGGATATCGTTTGTTCATTCGTGATGTTTATTCATCAAATATTGATTGATTTTCCCTTTATCAGTGCTATACGAGAGCAGCTGATAAGTACTGAAGATATACGTCGAACACGAAGGAAGGCTCCATGCACTCGTCCTGAAATCTGGGTGATCCAAAAATGCTTGATAGAGGAAGGGATTTTCTGTGAACCTGTTTTGACTGGTGAGGTTATCGTTCAAAACATTTTTTCAAGAGTATTCTTCCAGCATTTCACCCATTTTACGTTTCTTGACCAATTGCCTGCTCATTCGGTAGAAGTCACATTGCAGTCGCTTGTCTTAGTTATGAGGAGATTGTTAATACAATGAAACGCCTATCTACACATAGGAATCGAAACTCTTCTTAAATAAGCAACGGAAGAGCGAAATACCTTGTTTGCCCATAAATTTTTCATTTTACCGAATCGTAGACTCTTATTTGGCAGAAGACGTATCAACGTCACTTACAGAAAAGTAACTCTCAGAGATTGTTTTTTTTTTTTTTTTGAGCATGCCGTGGCTGATTGGGTTCATTTTTACTGAATTTGACAGATGCTTTATGAAGTTTACAATGTTTAATTCCCCGCTGAAGATTACCGAAAACCAGTAACCTAGATTTGCCATAATTTATTAATGCTGAGCTATAATAACATAACAGCCACTTTCCAGGGATATGGTTGTGAAAGTGGATGAGTGGTTTAAGGATATATAATCAACTAGATGAAAACTCCAATTGTTAGCCATTGAAGCTCTAATAATTCGTTTGAATATTGTTTTAGTCAACCAAATTTACACCTTATCCTGTCCATTGAGGATCGGCTAGCATCAATGTTCCTGTTCTCCATTCTAATACGATTAATGACGTGCTTGGTTAGCATCCTGAATGATGCAAGCATCTAGTTACCTAAGATGCTAATGATGTACTGAATTTCCTGGCAATCTAACATGTCAGAAGATGTGACAATGGATCTTTAAATTGATCTAGTATATGAAGTAATGACATACAATTCTTTAACAATATTTTTCGTGAATGCTTTTCCTCTGTTAACTGTTGACTAACTTGCTCGTGAACAATAATAATGCAGAGTAGTGTTCAACGAGCATAGCCATGTGAATCAAATATTTTCAATGGTTCATTTCTTATTTTCTGTTATGTCCATAGTTCCATAGTCAAGTTGTTTCATTAATTTTACGCGGTGATAGTTCCCCCCCCTCCCCCCAATATTTACCATTGTACGAATACTAATTTCTGCATTTCATTCCGATGTTGAATGTGATCTAAGCGCTTCTAATGAGTGAAAATATTTGATATAATTATGAAAATTTCCTTTCATGTTCGATTGGTTCGTCCTGGAGGACATGTAATTATGCCATTCTTTCATCCACTAAAGGCACTGATTTGATCTGTCCCTTCCATCCAGGTATGCCTCTGGAGTTGGTGATTCTGCACAGCCAGACATTCGACCTAAATGATGCTCCTGATTCAGGGTTTAATACAGACTATTCCCATTTAGAATTACCGAAAATACAGAACAACTCTGACTTTAGTGAGAAATCTAAGGTCAACGAGACAGAGAATAACCCAAAAGCTGCAGCCAAAGATGACGGCGAAAAAGAGGAGATTTCTGATGTCCTTGAAATCTCTCAGACGACGCCCAGCTCTCTTGCAGACGTTGTCCTCGGCGATGCCAACAACAGGGCTCAGTCAGCCTCACTAACTGCTCCACATTTGGTGGAGGCAACTGCTGAGACCTCATCCTCTAACAAAGGAGATGACGACATGAATACTACTAATCTTGGGGTGATTGCGCCAGAAGGTGATTACTCAAGCTGCCAAACTCACTGCGTTGAACCCAAATGCTTGAGGGTACCGCGGTTTTTCATATGACAAACTTTTCAAATGAACCAGGTGCCTTGGCCGATTCAACCTGTGACCAGAGTGTGGAGCATGAAGCTGTGCCTGGCGGTGTAAATGACGATGGTAACCCCATCTCTGAGATCTCCCCTGTGAAGGCACCACAGTCGCGACTCGACACCGAAGTAGAAGAGAACCCCTCAACCGTAGGCGAGAACTCTGGCTTCCACGACACCATGGACTTGGATAGGAGCCACTTTGACTCCGCCGCCCCAAGAGACTCCAATGTAAGCTACCTCTGTTGGTTGCACCATCCTAAGCAGTGCATATTGGGGGAATCGCTTCCGTCGTGGGTTCTTGTGGTTCTTCCACAAATAGCAAAATATTTGATATCCTGCTTGACGAACGGCTCGTTTAATTCTGGTGCAGGATTTCTGCAGCGCTGTGGGCGGGAACGACACAGGTTCGTCCCCTTTCCTTCTCAGGCTGATCGCTGCAGCTCGTTGCCTGAATGGGGTTAATTGATTTCTATAGGTGGTAATAAGTGGGATCTGAGGGAGATTTCCGTTGACTAATTGTTGGTTTGATCTCCCAATCCTCGTCTCCCAGGGTTTCTAAATGTAGATGACGAAGTTGACTTCGATGAAGAGGTGGAGAATGAGCTGCCCGACACCGAAGAGGCCCAATCCACTGAGAACAGCGGCTGGTCGTCTCGTACCAAGTACTCTCCCACCCCCCTCGTCTCCTTTTCTGCCTGGTACCTGGTAGCCACTGATGATTAAATCAAACCATTCTCCAAAAGGGGTGTTGCAAGATTCCTCAGATCCTTGTTCGACGAGGAGACCGGCCGGGGAAGAACAGCCGTCGCCGTTGACCAGCTCTTGGCGGGTAAAACCCGGAAAGAAGCATCAAGAATGTTCTTTGAAACATTGGTATGTGTGAAAAATAAATATATTTATTCAATCTGGATGAATCTGCGTGGTGGGTTCTGATGATCATCTGAAACTGGTCTCTCTCCAGGTGTTATCCACCAAGGACTACATACTCGTTGACCAGGAGAACTCCTTCAAGAACATCAGCATCAAACCCAGATCGAAGCTCCTGAAATCCGACTTCTGATCGAGGTCGGAGCAAGGATTTGACCAGGAGAAGACGATTATTTTGTAGGGTTTTAGTGGACCAAGTCTCTGTATCTTGCCCTCCCCCCTTCTCTCCCCGCCATCTGTCTCCCTCTCTGGTCGACCTAGGGTTTAGTCGTCCTGTATCCTGTGTACAATTTACCTCGTGTATATATATATATCAACATAATGTGTATGTGCAATGTACTCATACTAATTATCTCCCGTTTCTTCTCGGGGATGTACTGTTGATTGTTGTAATATACGTTTTCCGAAAAATATTAGCTTCTATGGGTGTCAAAATCTCGGTAGAGAAACTTGTCAAGGGTGTCTGTATAATTTTCCCCCCAATGCCTTTTGCCGTCTCGTCACCGGCGATCCGGTAAGCTTCTTTTTTCTTGCCTCTTCTTCCCCCACCTCCCTCGCGGATCAACGCTCGTCTCTGCGGCCATGAGCGGGTCGATAAGGAGGTCCTCCGTCCTCCGATCCGGCTGCCTCGCCGGTGACGCCTCCGCATCTGCCGCCGCCGTCCTTGGTCTTCGACCTGCGGTTCCACGCTTGTCTCTGCGGCCATGAACGTGGCGACCAGGAGGTCCTTCTCCGTCCTCCGATCTGGCTGCCTCGCCGGCGGCGCCTCCACATCTGCCGCGGCGGCGGTGAATCCCTCATCCGCCACCACCAGCCCGTCAACGCCAGGGAAGGGGCTCACCAGAGCACTCCTCCGGGGGCCCACAGCGCCAAGGGACCTTCCCCACACCGGCCGTGGCGCCACTAATTTACTGTGCCCACCACCGGTCTCCTTCTCCAGGTCAACGGCATCAGCCACCCTTTTGGGGCCGCAGGATCCGATTCTCCCCGCGCTAATCGCCGCACAGATCAGGTTCCTCTCGCCTCGACTCCATCCGCGTCGGACAATGGCGATGAACGTCTCCTCTTCCGGCGGGGAGAATGGTGCCGAGACGCCGGCGAGCGAGTCTATCAGGGATTCCGGCAGCCCTCCTTTCGTCAACATCCCCGTGACCTCCACTTTGGCTTATCCTCTGGATAATTCTCCCACTCCCATAAATGCAAGCTCTTCGATCCGGAAGCCGCTGAGCCTGTGGCCGGGGACTTACCACTCCCCTGTGACACAGGCCCTCTGGGAAGCCCGATCGAGCATATTCGAGAGACTGCTCGATCCGGCTAACGACGGGCTCCCACAGAGCGAATTGCTCACGAAGACCCCGTCCCAGAGCAGGACCAGCATCGTGTACCACTTCTCCAATGATTACATTCTCAGGGAGCAATATCGCGATCCCTGGAACGAGGTCCGGATCGGGAAATTGCTGGAGGACCTGGATGCCCTCGCGGGAACAATTGCTGTGAAGGTAGGTGCCTACTGAGACTTTCTCTTTCTATGCTATTTAATATGGATCAGAACATCAGATTTTCAGAACGCTTTCTTGGACTCCTCGCCGAACAAAATTATGATCTCCAGTTGCTATCTTCTCTTCAAATGCTACCTCTTTAGATTTGCATGCATTAAGCCAAGTTGGAAGTTCCCTTCTCTTTTTTCTTAATCTGCCCTCACCCTAGTTCCTCTTCCCTGCTAATTAAGCACTTCTGAGCCATATATGACTGCTCCGAGGTGTTCTCCCCTAGTCCGAACATAGTTCCACACGAGTACCTAAATTATTCCCGAGTTCTTTTCCCTGTACTGCTGTGGTATTTCTTATAAACTTTTTGAAAAGAGAAAGAAGTCAACGCAGCGTCTGTGTCGGGAATTGCTGCCATGTCGACAAGCTCTGAGCTCTACCACCGCTAACCATGATGAAGTTCCCCAGATATAAGAAGACTAATTCAGGAGGTTTTTCTCTAAACATGATATTTTTTAAGAACGCTGATGATGCTTAGAGCTGTAGAAACATCTGATTTCATTTTTCGGGGATTATTATATCACGTATGAGTTAAATATTACAAGGATAAATCTGTACAAAAAGAATCTAACATTTATGCAGTCTTCACAGGGATGTTCCAGACCCTACTGAGACCCCCATCCCCCTTCATTATTTAGAGGAAAACGTTTAATCCTCTCGAATCAGCAGAGAAAAAGGCTTCTTACCCGTTTAGCACAAGAAAAAAATGGACCACCACCCAAAAACCGTGTTGTTCTTTTGGGTACTAATTTTTCGGTTTGGCATCTCGCTAGAACTTTTTTTTTTTTTTCCTGCCAGGATACTGAAGTAACCGTTCCCTTTTCTTCTCTCTGTTCTAGCATTGCTCTAATAATGACAGCACGACGAAGCCTCTGGTGCTGGTCACCGCTTCTGTGGATAGGATGATCTTGAAGAAGCCTCTCCGGGTGGACTCGGACTTGAAAATCGCCGGGGCTGTCACATGGGTCGGGCGATCCTCAATTGAGTTGCGGATGGAGGTCACCCAGCTATCACAAGGTACGCTGAAGAATGACTAGAGTGGGCCGTCCATTGGACTGAGACCTCTCTTTCCATCTGTTCCATGAATGATTGCCCTCAGACTCCCTTCTTTCTCTTGCAGAGACCGACAAGGAGTCGGATTCTATCGCTTTGACCGCCAACTTCACCTTTGTTGCACGCGATTCAAAGACCGGGAAGTCGGCTCCTGTGAACCGCCTGGCCCCACAAACTGAGCTAGAGCGGAAGCTCCTCGAAGATGGGGAGAGCAGGGACAGGCTGAGGAAGAAGAAGAGGGAAGAGGATAGGAGGCAGTTCGAACAGGGCGGCCACGCTTTCCACGGCGAGCTGGAGAGGTTAAAGGCTCTGTTAGCCGAAGGCCGCATCTTCTGCGATATGCCTGCCCTGGCCGACAGAGACAGCATTCTGATAAGGGACACACACCTCGAGAACTCTCTCATCTGTCAGCCTCAGCAGAGAAACATCCACGGGCGAATTTTCGGAGGATTCTTGATGAACCGGGCGTTTGAACTGGCCTTCTCGACTGCGTATGCATTCGCCGGGCAGATGCCCTGCTTCATGGAAGTCGACCACGTTGACTTCCTACGACCTGTGAGTGCTTCCCCACTTCCCCCCCCCTCATGATTTTGTGCTGCTCCTTTACATTTTTGCCCTTTCAGTGCTAAGCTTCTCGAGATTCGTTTCCTTAGCTTTACCACTTCTGCTCCTAGATTTGTTGAGAAATGGTGTGTAATAAATATCTACCAAGAATCATCTTGACCCAGTTCAGTGGTTCTCAATGTGGATTTCTTTATTTACTTGATCGGCGTTGACCGGCTCAGGTGGATGTGGGGGACTTCCTGCGGTTCAAATCGTGCGTTCTATACACCCAGCTGGAGAACCCGGAGCAGCCCCTCATCAACATTGAAGTCGTCGCTCACGTCACCAAGCCGGAGCTCCGCCGGAGCGAGGTGATGATCTCTTGACAGGATTTCTAATATGTTCCCCGCACTCCTCTCACCGCGCTTCCCTTGAAATCATCCAACAGGTCTCAAACACCTTCTACTTCACCTTCACCGTCCACCCAGAGAGCTTGAAGGACGGCCTGAGGATCCGAAGCGTCGTCCCCGCCACCGAAGAGGAAGCCCGGCGAGTGATCGAACGTATGGACGCCGAGGATTCTTACTTCTCCTCTGTGTAGATTTGTACGCCCACCATCCCCGGAAGGCCCCCCCGGAGGATCGTTGACCTCCACTTTCTCCAGGTCCTCGTTGTCAGAAGCAAATTGCAAGTGGATGTTTGGGAGTGGCCGGGTGCTCTAAATCCGTTTTATATATGGACCAACAGCAGAGATGTCCCCATCTCCCAGCTCTTCAGGGTTGGGTTGGGCTGCTGTTGACTTTCTGTAGTTCTGAGGGCCAGCCCCCAGCATGATCCTCAAGAACCCAGCTCCGACAGCTGTTCTTCGGACAGTCAACCCTCCTTGGATCTTCAGACTTTTCTTGATAATTAAATTATGTTGTTCGCGATATCTTGGAACTGGGTTTTTTTTTCTTTCTTCTTTCTCTTTTTTTCTCTCTTATGAGAGAATAATCTCGTATTCATACATATTTAGAACGCCTGAAACGATTCCAAAATCGTTTGCACTGATTCATGCGGGTACAGACTGAGAACCCTAGAAGGGGGAGCTATCGTCGTCGTCGTCTGAGCTCCCCGTTGTGTGCGACTGGAGCCGGGGAAAGAGCTGCGGCAGCGTTGGGTTGATCGGCACCGGAAGCTGGCGCGGCCAGCTGATGTTCGTCCGCTCGTTGACCTTCCCCACCTCCTTGCAGACCTGTTCGAGAGTAGAAACGAAGTCCCTGACCACCATGAAGATTCTGAAGGGGTGGGCCTCCTCCTCGGCGGAGTTCCCATGGAAGTACTCCGTTATCTCCTTCACCAGAGACAGAGCGACGTTCTCCTCCGCCTGAATCTTCGCAATCTCGTCCTCCGCTCGGTTCAGGAACCCCTCCATCGCGTCCCTGAACCTCCGGCAACTCTCCAGCTGGCCACCGGCGGCGCCGCCGCCGCTCAGCTCCAGGACCTCGGCGACCTTCCCTACGCCGCCGGCGAGCTTCGCCACCGCGCCGCTGAGCACCTCAGAGTCCATGGTGGCGGCCTTCTTCACGTTGCCCAGCTCGCCCCCGAGCCCTGCGACGACCTCCAGCCCAAGCTTCTTGGACCGGCGATCCTCGCCGGAAATATCGCCGGCGGCGAGCCGCGACCCTTCGGATCTTATGATCTCCTGCACGACGAAGTGGAGCAGCGTCGTCTTCCCGTCGGTGCCCTTGACGTCGACCAGCTTGAGCAGAGTGTCGAGCTTGAAAGCTCTCGCACCGCCCCGATTGGTCCCGACGTTCATCCGGTTTCCGGTCTTCAAGACTGCCTCCAGCAGCTTCAAGAACATCCTGCTACTTCTCAGCTCCTCGCAGGCGACCTGAGATTATTTTTATTAGAGCTGTGAACTTCTGCAAGGATCTAAGATTTTGGTGCAGGAGGACGAGGACGGTGGTTACCTCCAGAGTTTGGAAGGATTTCGTGAGGTAGTTGATCTCTGAGTCGAAGTTGGCGATGTAGAGCATGGCGTCGGCTCTCTTGAAGGCGAAGGGGACGTCGAGGAGGGCCTTGAGGAACTTCTCCGCGGGGCCCAGCTTGAAGGGCGAGGTCTCCTCCCTGTGCTCCTTCAGCTTGAGCTCCTCCTCCCTGCTCGGCACCATCTTCAGCAGTGTCTCCAGGAGCTCCGCACCCAGGTTCTCCGTGTTCCCTGTTTCCCATAAGAAGAAGAAGAAGAAGAAGAAGAAGAAGATGAAGAAGATGATGACGACGATGATGAAGATGGAGGGAAGAAGAAGAAGAAGAAGATCTCCTACCTTCGTGGAGGGCTTCGCAGACTTCCTCCTTGGTCACATTGAGAGCTCTGAGCAGAATGGCGATGTTCTGAGATTTCTTCGGGTCGAGCACGCGGTCGTCATCTTTGGGCGATGGAGGCACCTGCCGCCTGGCCGTCTCCTTGAGGGCTGTGCTCACAGCATTGCAGACGAACAGCGTCTCGATCATCTCCTCGTTCAGCCTTCAAACCAGAGGCCCCCAGAAGTAACAGAGAGAGTTAGAGAGAGAGAGAGAGAGAGGATGGAGGAGATTTGTAGAGAGAGAGAACAGGGCCGTCGGTCTCACTGGAAAGAGCTCGATTTCAACTGGTCCCACACCATGGCTCGATCGGAGCTCGCCCGGACCTTGTCCCAGTGCAGGGGCTTCAGCTTCGGCCGCGGGGTGGTCTCCTCACCGGCCCTCGCTCCGCCGTCCGAGTTCAGCGCCGCCTTAGCGGGGTGAATCGCCGTCAGGGCCTTCCCGCCGGTGGGTCGCGGAGAGAAGAGAGGAGGACGATCCCCTGCGAGCCCTGCTCTTGAAACCCTGGTTTCCCAGTATCCCGCCGGCGGTAGCGGCGGAGGTGGCGGCGGGCCTGCCACCATTTTTGGTGAGTACTTTCCATCCGACTTCTGGAGGGATATTTCTTTCAGCGGGGGCGACGGCGGCGGCGATGGAGAAGAGGGTTTTCTCTTCGGTGGGGATGGAGTCGACTGGTGAAGCGGCGGAGGCGGCGGCGGCGGTGGCGGAGGGAAGCGTAGTCCGGCGTCGTTAACGAAATCCTCGTCTGATAAGGAGCTCGACGATCCGAGGATGGATTTTCCATGGCTGGAATCGTCCGGAGGTGACGACGGCGCCGGAGAAGGCTCGGAATTGGAAGAAGGAGACGACGGGGAGCTCAGAGTTGTGTTCGTCGGCTCGCATTTTTCTCCGGGGAGGAAGGTCCTCCTGGAGATCGAACCAGAGCCGCTCCTCAGCCCGCGGGGGCTGTCCTTCCCGGCGGAGGAGCTCCTGGGGGAGTAGAACTCCTCCTCCGACGAGCAACCCGCCTCACCATTGCCGTAGCCACGGCGGAAGGAGCGGAGAAGAGGAGGGAGAGGACGGAGCTCTGGCGAGCCAGTCGTCGGCGGAGGGGGAGCTGGTTCTCCGTCGACGGCTCCACTGGAGCTAGTCAGGTTGCCCAGGTACAGGAACTCTCCGCCGGCGGCAGCGGAGGAGCCGTAGGAGAAGTTCCGGCCGCCGTCGGAGGTGGCAGAGAGGGCCGGGAAGAGGCGGCGATCGTCGGATCTGCAGTCTTTCTCGCTGAGAAAGCCTCGCCGCCGGCGACGGTAGAAGAGGGCGAAGGCGAGCCCGAGGAAGAGGACGGAGAGGATGGGGAGGAGGATGGCTGGGATGAGCTTCTTAGACGACGAGGAAGGAGTTGCAGAAGTGGAATGCGGGAGGATGATGGAGGAGAGGTTCCCTGGGAAGGTCGGCTGGCTGGAGGAGGAGGAGGTAGTGTTGGAGATGGCCGGCGGAGGAGGAGGAGGAGGAGGAGGGGGAAAGAGCGGGAAGAAGGGAAGCGGGTTTGTCGAGGAAGGGTACTTGGGGAGGGAGAGGGAAGGGGGCTCCGCCGGGGGCTCCGAGAACAGCGGAAAGAAGGGCTGATGAAGCGCCCGGCGGTTGGATCGGGGAAGGGGATTACCGGAGCTCGCCGACGCTATCACAGAGAGAAAGAGGAAGAAGAAGAAGAAGAAGAATCTGGGCATTGTGGTTAGCGAGAGAGGGAGGAGGAAAGATGGTCCTCGATTGCTCTGCGCGTGTGGAGAAGAAGTAGGGGAATCGAAAGCCTGCATGTGGGTATGATCTGAGCTGTGAGCAATAAACCACAGAGAGAGAGTCTAGCTATTTTGTTTTCTTTGGAGAAGAGGACCGAAAGTTCTAAGCAGTGTGCGTGCGTGTGAATAGAAAACGGAAGGACGGGGGAAGAAGGAGCAGAAGGGTAGATTTTGCACTGACTCGGGACCGACTCCCGAAGGCGTCTCGGGGCGAGTCAAGGAGGAGGCAACTCGGAGCGAGCTGAAGCGAGAGGACGGGTACGAATTACCCCACCGACGGCAGAGACCACCTGAAAGAGAAAGAGAGAGAAAGAGACCTTGGAAATGACCTCGAAAAACTACGTCTTTACCTCTGTCGTCGGGCCTGCCTGATTTATGATAATGGCGACAGATGAGAGATGGAGATCCGAACCATCATTGACATTAGAATTATTGATTAGGTAGTCGAAGAGAGAGAGTAATGAGAGAGAGAGAGGCAGCCCTGCTGTAATCTCCGAGTTACAGTGGCAGCACAGTGCCATCCTGTCGAAGGCGGAGGATGACGAGCCGCCAGCTTGGGATCGCGGATTCTTCCCAACAGAGGACAACAGCAAATGTGTGGCTGAAAGAAGAGAGAGAGAGAGAGAGAGAGAGGGAGAGAAACAGAGGAACAGAGCAAGGCGGTGTGACCTGCAATCTATCAAACTCAGCAAGCGGCCACGTGGGAAAGGAATCCATGCAAACTCCGAGCTAATGCCACCAACGAGCCCTTGAGAGAGAAAGGAGAGAGAGAGAGAGAGAGAGCAGCCGCATTTTCGACGGTTGACAGAAATCACGTAATTTTGCCATCATTACTCATTTCTTTGGCGGTGGTGAATCTATAAGTTACCTCCAAAGGGGAGATGAACGAGATGTGCATCCACCGGCGCCGCCGTCCTGTCTCTGATGGCGAGGTCCAGCTGTCCGAGGGAAGACAAGTGAGCACGTGACGCGACGGCTACCAGGGAAAGGACATGGTAAGAAAAAGGAACGACGGCAATTGAATCACAGAGTGTCGGTGTGAAGCCTGACGGCTGGCCGAGGCGTGTAAGCTTAACGGCAACATTCCGTTAAGCCTCCCGTTAACTCCAACCGAGGCACCAACGTCTCCGTCTCGGAATCATGCCAGATGACTCGGGAAACTTGGCTGACGGTTAGGTCGGCGATTGGTGACGTGATATATTGCTCGGTGGTCCAAATACGCGCTTGCAGACCATCCGATCAAGATCCGGCAGGAGAAGACGGTCCGTCGATTTGACGACAGGCCTCCGCGGGCCCCCTCCGAGTCTCCGGCCCGAGTCGTCGGACCGTACGATCAGAGTCTTCGCACCTCGTAGATGGAGAAAACCAAACTCGCCCCGGTTAAACCGGGCCCGTCCGGGGTGATGACTCAGTTTGGGGCAGGCCACAATCTTCACTGACCGCGTGTTCGATTTGGTAAGACTACGATGCAAAGCGGCCACTCGGATCCCAATGACTGCAGAGACTACTGACGGCCCACGTCTAACTGGAGCAGGATTATCCGTAATTTTATTTGGCGGCGGGAAACCCGAGTGCTAGAGAGAGAGAGACGAGCGAGAGTAGGTGAGAGGCGCTGCTCAGGTTGAGTGGAGTCATTTCAACGTGGCCTCAACTTCAAGGTGGCATCTTGATGGCCCCCGCCAAGCCCATGTGTACAGGCGTAAATGGTGAGATTAACCGCCGGTAATATATACAGCCGTCCAGCTGAGGCTGACCGGAAACTACTGTCGTAGGTTCCCTCAGAATCTCTCGAAATCAACGGCAGAGAGAGGAGAGGCAGAGAGAGAGATTGCTGTCGGCCATATGGGTTCTGTCTGAAGAATGAATGGCCCCCCACCATCACCGTCATAGTAATCGAGCTCGGGCTCGGGCTTTTTAGGCCCGGAAGTGTTCGGCCCGAAGCGAAGACGTGCGGGCCATTGTGCACGGGCGTGGGGTTATTCATGGAAAATAAATAATCGGGCTCATTAAAGGGGGAAATATTAGGCGTTAACGATGATACGAGGTAGTCGATGATGTTAAATCCGATGACTCTTCAGGCCCTCCAAGGCATCAGCACGTGATTTTTCCGATGTGGGAGTGGGGCAGCGGCGGAGGGATTGGATAGTGATAAGAATATTCCGAATCGAGCATCCATACACGTTCCCACATAGTTTTTTGGGAAAAGGAGGTCCCTTTTTTAGGAAAATAAAGGTCCGGTCTATGAAGGCGTCATTCTAGAAAGCTAGAGCGAGAGAGAGAGAGAGAGAGAGCATGAGACAGCCCACTGAATCAACGAGCTTGGAGACTAGGGATGAGCCCGGGACTCGTTCCGATCGGACCGGAAGACGAGAAAACTAGCTGATTCGCTAGGATTTCTGTATTTTTATATAAGTATATAAACAGAATCATATTAATAAGCAAACTATATTCGGCGACGGTGTGAGAACCTGCCACGTGTTATAGCAACTTGCCTCGATTTTTTCTTTTTTAATCGTATTATTGATAATCACAGTTGCGGCGAGCTTTGCCAATTAAACGGCGTTGACAATGACAGAGATCGTAGCGAGATGATGAAAGACGGCGGAGTATATTTCTAATTATTCATATTCTGGGGGGTTATTCGAATATCTCAAACGTGTTTTAGGGGTTCCACTCGAAAAAAGATACTTATTTTTTACGATCCCCGCTTGTCGATTTTTTAAAAAATAACGTCTAGACCTTCTTTTTGTGAAATTTATAGGTAGACCTTTTTCGGTATATTTGCAATATTTCTGAGACAATATTTGCGTGCTTACGTCAACCCTAGTAATCTAATATTAGGCGATATAAAATAATTTCCCCGTTTGGGTAGGGAGATCATTGAAGGAAATACTTGGGTGGTTACGATTAGAACCCAAACAGGAATTCCAGATGTGCAGGCTATATATTAGCCTGCTGTTCTGTCACACGTCAATCATCTACGTGGCGATCCCGCTCTCCCTCTTGACACGTGGCGTCACACGCTGGACTCAGCTAGGCCTAGTGGGCCATCAGATGCGGAGCAAAGAGTTGACATCTGGCCCATTTAAAGCCTGACCATATTGGGCCGGCCCAATGTATCGTATCCGAATTTAAATTTTAAATTTATTTTTTAGAACATTAGCGTGAAAAATGGGATCCAAGAGGATCACTGTTGATGCCGACTGGATTACCATATGGGCGGTCAGGATGAGCGGTCTTGACGACGGCGGGTTCTGTATAAATTGGAAGCGCGACCACTGCCCGCTGGGGATCGGTAGTGGCGTCATGAGGAGTCTGGGGGCAGCGCTCCTCGTCATCGTCATTTTCTCTCTCTTCTCCCCCTTTTTCTCTTCTGCCTACGGAGCTGCTCGCGGGGCGAGAGAGTTCGACTACTTCCTCCTGAGCCTTCAGTGGCCGGGTACTTTCTGCCAGAGGACTCGGCACTGCTGCCCCTCCAACGGTTGTTGCAAGAGGTTTTCCTCTCCCCCTTCCCCCCTCTCTAGCCTTTTTCTCGTGGCGATGGATTGAATTTCTCCTAGATTGCTTGGTTTGGTGCTTTTGTTCCGTCGGATCGCTTTAGGCGGATGAAGGCGGGATAAACGATGGTACGGCAAGGAATTTGCGCTGGATAACGTCGTGATCCGATAAAAGAGATTTGACAGATTTTATCGAATTGAAAGACTCTCCATTCCTTCAATATCGTCCGTCCGTCTACATGCAGAGGCATGGATGTCATTTTTCGTTATCGATTGCTTCCCCTTTCTTGGCGAGTTGCGCGCACACATTTATGTTCCGTGCGGTGTTCATCTTTGAGGAAGCATCCATGAAATTAGGCAATGTGAGGCGTGAGTAGGACTTCTTATGCGGCTCGTAATCGATTACTCGTCTGATGTCGTACGTGCATCGACATTCTTATGCTATTTTTTCCCCATCTTGATTTCCTTATCTTTTATTTTCCTGCATTTTTTTGTCTTATATTTTATACAAAAATCTCGTCTGATAGTCATTTTTTTGTTCATTTTAATTTTTCTTTGTAATTTACCGCTAATAAATAACGCGGCCTTGATTATATCATCGTCACTAGTCTTTTTATCTCGGTCACTTAATCGAATCAGCAAGAAGAACTTGACTGGTTAATGTCTGTGCAGGTCTGTTGCTCTAGATGAATTCACAATCCGTAAGTGCAACGACGACAGATTAATTTAACCGCCTATGAATTTGATTATCACCTCGAAGTTAATTCATTTTAAGCAGAGAAACCCAAAAACCAAGGTTTAAATGCTTCATCTTTACATATGTATTTGTAACAGATGGATTGTGGCCAGAGTACAATGATGGAACCTGGCCAAGTTGCTGCAGCAATAACCACTTTGATGTGAAAAAGGTCGTGCAACTAATCATACAATGAATTTTTTCTCTGTAGCATTGTATTTCAGTATGGCCATCTATTGAACTGCTCTAAATCCTTCTGAATTCAAGTTTTCAATCACAGGTTGCACCCTTGATTGGGAACCTTTCAAAGTATTGGTCGACGTTAAGCTGTAGCTCTTCGTCTAACTGTCATGGGGGAAAAGGACTTTTTTGGGGACATGAGGTGGTTCATGATTTATTTATCATAACTTATATGCAACAGCCTTAAGATAGTTTCTGACAGACAATTTTCATGTTATTTCTGAGAACATTCGTCTTCGTGGATGCTCATTTGCAGTGGGGTAAATTATCTCCCAAACTTCTATATGCAGCTGATTATTTTCCTGGGTGAACCAGAAAGTCTTATAGTCACCATTTGGATTATGAAAAAATAATTGACAATAAAAATAATCGCCAAGCTATCATAGTTTTATTTATTGATTAAAACACAACAATTCTTTTCTTTTTCTATCTGGGTATTGGCCTGCCTATTCTGAACTTCGTACCCCCTCCTCTCGTTGCTTATATTTAGTATGACTCCTTTGGGGGATTTCTGTGTCATGTCTCTTTGTATTTAAAATACTTGTTTTATTTTGACTCGCTTGCCTGCAGAAAAACACGGTACTTGCTCCTCTCCAGTACTTCAGGATGAATACAGCTACTTCTCGACAACTCTTGACCTGTACTTCACGTACAATATAACGGTTAGTGCTAACGCATTCAGCATCCCGTGAATTATGGGTTTTTACTGGTTGATTTTCCCACAAAACTAAAGCTCAGTTTATCATCCGAACACATTAAACATCTAGTCTGTCATTTTTTATTTTCACTGAATGGTGCCCTTTTTATGACCATGGTGAACAAAGAATTATGGCAAGTAACATTCTGATATGTATGCAACAGCTGTGGCAAGTAATATTCTGATATGTATGCATAAAAATGGACGTTTTCTGTTTCTTGTTGGTTTATTTTTAATAAAAATGGATCCCCTCTGCCTGATCTGTGAAATCTTTCAACCAATCAACCAAACATGGACGCTGGTTCTTAACCATGCTTATGGCGTAAAACTTGAAAATAGTTTTGAGAGCGCAGAAAACCGGATCAAATTGGACCAACTGGTCCGGTTGAGCGCAGCAAACGATTTATGCTTTCAGCTTTCTGATGATGACTCTCCAATGTCCTGTTCTTGTTCTAAAATCAGCTTCTGGCTAATTTATGAACAGAAAGTGCTGAACGGTGCTGGGTTTTTAGCAAGCAACACAGAGAAGTATAAACAAGCCGATATATCCGCTGTGATTAAGAACTCAACAGGTGGTTCTCCGTGGCTGGTGTGTTCCCATGATACCGTTCAGGAGCTACGTCTCTGTCTCCACAAGGATTTCACGGTCAGTTAATTCACAGTGTGAGATGTTGCCGTAATATTAGGCTGCTAATAATCGATTCTGATGCATTGATCCTTTATAAGGGCGTATAAGGGTGTATATACTGCAGATTTCATTGACAGCATTTTCTAGAGACAAACATGGGTTTGTTCTTAAAGTAGATTATAACGTAAATCTCTGGTTAAAACAACTAATATTAGATTGACAACAATATTTTAGGCCAATAGATCATAACGTTCTCTTTGATGCCCAAATTTCAATTGCCATCGAATCTTATCCTAGAACTGTTCCTGTGTTAAAACAGCCTCGTGATTGTGGAATTCTCTCAAGCACCGTTGAAGATGAGCTAAATGCAAGGGACTCTTGTCCACAGTACATCCGATTACCAAAGTATACCCCCCCTCCTGGTGAGTACCCACGGAGACCATCAAGACTGTAATCTCCTCTCCATTTCTCTTTGATGGTCCTCTGGTCTCCATCTTATTGGACTAACCTACTACCCATCTCTCATGGACAACTCCACAGGAACCGCTGACCTTCAATGGTGGCCAGAAGACGAAGACTCCAAAGCTTTACTGCAGGAAGAAGCTCACTCGTTGAAATAATCCACCTTGTAAATAAAGAAAAAATAATATGTAACTATGTGCCTCATCTATATTATCTTCCTAACGATGTGTGGTTTCTCTTTTCTGGATTCGGCTGGATTCCTAAATATTGCAAAACAATTTCAATTTCTTCTCCTCCATCTCCTTAGTCGTCACCATCAGCTTTTCCGCAGAGCTTTCCTAATAGGGTGGCGCAGGCACCACATTTGCAAGGTCAACCCATGACGGTCTCTTCGCGTTATAGTAGAAGTGGGCTATCATCTACACCAGCTAATCAGCCGTTCTCATCTCTGCAGGTCCATAGGAGATTGAAAGTCAACGTCCCATCTGGAAGAATACAGCTGCTACTTAGAGATGATAATCAGAGGGAGAGCTGGTTCTGACCTTTCTCTCTGTAAAGGATTATATTACCCCAGAGGAACAGTAGCTGTGGCCATTCTGACTTTGAGAGTGTAGGCCTGGTCTATCTTGAGGAACAGCGGCTGGAATCCTAAAGATCATAAGCTTTGGTGAAGGGTTTTAATGGCGGAAACAGGTGTAAAGACGTGGAAAGACCCAAATAGAGAGAGGAGCATCAGACCACCTTTGTCACCTTCTTGATGCAATGGAGTTGAAAAAGATGTGGAGATTTAGGCTTGAATCCACAAAGCTCGAATCTTGACAGAGAGATCAATCTTGAATCTATAGAACTGAAGTCTTAAACCTACCTTTAGATCCACAAGATTAAGGATAAGATTAAATCCTCAAGGGTGTGTTTGAATTCAAAAGTAGAAAATGATGAGGACTTCAAAGGAGAGACATTTGAAAAACTAGAGTCAGATCTGTATATAGGGTTGGTGAAGGGTTGGGATGCTCCTTAAGGCTAAAATGAATTATAAATAGAATGAAAATGGATTTTGAATTAATAGAAATCAGAAACTGAAAAAGAACAAAAAAAGACTATGATGTCTTGGTCGAGTTTGGACCGTTCTTCTTGTACTTTTGGACCATTCTTTTTATTGTGTCTTTTGTGCTAATCCTTTGTCTTGTAAGTGTTTTGAGTTTCTTGGGTATTTTGGGTTGCATCGATCTCCAGTTCTTGAAATTAACTCATTTTCAAGCCATTTTCTGAATCAACATAATACTCATAAATATTACACAGATTGAATATGTTTGAAATACCCATATCCATTAAGAGCTCAATAAGTTAAGTATTATCATTGATTTATTATAGCACTTTGAATGTTACATACTTTTTTGGTTTAAGTCTTTTATAAGTATCTATTTCTTTTTTTATTATTTGTGGCTACCTTGTACTTTTCATAATTTATTGATAAGCTTTATTGAACACTATCTTAGATTGCCATGATGTGATCTGTTATATTGTTTGTAGCAATACTCATTCCAATTTGTCATAACAACTATAATAAATTCAAAGAACTAATTGGACGAAAATAATAAAATCATAGAAAATAGAGATTGGTTAGTAGAATGATTAACCATAAAATTATAAAAAAATTCATTTGTGTTAGAGTATATTTCCATTGTCTTGATTTTTCTCTTGAAATACATTAAATCAAAATCTCATGAATTCCCTTAATGACTTACGTTTGGCCATTAATTTGCAATTGGCTACTATTACTGAATTCATAAATGTACCATTTTTTTCTAAAGTATTCATTAAAAGTGATATAATTTTTTTAAATCTCTATCATATGTAATTAATTTGGAGAAAAGATTTGTTACTTGTCTTCTTGTATGCAACAAAATAGTCAATTTTAAAAAATAAACCCACCACAATTGAAATAGAATTTATTTTTCTATGTGGAAGACCTAAAATAAAATATACTAAAATATTAGTTCATGAATGATGAAAATTAAAAATATAGTATACAAATTGATATTTTTAATTATTTTTTTTGATAAAATGTAATGTCTTGTCACAATCCAAATGCTCTCTTCATCTCCATGAGTACAACTTACAAAAAACATTTCCCTTGGTGAGCCTCTAGAAATACATTGTTGAGTTCTATGAAATAAAAATCATCATGACATACAATGAAATCCCTTATTTGATCTTCATGACATACAAATATCCTTAACTTGTTTGAAATGTTCATCAATAATATATAATTCTTTTACATAGTTAAATCTAGTCATTTTAGTGTGAAGGGTTACTAAGCATACTATTTTTCTACTTAATACATTTGTCACTTGGTTTAGCTTTCTAAAATTTATGTTTACTAGCCAAAGTTAAATGTTGAATGAAAGAACCATATCTAACATAGATTTTGTTAAGAAAAGTTTAAGCATTGATTGATTTTTAAGTTTAAATGTATTGTACAAAATAAATTATTATTATATTTGATAAAGTTTCTAGAATGTAAAACTCTAATAGTAACATAAAATTTTAATTCATATGTCATTAACTTTTTTTCTAATAGTTTAGAAGTTTTTAACTATAAAAGTTATTTGAAAATTTTCTTGAGAAAAAAACATAATTCATTCTCTACTATGTGTTGAGTTCAATGTAACTAAGTATCAAGATAAAGGGGGTTGAATTAGTTTTACCAGGATATGTCTGATCTTAGAGGATCTTTCTATGAAATTTCATTATTACCTTATGAAAATATAGTTGATTTTATGAAATTAACAGTTGATAAGTCTTCATTATTATGAGTTAATAATTAGTAAATAATATAGTTTTAGGCTTAACTCATGATAAATAGACTTATATTTGTGCTAAAGTGTGAAAAGTGGTTTTTAGTTGATTAATGTGAATTTTTGGCTAATTATGTGATTTTTTATGAATATATATGATTTTTATAATCTTATTTTTGAGATAAATAAAGAAAAAAAATAAAAATAAAATATAGTAAAATATGGGGAACCTGCCGACCACCTAAGCCCACAAGCAAGTCAGAAGTGTAGTCGGGGAGGAGTTGCGAATAAGGGCTTAAGCAACTAAGACTAATGGGGGCACGTGTGCGCTACTCTCCTTCCATATCACTAGTGACCAATCGATTGTGAAATAAGGAGTGGTCGTATATGTGAGAGAAAGTGACTCATTATTTTAAAATATAATATTACTATATATTCATTTGAAATTTCAACACACAATTGATTTGAGATTAAACTTGTGTTACACCTTCTCTTGAAAGTCTTCAAAGATTTTAATACTTAAAATATTCCTTATTTAGAACAGAGATATACTATAATGACATCACGTTGTAAGAGGATTAGAGTACTTATTTCAATCTCTCTTATGAAGGCAGACAACTAACATGGGTTTGAATCCTTCCAAAGTTAAAATGTATATTTTTATCTGATTATTGTGACTTTTCTATAGATTGTCGGTAAATAATTAAGTCGTCAGAATTGTTGAATCATCAGTGAAAATCTTATCAATGTAATTTGCGGAGTATTGTTACTAAAATTATTGAACGATTTATGATAAAAGGATTGTAAATCCATTGAGTTAATTATCTTTAATTGATCGACGAATAAATTATTATTGGAAAGAAGACAATCTACTGAGAAACGAGTCGTCACCTCTTAAGAGTGTACCAGATGTGATGAAGAGCCTCCTCTTGCTACACAGACTTGAGGATGAAGCTCGCTAACATGTGCCTCACTTCTATTCAACTCTTCTCTATTGGGTGACAGTTGCTAGAGAACCGTAAAGTCATCATATTTTTACTTCGCTGGGTGACAACCACCGAAGACAATTCGATGACTCATTTCATTGATCTCTAAACTTACAAGGAGATCTAGAGATTGCTCACATTATCTTTATCTAAGGAGAGCCTTTGAGGTCATAGACATTGCACAATGATCTTTTCGAACGTTTAAGATTCCGACGCATCGTCAATGTATTACCATCACAATATTAGAATTTTATTTTTTTGATTTCAACTTAATTTTCACTTCATTTAGTGATAATTTGTGTGATTTAAATTTACCAAGCTATATTTCATTCAATCACGATTCTTCTGATTTTTACAGATCTTAATTTGATCAATTAAATCATCTATAATCACTTACGTAAGAATTGCTGATCGGATATCTATTTCTACCTGATTCACATTCGTCAGACGCTGACATCATCTTGACATCCACACTCTTATTTTCCTTTTTCATGAATTTTAAATATATTTTATTTTTATTTTATAGTATAAAATTTATAGAAAATTATCTTCTTTGAAGAAAATTTTGAATAATCTGATATTATATCACATTCTTGAATTTGACCTGAAAAATTACCACTATTTTTGAAAGTTTTGTTGAATTATAATTGATATATATTTTTATAAATACTTATAAATATCTAAAAATTAGTATTTTCTAGTTTTATATATTTTAAATTTACATGACTTACTATACAATGAATAAGTCATGTCAGCAGCCTAAACACCTCTTAGCACCACATGCCTAAGTGAATACACTCGTCTCCTTAGAGATAATATTTCCACAAGTAGTTTCTAGTTATTAACATTTTATGCCTCAACTTAATTCTCACCACATAGATTATAATAAGAGATGATGGAGAAAGATAACTTTCAGCATAATTTGTTAACTCATATCGTCGCAATCATATGAGTAAGATGATACTTTTGGATTTTTTTCAAAGTGTGTATGTATTTTGTTGTAGTATTTTCCACTTCTTTGTTGACTTAATGTTTGATCTAACTCATTCGTTCTATAAGACCAAATATTGATTCTTACTTCAATCATTGATTGTATGATTTTGTTTTACATTTTAATCAAGTTTTGTCAATGTTATGGTCTTTGTAATATTCAAATATTTTAACCATCACTTTTTTTGACTATGTAACTTACATCTTGAGTTCAAATC